TAAAACAACATCCTATAACACTAGTAAAATGATAGATCAACTACATTTGTGGTATTAACAGACATTAAGATTTCCCTTTAATTTATTTTTACTGTGCTTTATGTCGTCTCATTTACGTATATGTAAATATATATGTAACATTATACATGGTCTCTAGCTTGAAATAATATCTAAGTTGTTGTAGTTGATTGTATGGTGAGTCTTAAAAATTAGAATTCTCACAAGATTCGGAATATCTCGAAATGAACCATTCATAATGTCGCGTTGCTATTCGCAATGTTCTACGTTAATATGATCTATCAAACCAAAGTTAAAATTTATCAACTTAACCTATCCTTCGTTCTTTTCTTTGATCATTTTTTTAATGCCCTTTTGCCAACGTAACAATAAATTTCTACAAATTCAATTCTGATTTATACTTGGTTTCCTTCGAAGTTTAAGTATTCAGCCAATAATCGAAGCTAGCGCTTTACCTTGTTAATTCTAATTATGATTTGTATACTACGTAGTTAACACTACATGTATATAACTTTCTTTTGAAATTGACTTCTTTGATTTGAGCATCAATGATGATAATCATATTTAATGTTATAATGATGTCAAGTGCCTGATAAAAAACTGCCTGAAAGATATCCTTAGATCTGATAATAGATTTTATCCAATGCCGTTTTTGGCTTTCTAATCTATTTTGTAGTTGACTACGTAATTTGCTAATATGAACATATAACACGGAGTGTACTTTATATTTTTAACTGCTATTATATATGCGATCTTTATAACTCTATAATAGATGCAAAAAGGTAAAATTAGTGGAGCTATCTCAGTAAAACAATGTGCAATATCTACCAAACGTAATGCACTACGAATCGATATCGATGAAGAATTCGTTTATCATCTCAAGGCAAGTCATTCTTCTATTTTATCAATACTCAGATATTCATAATCGTAAGCTTCGTAAATATAATATCAATGTCTAACAGTTGACTTTTACTCATCTACTTCCCTTTCTGAAATATTTACTGAAGTTACTGATATTACAGCATAATACCTATTATCATAAAGAATACGATAATATATACAGTCTGAAATAAATTTATTTTTTTACATCCTGTACGGTCTCTAATAATAAAAGAATATATTATTTGATAAATTGATCATGCCGATTAAAAAGGCATCATAAGTAGATTGACAGAGACGAATCTTTAAATTTCATCTTCTGTTTCTATCCAAATTAAAGCGTTTAAATTGAGTTCAAAGAATCATGAATATCGATAGTATTATTTTTAGTTTGCTTCATCATCAGATGTCTAAATCATACATAGAAATATTTTACTGCAGACTAGCTATTGTCTATTAAATTATATAATAATCTTTTGTGACAGAGCATAGTTGAGATGCTTTCTCCCTGTACATGGTATAGTATAGTTAGCACGCTTGAATTATATATGGTATATATATATATATATATATATATCACGCTAACAAACCTCTACGACTACATTATTTATCAGTATCCAATTTTCTCAATATGGTCCTTATTCAGTACGTACATGGGTAACTGTGTACAAGATACACTCGTATATGACTTTGAGAATTTTGTATAAAACGAATCTCATCTAGTTAGTATACTTGCCTGAAACCGATTCAGTTTTATTACATGATAATAGATTCCACTTATTAAGAGTAGGTGACACTTAAGTAATATAGGAATATTTCAATAAATAGAAATGATTTTACCCCATATTTTATGAATTATAATGGCTAAGATCAATCAATGTTGCAGTAGCATAATAACAAAATTAATAATGATCAAAGTTAACTATTTTACAATTTTAGTCTTTTAAAACGTCATTAATATTGAAAAATAGGCTAAAAATGATGAACAATTTTGTCGTTGGATCAAACATCTGAAAGCACATCGTGATTACTGCCATAAGTTGGCATCAATTAATTTACGTACATCATCGATTCAAAGTCCATCTGTATTACATCATTCTACTCATCGTATTAATGTTGATAAAAGTAGTACGCCATATAATCGAGAAGTAACTGTTGTTGAACCATCACCAAGTGACGGTAATGCTGAAGATAGCTATTGTCAAGTCACCGATAATAAGCCTGATATTGAAAAACTAAAACTAGGTAAATAAAGATCGTACCATTCAAATATTAGTGTTATATGATCTTCTCACAATTGATTGATGTTTTAGCTTAAATTCTTTTGCTCGATGTTTTTTCTTGAATCTTGATATATATTAGCGAATGTCAGTTATAGATACCTATGGTTAAACCTTGTATGTACAGTTCAGATTTGTTTGTAGGGTTCATTTAAATTTACCCATATCAAAATAAGAGTGTTTGAACTTGTATAACTAATAAAAATAGAGAAAATTTTATGTATTATTATTATAAAAATCAATATCTACCATTTCTACAGCTACTTTACAATCGATAAATTTCACAAATTCTATCATGATAGCAATAAATAGTCAATTACGTGTTCTTTGGACTATCAGTGATTTACAAACTTTACGATTACTTTATTAGAACTTCATGATGCCGAAGAAGGATTAACTAGCCTATCACATTTACTGACTAAAATGAAAAATTCAATCGCACATCTTGACAATATCAATGAAAAACATACTCAAGCCGCAGTATGTATTTTGTTATCGATCTCTTGATAAGAATATCTAAAAAATTTTTAAAATTAAAAAACCTTTTTCTATCGCTGTTGTTATTATTATTATCTTTCTATTCATTTTACATTCAATCAATTGAAACTGGTAATTTCTTTTTCACACTATTTAAATTAGTCATCAGGTACATCAGTGTCCGATAGTGAGGTTAATGATAAGTCTAAAAAGAAAGGGCGCAAACTAAACGTAAAGAATACTACAAATTCTTCCTCCAACACGGTAAGTCAGCGATGTGTTACCCAATTTCTATGAGGTTAACGAGATTGAAATAATAAGATGCTGAGAAAAAATAACGCACCGGTATTCGCTATTTTTAATATTTGAAATTAAATTAAGTGTGTAACTTAGAAAAATGCGATCGAAATCGTAGATTTTGTACTACATATTTTAATAAAAGATAGAAACGAACGATTTTACAAGTTCAGTCCACGATTTAAATCATCTACCTAATGATTTCTCTTATGGTGCATTTTATTTTGATTTAGAATCAACATAACAGCGATAATAAATCATCAGCATCATCATTAAAAAATCAAGAAAATGAAACACTACCACAACCTATCGATCAAGATATAAAAATTAAGGAAGAATTTACAGCTCAAGCTAACGTCGGTAAGTCCGAGTACTATATCAGTTGAATATTCTAACATGTCCAAATCAGTGAAAAAGAGTTGCAATTTTAATTTTGTTTACCTCTTAATCGTTTCTTTCTTTTAACCGAATACATTCATTTAATATTTTTAATTTGATTTAGTTTGTAGTCAACTTAAAGCTATCTTTATATTAATGACCGAAGAACGAGAGAAATTAAAAACGGTATAGAAGAGTATAATTTAATGGGTGACAATCTATTTATACAATAGATGTTAATTTTTTAACATGTTTACAGTATGCTAGCTATACTTCGATTGAATGATAAATAATGACCATAATTACTAGTAGATCATAGCAATAAGTATACACCAGTCAATTTTGAGTTATTTTTATAACAAAATATATTCTGTTTATAATCCTATTAGACCATCGCTGAACAACCAGACAATACTGTAGCTGCTTATCAAGCTCATATAAAATCGTTACGAAATGCTCTTAACCAAGTAAGCTTGCCGATATAGTCCAGAGTTTGAATGAAATACTTGCATATGAATACAGCTATTTATAAATCTCTTTCTTACGATTAGAATATTACATTTAACGGATAATCTCTTACATGATTGCAATCGGCATGATAACGAGACAACCGTGTTAAAATGTTAATAATTATTCATCCGACTCGATAGGCAGTAGCTCACAATGAAGATTTACGGCATAGATTATTGCAGATACAATTATTAACCGAATTTGGCGGTAGAAGTAGTTCTTCTGAAGGTCATCTGCATTTGGTAAAATGACTTATGTTATGACCTTAAATATGATAAAAAGAAATGATCAATTTAAAAAGAATTTTTTATCTGATTACCTTGTGATATTTTATTGTACAATTATATAAATTTGATCAGAAACCCTCTGTTTCAACCGCCTCAGTCCTATCAGACTCTGCTACGCTATTTTATGATGCAGAACAGGTTAGAAATTGAATGATTAAATTCAAGTCCTAGTGTTTTCCTTTCCTCTACAACTCTATATTTGAAAACAGTAAAGATGATATCGTAACGATAGCAATGATCGATTACTTTTTATAATTATTTAGGGATTTCTCTCGGAAAATGGGTCCTCAGATATCGATGTACGTAATATTTAGTAACTAAACAATACGAATTCTTATTGTACAACATAAACGGATTTGTGCTTTGCTTCTTGTATTTCTAGGATTCTGATATTGAAAGTAGTCCATGCGATTCCGATGATACCTCCGATTCTGAAGATGTTATACAAGGTATCGCACCCTTAGCACTGTTTTATGTATTACTAGATTTAGATTTAAATTATAATTATATATGGGTTACAGTGCCATATTTGTACTTATGTTTGAAAGTTCCATCCAAGAGTTTATTTAAATCGGTTAATAATGGTGCTATGAATTAAATATGGCTAGAGTGCATCTTAACTTCTATTGTTTCTGATTCTGTACCATTATAAATTTGATACATAATATATATATATATTATAACCATCCTTAGAATCTAATATATTAAGCATATTACAAGATGTAAGAGTAGAATTTAGGACTCTTAGGTCGAGAATAATACAAAGCATAACGAGCCGTTGTGTGTTAACGGTCGTGTCTAAAAAGATACTACGTCTTTTAAGCTCGGTACTAACCATTATTCTTTTAATTTAGGTATTCCAGATGATACCTTTCAGCGACGATGTATATTACCAGCATTTAAAAATCCGAGGAACGATATTAGTATATTTGGGTTATTAAGTAAAAATATTGGCAAAGATCTTTCTAAAATATCCATGCCAGTCAGCATGAATGAACCATTAAGTGCACTGCAGGTATATTAAATACTGCTAACTTTAATTATTAACCTTATTCTTGTTGAATTTCGTTCATAATCTATTTTATTAAGCTAAATTTAATTCGATCTTTTACATTTTAGTATCGTATCAATTGCTTTATTTGTAATCTTTTTAGTCTGATTCTGATTCTATAACGATTTCGCTAAATAAAATTTAACCCGCTTCTTCAGCGTCAGTGTGAAGAACTTGAATACAGTGATCTTCTAGATAAAGCTGCAATGACTGACGATGTTGTAGAACGAATGGTAACTATTAAATTATAGGATCATCTTTCATCGTAAATATCTATATTGCTTTACAAGCTATCAAGCACAAAAGATAAGAATCGGAGGGTAAAGCTATTTTATTATTTTTCGAATATAGGCTTATGTTGCTGCATTTGCTGTTTCTGCGTACAATAACAGCCATTACCGAGCAGGTAATTCACTTAATACTGTACTGGTACAAGACATTATAGATGCACTATACATACCTTTATTGATTTTGGAAATGGTGTAAAGAAAATTTAATTAAATTGCATGCTTATCTAGCCTACTTTCTAATACGATCTTTAGGTCAAAAGCCTTTTAACCCAATATTAGGTGAAACTTACGAAACAATTCGAGGAGATCGTGGATTTAACTTTATTGCTGAACAGGTTACAAATAATTATTAAAGCAACTATTTCGGCATAAGATTGAAAAAATTGTAAATAAAAGAGTAAACTATAATTATATCCGAATTGTATCTTCAGGTTAGCCATCATCCACCCATTTCAGCATGTCATGCCGATTCTGAAAGATGGAAATTCTGGCAAGGTATGAGTCTGAATTTTATTAACTATGATAATTCATCGACACAATATATAATGGATTAAATATTCAGAAATATTTTATTTTCCACTTTAGATACACGTTTAAAAAATAGGTTTTGGGGTAAATCTTTAGAGATTTTTCCAGTAGGATCCGTAAACCTTACTATTCATAAGTATGTGTAATGTTACTCGCGCCAATTATCGCATTATTAAAATGATGCTTTATTTCAAAAAATTCCAGCTAAAGTATTTTATAGTATATAATCGAAATAACTTTATTACATTCATTGTCCAGATATAATGAGAGTTATAAATGGAATAAAGTAACAGCTTGCGTACACAGCATTCTTCGTGGCCAACGCTGGATCGAATATTATGGAGATATGATTATAAAAAATTCTGTTAATCGATTAACTTGCAAGTTAACGTTCAACAAGGTATTTATCTAAAACAACATTTACCGATCTCATTGAAGCTGTAAGATTTGTTTATTTCTAAAAACGTTTTTAATTCTTAGATATTAATTTGGTAAACCTAATTGTTTAAATGGAAATATTCTTCTATAGGGCGGATCTTTTAATAACAAGAAATGTGATGTGAAAGGACAAATTCTGGATAGCAATGGAAAAACCATACAAACGCTTTTTGGTAAATGGAATGAAGGTCTATACTTAGGCCAACCTTCATCAGCAATCTGCCTATGGAGGCCAGGTATGTAGCTTAGGGGATGCGATATGATTTTACTGTTGAATTATTTAATCAAAACTAATATAGTACAGTAAGGTGTCTTCTTTATCAAGTTATATTCCCGTCGTCTATAATTGCAAGATAGTTAGAGTCACGTTCTCATAACTTTACGAGTTACTCACAGCATTAGGCAGCTTTCCTAAATGAAGCTTCAAATTTACTTTAATTAATAGGAATTATGCCTCCAAACTATGAAAATTACTATGGATTTACGAAATTTGCTATGGAACTAAATGAAATCGAGCCAGATCATCCAGAAATTTTGCCTTCTACCGACTCAAGATTTCGAACTGATCAGAGGTATACAAAAAAGTTCCGCAAGTTATGGATATTAAATAGAGCTGACACATCATAAAGTGAAAAGCTTATGATTATATTTAATTACTAACTGATGGTTCGTAATATAGATATTTAGAGGAAGGAAATTTAGCTGCAGCGGAGACTCACAAACTGCGAATAGAAGAAGTAATATAATTAATCTAGCATTACTGAAATAAAATGATAAAACTGATAAGCTTAAGCTTACTGTCTAATCTTAATCTTTTAAACACACTTTTGTTTCTGCAGCTACAGAGGAAAGCTCGCAAAGCTCGAGAGGCAGCTGGACATAAATGGACCCCTCGATTTTTTGAGTAAGAATATTTACTGGAGTACATTCAATAATAAATAGGAAAATATTTAACTATGAATAGAGAATAAAAGTTAGAATAACATTGATCAATATGATATTTATTTAATTATTAGGAAAACAAGTGAAGGAAACTGGATTTTCAAAGATAATTACTGGAAATTAAGGGAAGAGAAATTTTCCACAATGTCTCATCCTCAGCTGTGGTGATAATTATGGATAATTACTTAGTCAGAAGTTTTAATAAAGTTAGAGATTTGTAAAATGCTAACCCTTAGTCAATCATGGATATCGCAAGTTTCTGGATAACATCTTACCTTAAAAAAGTTATTATTTATAAAAAGTTGTTAGCTACATGGCATGCGCCTACGCTGTTCCGCCCTCTGTGGCTATATTGATAGCTATTTCAAGGATGACAATTTCTACCATTACAGTAGTTGATTAAATAAATTTTTTGGTAAAGCGTAGAGCTTATTTCTGTGCACGCTACTGCTACTAATACCAATTGATTTGCCCATACGCTAATTAAAAGTATTGGAAGTAGAAATTCTGCCAAAATCTGTTATTTCATCATGCATACCTCGTATTAATTATATTAATTGCTTGTATGAACAAAAATTATACTATGCATCAGTTATACTGAGCAATGAGCGGTTGCTCGTAAAAATTTCTGTCAATGGTTCTTATATATCAACCCTAATACTTTGTATTTATGAAAATATTTATAATGCTTTGAACGTGACTGTACTTATTTATCAAAATTTCGTTCATTTTATGGCCTTTAAATATCATTCAAATACAGTTAAGAGTATCACCTTTTGTAGCTGCCTTTTTCTATAATTCTACTTTAAGAGATGGTTAGAATGATAGATAATATGTGATCAATTTTATAATTTAAATCATTTCTATCTATTACCCTGACCTGAATTTGAATAATTAGATAATGGATTCCTGCAAGATCGTTATCAGTATTGATGACTAGTTATAATATTAAATTAAGTATTGATTCTACTACTAACCTATTCTATACATTATAAATTACAGATTTCTAATCAATTTATAGTAACATATAAGCAGAATAAAGTATTCATTTAGTGTCAATAAATATAAAAGGGTAGATAGTGTAATATAAGAAAAATTGTTGCCACTATAAGTTAAACGTCGTAGAATACTGCTGAGCTATCGCTAGTGTCTTGATAAAAACTATCTCCGTTGCTATTTATATATATATATTGAATATCTAACCACTTCCTTGTCAACTCATTCTCCAGGTATCTACATACAAACTAATATCCATCTATATATCATGAAATGACTAATTATGTGTTAAACATTTTGTTGCTAACCCTTTAAATGTAAGTGTGGAACAGGCGTGACTAAAATACAGAAATGGCTATGACTATGAGTACAGCTATCGTTCTGATAGTTCAATTTATAATTTTTAAATGCTTCCATATGATTATTAGTCATTCAAAATCATGATAAAATTCCTGATTCTTATTCTGATGCAATGTTAACTTGATCATCATATTATTTGCACTTTAATATGGAGATTCCGTATAGTGGACTTGTAAATGATAAAATAGTATTTACTCAAGAATCAAGAATTATTATACTGTTATCCATTCTACATGGATAAAGAATTGTAATAAATATGTAGTCGCGTAATCGAATAAGATACCATCATTTGCAATTGGAGCATTATATTCGATTAAATGTTAGAAGCTCTAACGACCAGCATAAAAGACACTGCTTACATGCAATAAAGTAATTGCTACATACTCCCTTTACAATATGGCTGTTAGATTTTTATAATGATTTTATTTTGTGAAGCTCGAATGAAGCAGACTAATTTCAAAAGGCAAAGTTATATAAATTTTATTACAAGTGCTAGCAGACAACAAAAATCTATTAGTCATACAGTATGTAATAATATCTCAATTTAATTGAGATTAAGTTTAATAAATTTGGAAGTAGTGTACTGTACACGATGAGTGATTGTGCTATTAAAATCAGATAAATGAATCCACATATTTGAGAGTTGCCAGTAATTATAATTTACCGATGACGGTCTATGTGTATTACCAGGAATTTAATAAAAGCTATGCCCAATCTCTACCGTACTGTGCGATAAAAAAATTACCGGATCTACTGCTTGTGGTTACAAGGAGCATAAATATTTAATTTTATCTTGCTTCGTTTACTCCTGGTTCTTTTCAGATTGAACGACCATTGACAGATGACCATTAATTGCACATAGCGGGTCACTAGAAAATGCAGGATGGCTGAGTACTTGCGAAAAAATCTCCTTTTCACGGGCTCTAGAGAAATGATAATACATAACACCAACGTTTAACAGGATTTCATGTATAATTATTGCAGCTATGGCAACAATTTCTTTTTTTTAGTATATTACTATATACAGGTAATATGTAAGAGAAGAAATTCTTTCTTTTAAAACTATTTACATACAATCCTCTTTGTCTCTGTTTCCTTTTCATTTTATGAAGTGGTTTGCTAGTTTTTTCATCTTTACTCCTGCGTTGGTTTTGACAGAAACCAAAGGAAAATAAGCATTAGAAACGATAATTCAATTCCTCAAACTTACTTCTTAAAAAGGAGCCTAATATCATCGTTTGCTAATTAACTATTAACATGCCTATACGATTAAATATCGTATCTTGCAGCGTACTACATTTGTTTGAGTAGGCCTAAGGTACAGTATATCCAACATTCATAATGATCATCACTATTTTCTGGTGTTTAAACTGTGCTATCCAATACTTGGCAAACAAGTAATCTTTCATCAACATGGCGATGAATGGTCTGTGTACTAACTTGGGTATATTCTGACTTTCTCGAATTAATTCCTCCAACGTTGGTAATGCCATCTGTAACGGTTGTAAATCACCAACAACAGGAGTTTTCCTTCTTTTAGCAGCCTGGATGTCTTCTTTTCTGGTTGTATAATATGCTTCGATGCCTAATTATTAAGAAATAGTGGATTACTTCAAGAGAAACTTAACTACTTGAATATGTAATTGCGTAGGTCTTATTGGTTTCTAATTTGTATAAGGTATACGTACGCATATGCAGATAATTTACATATAAGCTATCACATGATATCTATATCGATTCAATCTCTTACTTTGGTTGTATTGAATTACATTGCAGATTATTAGAAGAGACATGGCGCAGTCTTGCAGTAACTTTTGCGCTAGTAGCTTTCTAATAATTGTCTGCACATACTGTTATACGCGTATATCCTTAGATGCATGAAAGTATTACAGAAGTTGTAAGCTAAACTGAAATGATTGCAATACTTACGCCTGGCCCAATTTTCTTTCTTGATCTGCCTTTTCTCTTTTTTAGTCAAATTATTCACCGACATCCGTGAGGTCGTAGAATAGATGGTACTTAATTTATCGCTTTCATGATCATCTTCCACATCCATAACCGGGTTTAATTCTTCACTTCCTTCTCCATCTTGAAGATTGTCTGCAATGGTAGACTTGATGGTTCGATTTATACGCTTGGTTCTTTTTCTGAACTTTCCCATTTCGATCTGCAATAGTACCAAGTTATTTAGGCATTGCCTGAGGTTGAAATAATGCAAAACAAAAAGGAAACTATTGCTTAGATTGCACGATTTCCCTTTAGTCGAAATCGTGGACAGTATACAGGACCCAAGGACACTGAGGATAGGACTACGCTAATGTACAATTTCCCATACAGTTGCTTATAGACTCACTAATAACAGTACAGTACTGTTTTACTACGTACTGTAGTTGACGGATCTTATACTGTACTGTCCATACAGAACAGTATAAGATCTAGAAGTGTACAGTGTACAGTGTATAGTATTGTACCGCACATGCTACCATCCGGCAGATAAGCTGTTTAATAATAATTAATTATTATCATTATTATAATTAGTTAATTAATTAGGGTAGCAATGGAATGGCAGCCAAGAGGATAGCAAATTCCTCAATGGAATGTAGTATGCATCATTAGCCGTTTTTAAATCTATAATTATCCAACTCGGTATAGCTAGTGAAGTACAGTGGTTATAGCTCTATTTCACCTACATTTGCGGTTAATTTGTTTGCTTTTAATTAGATTATTTTATTAGGTAACTGAGCGCTTAGAAGCATAAATCGATTTTTTGACATAATATACACTTTTGTAATCAAACTAAATCTTAACATAGCCATTAAAATTAAGAGCAACAACTAAAGGTAGACTGGTATATATATACAATACAATAAAAGATATCGAAGGAAATGGTGACTTATGATACAGTTATTGAAATATCATTCATACACTGCATTTACATGTTGCATGTACTCGTATAAGATAACATTTAGATACTGCAACGAATTTTCTGCGCTTTTTTATAAAATAAATCAATTTATAAAGTATGCATTTTTTGTTAATGAGATAACAGCGAGAAATTGTAAATCATGCACTCGATAAATCTGTGAATTTTAATGACAGTAAGCGAAGCGATGAATAAGAATGTAAACTTTAAAAGCGGAAAAGAATTAATTTGCACGGTTATCTATTTGCAGGCGTATTACGCAAGACAATATCAGCTAAACGCTATATGAATAGTCTGAAAATTTTAAGAATTGAAAACATAGAAGATATCAGTAATTTAAGGAAATAAAAATCAATCCATTTAGCAAAATTTAGAGTCCAATTATTTCAATCAAGGGAACGGCGATTAATCATTTTCTAAGCATTTGGAAGAAACCCAGGCAAGAGCCCACTTCAAATTTGTTAACATAAATTTCAACGCCTTTGTCCAGCGTTCCTCAGAATTAAATTGTGTCCTAAATTAGCAAACATGTCCACGTAAAGCATTAAATAACCCTTAAGATTTTCTGTCCTAAAACTAATCTGTTCATCGTATCAAGCAGTCAATCAATTAGTCAATTAGCTATTTACTTAATTGAGTAAGATCCTCCAGATCCACTAGAATCTTCAATTTTTCCCTTAGACATTCTACAAAATAGAGATTGTTTCTTGTATTTACCCGTTTTTAACTTTATATAGGACACACTGAAAACATATCGACTTTTAATAATATGGCTACGATATTTTTTACTTGTAAGGCAAGCTAAATCCAGAGTCATGTTTTTCTACTTCTTCTTTAAACTGTAATACATTGCAGGAATGGATAAATCAAATAAAAGTACCCGTTGAGGCCGAGAGATTCTTAACAAGTAGCCTTAGAGTAATTTATTATCGATTGGACTAAACTTCTAAGCAAATTTCATTACTGTGCAGTACCTGTTGTAAGCAGTCTAGGAAGGCCACCATTGCTAGATCAAATCTAATTAGTTCCAGAAAAATAATTAGAGTATTGATAGCAATGCCGCATCTATTTAATGAATTGTGATCAATATACAAGTTATGACAATAGAGATACTCACTTTGAATTCCATAAATATCGAATTCCTCCGTTACAAAACCTACGGGAAAATACCATCGTGACATTACTTTCATTTCCTAACTATGTAAGTAGTTAAACCATCTCGATAAGGTAATGCTATTCAAATCTATGGCTAACTAACAGTGTTAATTGTCGCGACTTGTCAGACAAGGGCTCAATAAAGGAATAACTTCCATAAGGTACCAATCGATACCTATAGAAAAATCAAGTGCAATTTTGTTATACAGGATGTCATTAAGAAAGCGAAAAGTAGTTACATTTATTAAAGTCTATAACCTTAAGAATGTAAAACCAATTTTCTTTGCTAGGCAGTGTAATAATAATGCCGTCTGACCCCATGCAGCGTTAATTTCATTCCATTCAACCTTTACAAAATTTGAGAATAAATATAGATTATGTCATAACATAGACAAAAATCAAGTATTTTTAAAGCAGTTATCGTGGTGATGAAACCTACCGGTACCGTCGGTAGGCGTCCAAGTCTAAAATTGTTTATTGTGCCAAAATGGCCTCTATGCCTAAAATAAATTTTAAATGAATTAGAATTGAAAGGCTGAAGTTATTCAAAATTAATCTTGGCACTGTTTTACATTTAAATTTTAATTTAAATTTTAATTTAAATACTAACCATATATGAAACGCGCAGTTAAATATATTTGTTCGCTTTAATCTTTCTATTTGTAACTGGGCGTAAATCATTTGGTAATCAACACTACAAAGAAGAAGAAAATTACATCATCGTATTGCATTGATATGGCTGGTAAGGTAAAGCTAAACATCAACATACCTTCTATCTTCATTTTCAAATTCAATTCTTCGCTTTTCTAATGAATGGTACTCTAACATGAAACTAAGAAAAATGAAATAACTAGATTTTAGCATCCAGAAATCCATTATTGTACAGTATACGTATTTCTAAAATGAATTTTAAGCATTTTCTTCAATGTTGATATACTTTTCTTCTTCTTGATCTAATCGTAACGCCTCTTGTTTTTGTGTTTCTCTTTCCTCTAGCAGACTTTCTCGTTCCTTTTCTCCTTCTTTAAGTTGCTTTTGCAAGTTTTCTTCTTCCGCTTTTAGCTATATATTATGGAAAACACAACATTCCATTTTAAGACATTAACATCCTTTACCAATTAATGTAGGTCGTTATTACTTTTTGTAATTCCGCTTGCAAACTTTCAATATCCTCCTCTCCATCCTTGTCGGAACTATCTAAAAATGCACTAACAAAGCAATAATTCAACGTTTACGTAATGAAGTTAACCATAGGTTGATGATTACATGTCGAAACGCTTCAACATTATAATCATCCCAAATAGTGGTGATAGACTTAAAAATATCTACCTGTAAGTTCTACAATCAACTTCAGCTGCATCTAATTCTTGATCGAGAAAATCTAGTAATAATCCACCACATTCGTCGCATAATGGATGATCAATTTCAGATTGTGAAGATAGAATATCGAATAGCTTGGCCCGTGACTGTAACATGAATTTATACGAGTATGTCAGTCAACTATGTTAGAAAGTGGAATGGCGTAAGCTTTGACATGTTCCAGTGCGTAGTGAGTGCAAATTATGAATCTTACTTTTATTTTATCGTTATAAGATTTAGCTTGGGCTTCAGCAGCTTCAAAATTTGCTTTTTCTTCTTGGCTACGTCTAGATAAGAGAAATGCAGGAAGGTACTAAAGTGAAAGTATTTAAGTGCTAATAGGGACTGTACTTTCTAAAATGACGAGATTTAGAAAAGAGCAACAATAGCTACATAACTTGAGCCAATTTTAAAAACTCATTAGTAATTCTATTAGCAATTTAACGTCTATGATAGTGTAATTCTGGAGGTTTATCATAATGACAAGATAGTTGGCTGTGATTTTTGATATTATTTAATTATATTGTGCTTCAGTACCTATAAGCAGCGTGTCAAGACAGGTAAGAAGTAATATAATAGTAGTTTTACCTGACTACTAAACGATCAACTTCATCCTCTTCATATCTATTAGCCTAAAAGGCAATAATGAAACTGAATCTATCAATACAAACCAAACAAATCACCATATATAGTTGAGTTATCCAGTTGAAGGACTGTGTTCAACCCTTCTTGACCTACATGTTCTTTGTCAATTGTTTTATTGCTACTGTTATCCCCTATAATGGAGTATTCAATTTCGAACGATTAATCGATTCCGTCTTCAATACAACATACTCAATTATTTGACTACAAGTTTTAATATTGCTGAAGCTAAATTGAAGTAGAATGCAAGTATGATGATTCATCCATAGTTAAGTGTTGCAATGGTAGTAACGATTACTCGGTAGCGTCTTCAATACAACATACTCAATTATTTGACTACAAGTTTCAATATTGCTGAAGCTAAATTGAAGTAGAATGCAAGTATGATGATTCATCCATAGTTAAGTGTTGCAATGGTAGTAACGATTAATCGATTACGTCTTCAATACAACGTACTCAATTATTTGACTACAGGTTTCAATATTGCTGAAGCTAAATTGAAGTAGAATGCAAGTATGATGATTCATCCAGAGTTAAGTGTTGCAATGGTAGATCAGCAGCTAGCGTATATCTATATTATCTACGTATTGGTAATGTAGTGTCTCAGTGGCGTAGTTTTAAAAATTATCAGGAATGGTAAATCGACTAAGGTCTGGATTGGTCTTCATCATAATCTAATTTCTGTTTCGATCGATAAATAATTGATTGCTACAGCTGCGTTAACGTTGAAGGATGGAAAATCAGTTTCTTCACATTGACTCAAAAGGCAACCAAGGACACAAAGTATGTTCAGCATGCAAGCATAGAATTGATCCTATTATATTATACTGTAATCTTTTGAGTCCTTACCTTCATCTAATCCATAATCTGTAAAATCTTGGTCAAATGATGGATCTAATCGAACTGGTTGACAACATCGTTGACATACAAAGCCTACGACTTCACCATTTTTGTCAGCCATATTTACTACCTGATACTACTGAGCCTGCGTTACTGTACAGTATTTTGGTAGTAAGGGTCTAAGGGATAGTCGAGTTCTTTATTGCTATCCTGGTCAACCAAGTACAGTACAGTACAGTACAGTACAGTAGGTTTAATAGGTTTAACCTGCTTTGGCAGTACAGTACAGTACAGTACTGTACAGAACTCTACAGTGTACTGTACTGTACAGTACTGTACGCTTCTGTACTGTACTGTACATTCAAAAATACTGTAGATTGTAGACTGTAACCACCACCAGAGATGACCATAACAAATATGATGTCACTATTAATACTTTATTTTAATAGTATAGTATACTGTATTATGGGCTAACGCGAGTCAAGTTCTTTATTGCTATCCTGGTCAACCAAGTACAGTACAGTACAGTACTGTACAGTATAGAACTCTACAGTGCACAGTACGCTGCCGTACCGTACATTCAAAAATACTGTAGATTGTAGACTGTGACCATTTCCAGAGATGACCATAACAAAAATATAGGGGCATATGGTTAATTTTCCCTAACAAAAATGATGTCATTATTAATACTTTATTTTAATATATAGTATATTATGAGCTAACGCGAGTCAAGTTCTTTATTGCTATCCTAGTCAACCAAGTACAACTATGATGTCACTATTAATACTTTATTTGAATACATAGTATATTATGGGCTAACGCGAGTCAAGTTCTTTATTGCTATCCTGGTCAACCAAGTACAGTACAGTACAGTACAGTACTGTACTGTATATGCAGTATACTGTCATACAGTATACCGTACAGTATACAGTAGAACTCTATAGTGCACAGTACGCTGCCGTACCGTACTGTACATTCAAAAATACTGTAGATTGTAGACTGTGATCACTTCCAGAGATGACCATAACAAAAATGATGTCACTATTAATACTTTATTTTAATATACTGTATAGTATATTATAGGCTAACGCGTAAACTAGGCCTTCCACGGCGTTGCTGCTGGTCTCCCTAATACATTATTGATTCTCATTTTGTATATCCGTTATCCAGTATAGCTTGATAGTAACATGAGCGAAAATATCTACAGTATTGAAAAGTAAAATTACAATAATATTCTACTACTCCATAATTCCAAACGGCTACCGTAAGCTCGGGTGAACATTGTACTGCCTCCACGCTGCAGTACAGGCAGTAACGACAGAAACACCTCCTACCTCTGACAACGGACTACGAAAGAAAAAGTTGATCCTCCTAAAATCTCAAACCAATCCCCCTCTAGCTAAATGAAGCCTTCCCTCCACCCCTTTCTCCTTACCAAAAAGAACCAGCTTCATACTGTAGTACCGTAGATCGCTAGCAAACTGTGTACAGCCTCCTTTGATCGTTTGAGGACAGAGCCTGCCAGTACCTCCCTCATACACTCCAACGTTTGCCCGTCGTACTGCACAGTTACTCATTCAAAATTTAAAGAAACTAAATGGATCCACATCAAGCACATTGGATTTTATAATTTGAGGGGAATATTATTATATTATTCATCGACGTAATTAACCAAAGATATGCTTCAAAAAGTTCCTTTTGTAAAAATGCATGGTCTCGGTAATGATTTTGTTATTGTTAATGGATGTCATATGCCTAAAAGCTCGGATATTCACAGCTTTGCAAAGGAGATTTCTGATAGAGAACTTGGTGTAGGTTGTGACCAGTTTATTATTTATAGACAAGACAGTGATAAAATAAATATGACGATTTACAATCAAGATGGGTCTGGTGCAAAAGCTTGTGGAAATGCATCAAGGTGTTTAACTAGATTATTATTTGATCATACAGGAGCTAAAAATATAAAGCTTGATGTTGATGGGAGGGTTGTTTCTGGCAAGTATATTGATAAAAATACAATAAAAGTGGATATGGGTCCGCCATCATTTGAAAGTAGCTGGATGCCTGATAGCACTGACTTGTGCTCACTTGCAGAGCGTTATATGATCGAGCCTAAAGAGATGATATGTGTTGATGTTGCTAATCCACATTTAGTAATTTTTTCTAAACTTTCGAAAAAAGATATGGGGATGATTGGTAATGATTTCCAAAAATGTGAGCTGTTTCCAGATGGCGTAAACGTTAATTTTGCTAGGATTGAAGACAACAAGATCAATTTAACGGTTTGGGAAAGAGGTACTGGCTTTACTTATGCTTGCGGAAGCGGTGCTATTGCAACTTTTGCCGCTGCAAATAAGCTAAGTTTTTTCGGTGATGAGGCTGAGATAGTCTTTAAACTCGGTTCTTTAAAAATGCAAAAGCAAAATGATAGTGTTTTAATGAGTGGGCCAGCTAGCTACGTATTTACTGGAGAGTATTTGTATAGCCAATAGTTAACAAGTCATTACGTTTGGCTGTCGTTTTAATATTTATGACAGAGAGATTATCAAGGATAATTTATTAAAATCTGGTAGTGATGCATATCCTAGTAATGTATTTTATTTGTATTCAAGGCTACTTAAGCGCGCTGCTAAATTATCCAATGAAAAAGCTGATGGATCACTGAAAGCATTGCCAGTTGTTGATGCGCGAGCTGCTGATGTATCTGCTTATATTCCTATAAATGTGATCTCCATTACTGATAGTCAGGCTTTTTTTTTGAAAGAGAGTTATTTCATAAGGATCTAGTGCCAACTGTAAATCTTGGTATATCGGTCAGACGTGTTGGTTCAGCTGCGCAGATTAAAGTAATTGAAAAAGTTGGCTCAATGAAACTGAAACATGCTCTATTTAGAGAGATGGGAGCGTTTGCTTAATTTAAGTCCGATCTAAATACATCAACACAACTAATTAGGCATGATTAGAAATTGGCAGAGCTTTTAATACAAGTAAATTTATTTTTGATTAAAAGGACGTTAGTTCTAAGAAGGAGAAGTTCAAGAATAAATAATTTAAGTATATGAAAGTAATTGAGACATTTTCAAATTCATTCTCTAATTTCTTTAGAAATCCAAAAAGCAGTCTCACATTAGGCAAGTTTGTTTGGTTTTTTATATATTGTATCTTTACATTATACCCTAGCCAAGCAATTGATAGAGTACTGTAATTGGTTTTGGTAATTTAGATACTCAATTGATGCCAAGAGTTGGAGTTTATATTCAAGAATTTGGTGTTCAGCGTTTTGTAATTGTTACTTAATATTGATAGTATTGATTACAACAATAATATTTAAAATGATTGATATTCCACTATATTACTTTCCGCGAAGTTATATAACATATGTAGTAATGGTAAGTAAAACTCAATATACTATTACTGGAATGATACTTGCTATATCTGCAGTACGCAGTTTTGTTACCGTTAATGTTAGAATGACAATATACGCTGAGCTATGTATTGATATAAGTTAAAATTTAAAAATCGTATTTTACAGGAGATGAAGAAGTTAAGGAATAAATAGACTTAACATTCATCATTAAATTAATCAATATTTAAGAACAGAATGCAATCAATATAAATAGTTACTCTATCACTGATGGCATATTTTTCTTTACTGATCTTATGTATATGCACATAATAATATAAAGACCTAACTTGTAAAACAAGTTAATTTAGTGATAATCATCGCGTTAACTTATGGTTTATTTGGATCCCAAATTTTTATCTAATCGTGAAAAATAAAAATAGAGATATACTGCTAGCCTAAAAATTATGCAGCAGTGGATGAATAAAATAATGGAAAATTTATCCTTTCAGAAAATTATACTAGAGCTGCAGAATTCTTGGTAAGATCACGGATATGCAACTTGGTTGGAGGGACGGGTGTGCCTTTGATCTGCTCGCGATTTCATTCCTATATTGTACTGTATTGTATCCTATATTGCCGTACATTCATAATGGGAGATTGTAGATATTTCTCCTTTAATATATAGTTAATGGATTGGTTATTGAGATGTTCCTGCTTCTAGATCCCCCCCCTAGTATCTAGAAGCAAGGACCAACTGCTAGAAGTCCATGCAATAAATAGGCATAGAATGCGTAAAGCCGAGCGGACAGTACAGACGATACTAGGTATCAAGTCTGCCACACTATTAATAATATACGTACCTGAACATGGCCTAAAGTAGCAAGATATTAACTGCAACATTAAATGCTTACTGTCTTCGGCTAGATATCCATATAAATTCTATATACATACTCAAACATGGTATACCACATACTCTGTAAAGTAGAATATGATCCTGTCCGGTGTCATCATATCCGATCGCTATTTTATTTATTTAAAGCCTTTTGGCCTGTAGATAGAGCCAAGCTAAAGATGCAAGAAATGCATACTATCTCGACGTCTGGATCAAGTTAATGCCCCTAATGTAGCATTTTCTTTCTAATTTCTCTATTAGCATTGCTTTCATCGCCCAAGAAAAGGGATTACTTAGATGGTGTTTTAATCGATGCATCTCAGCCTTGTATAATTTACACGTATTCGTATATAGCATAGAATAATCACTACTTTAGTCATGGTTGCCAGAATGCAAGCAATTGTTACCTTAGTATGCATATTTATTACTTATACCATTGCTTTAATAATCTTAGTTCGTTGCTTACCACCTCTTGAAGACATTCATAGGTATGTTCTATATCATAGATGCATAAATTTAACTGCGATGACTTTCTATAACATGATTGTATGGACAAATGTACATGGTACACTACAGTTTACAAGTCAACAGTTGGACACGCAATGATTATGTATATAAACATTCACTCCCTACGCTGCAATATTTTGCAACTTCTATCTTATCCACTCCGAAGTGCAGCCCTTCTGAATCATGCGTATATTGACGATATAATGAGTTCTCAGCAGTTTATCATCTTAACTTTTAGTGTGAAATTTGTATTATATACGAGTACATCTGCATCTTAGATCGCTACAACAGTTTTACAAGCCCATGATACCCTCCTAATCCAATTGAACTATATAATCTAGGTTACATTAATCATTGTAAAAATATCTACTACTATACATATTTCTCAATTCAATTATTTCTACATTCGTAGCAACGTTGCTGGCTCGTCAGGTAAATCTTGTATCCTTATTATGTTCAGGATAGGATTCTTGATCAGTATACTATTTTCTATGCAGTTCAGTTCCACGGTATATCCAACTTATTAATAGTTCAAGAATACCTTTGAATCAGTCATCGTTTGCATGTAAATTTCTAATGATGGATGTAAAAGCTAGACCCATATGCGAATTTGCGTCATTTTGATGGCTTAAACCGATGATGTTACAGTATTAGCGGATCTCTACTCTATGTGTACTTCCTATTGGACTGACAATAGTAACTACAGCTGTAACAATACTGCTATAATTTTTGATACAGTGCGTATACTGAATACAGTATCTTATTAATCTATTTAATAGTAATGAACTTAAGTTTCCCAAGGACGTAAATGAATTAAAAAGGCTCGTCCATATCTTTCATCAATATCAGCAAGATCACTACTGGCACGTTCTGGTAATCTTTGTAGCCGCCTATTTATATAAACAAACATTTTCAATACCTGGTTCTGTCTTCACGGTGACTATATAACTATCTACTGTACTACGTCTTGAAATCAAACTGAAATTAAGGCCTAACTTCTTTACTCTATTACTATCTATCGAAATATAACGTCAATTAACACTGTTTATGGTTATAGAACATTTTCGCTGGTGCAGTGTTTGGTTTATGGCAAGGATTCTTACTGGCATCCGTTCTGACTGCTGCTGGCGCTACTAGCTGTTTCCTATTATCTAAATTTGTGACCAAAACTATCATAGGATATTATTTTCCAAATAAAATGAAGCTGCTAAGGGAAAAGGTATGACATTACATCAGGTTACAAAATTAACATTAGATACATTTGCATTTAATCATTTTATTTGCTTGATCATTCAATATGTATAATATATATATCGTTTTAATCCTTAACTTTATTTACCATTAGGCAGAACAAAACTCGGACGGCTTATTCTTCTTTCTCCTTTCCTTGCGATTTTTCCCAATGACTCCTAATTGGTTTCTGAATGTGTCACTTCCAGCCATTGGAGTACCAATAACATATTTCTTTTTCTCAGTCTTGATAGGTAAGCAATTAATACTAATTCGGTACGCAACAACTTGCTATGCGAGATAGTTTGAATATAAATAGCTGTCGTAAAAGTCTTGATTTTAAAGCAAGAGCAGTGTGCTAAACTGATTAATACCGTACTTATTGATTGCTAACGTTATAGACGCAAAGTAATTTATTTCAGATATCAATTATAAGTGGTTGAAATCTTTAATTGTGCTAAATATCCTAAAATCTGTAGAATATTAATCATGCTAGAGGTGAAAAGTTTAATTAACCCTAACTCTAACGCTAGTCCTATTCTTATCGGCGAGCACAATTTACTTGCAATATTAAAATTAATGAAATCATAAAATGGATCAAACCAGTACAATGGTTGTTAATTATGTATTTGTTGACAATGATAGCTAGTCAGTTTACTAATACATTATATATTAAAACTTGCAGATATTTGACGAGAGGTTAATTACAGAAATTTATGCCCTTACAGTTAACTTGCTTAGATTGTTTTAGTATCGTTATGTCTGCAGTTGCAATAGATATGGCTTTATATATTACGCACTATAAAATTTCTAAAGTCGATTCTGTTATGCTTGTAATATCGGCAGAGCTGTAGGAGATGTTTGTTCTTGTTAGATTTTTTCTCTCTATCAGTAAGAATAAAATGACTACTTTGATTACAAGCACTAATAGCTACCGTACTTAATATGACTGAATTAAGTCAATTCTTAATTTACTGTAATACAATACAACTCATTCTTGCTCTTGACCTCAAATTGCAACTGTAGTTTATCCTACGCTGTTGGAACCTGATACTTAATTACCTATGATTTAATAGGACTCATACATTTATAACAACAGTACAATTGCAATCACTTTCAATTTCCATAATCCTTCTTATTGATATTTAGGTTTAATGCCATACAATTATATTTGCTGTCAAGCTGGTTTACTTCTATCCAAAATGACCTCAGTCCATGACTTACTCGACCTCAATACCGTTTTAGGCATGATTGGAATGGCTGTAGTAGCATTTTTACCTGGCGCAATAATTCGTAATCGTGCTAAGAAAACGAAATGAAACTCATAGTAATTAAGACCCACAGCCCAAATTCAATTCACCTAATTTATTCTTTCAAAGAACATTTTGGTAACGTTACCCAGGTTAAAAATTTCGGTAGTTTAGGTTAAATTTAAATTATTTCGATTTATCTATCAGGCTTTTTTGATACTATTACCACTTGTCAATACTGATTTACACCCTTAGATACTAGATCTCTATTTTTATTGTACATCTCTGGTCATTTACGTGTATAATTCTGTTGGCAATAAAATTATAAAGATCTACTTTATGAAATAGATTGGTTTTCTCAATTTTACAACTTTGTAAATTAGCAATATCTTTCTACTGTATATAATCGATTTGGTAGTTAGTTCATAATTGTTCTACTTTTAGGTAACCTAGAATTAGAAATTACCGGTAGTTCTACAAATCAGATATCTTAAGGCACAGCGTGTTCTATGATGTTAATATTAGCAAAGTGATAATACAGATGCCATCTGTTTACTTCAACAACTGATGACAGGAATATCTTTGTTGCTAAGCGAATGTGTTATTTACTCCATTTGAATACTACTATATCCTCTATCCTCTATAAAGAATTCCCATCATTAATGTATCTTTTAGAGATTCTGCCATATCTCAACAGCTGTATCAGCATTCATACCCATACAGCATAGTAAAACTTTTAATATCTTGGTAGGAGTAACCTATTTGCTTTACGATACAATTATTAGGACCATCCAATCAATAGTTTTGTTATCGAAATAAATTGAACTATTTTGTAAGTTAATAATATCTATCAACCTAAACCTGAATCCTGATTCCATGTCAAGATAGTACAAACCGACAATCTCAGCTACACATTCAATTGTTATAGGGATAATATGAGTAATCTCTTACTCTGGTAGCTTGCTTAAAATTAAGTTGCAACTCAATCGATCAATAATTAATATCTCTGGCAGCTGAATCATTTCATAAAGGATAGCTAGAATGATCTTTCGTTATATAACCTAGTTTAATTATAATTAGACAAATAATTACTAATCAATTATATATTTATTCACCTAATCCAATGATTACCTTAACTTCTTGCTTAATTATTCGCCGTCGATATTTAATGTTTTGACCCATTCCATTGTAATATAAATTACATGATTTTCTTTTTATATTCCAGGGATTCGCTACATTATAATCAGCTATTGATCATTGTAATATTGTTAACATTTTAGCAACTTGTTGAAATAAAAATCTGACACCAATAATGACCAGGCTGATTGGTGCAGACTCGCCCATTTTGCACAATTTACTGCTTTCTACGTCAAAACAAAACCGTTGAGAAGTTAATACAAACTATGTTAGGCTTGATTATAAACATAATCTAATCAATGATTATATCATACTATCGCTGAGAGTCTAAGAGTTCCAATGTGTTAAACCTAATCCATTTAGTTTACTAGATATTCTCTCGCTTAAAGAGAATCTGCTATTTAATCAGTATAATCCACCTTATATGAGGAGTAATATCTCTAAGTGCTTTTAAAGCGAGCGAATTACTTCATTCCAGTTCGAATCAGCTGTGAGAGAAATTATTTAAAGTGCAGTTCATTCGTCTGTCTATTAATCAATCACAGTCTTGGTTGTTATTTTGAATAGTTAAATATGGCACATAATAAGAGTGTAAATTTATCCTGTTTTCCCCACGTGATAAAAATTAGCACATTGGATTAAAAATGACTATCCCATGTTAGTTAAGGTTGGAATTAGATATGAACTATATTTAGTCGAGTTTACAATCTTTACCGGATAGAAATCCACGTATAAATTGAAGACTGATCGGTATACACAAATTAGATGCCCTATAGGTAATAGCTGGTGAAGAAGAGAATAAAAAGAGTTCTAATTCTTGACAAACCCTCAAGCAGGTTTATTTAATTTTCAAATATTATGATGATGATGGCAATGATGTAAACATGGAGATCAAGTTCTTAATAATCAAAGCGTGATTAATTTTATGCTATATTCTGATTTATCACTATAAGTACCGTAATTGAAAGCAAGTTTACTTTAGTTTAACCTGACGAAAGTTAAGGTTTTCAGCTAAAAATTAAAAATGATGAAAGGTTTTTATCACTCGACAAGATGCTAGCTATCGTTGCTACATTATTCTAGATCAGTGCTGATCAAAAAGGCTTCATTATCTCTTTCTCAGGTGCTCTCTACGTCGATAATTGGCATCAAGCTTACTGAAAATTGTCGGCCAAAATCTACCCAAGGAGCCTATATTTCACAACTCAAGACTAAGTTAACTGTCTATTCTCTACTTTAAAATAATCTTAAAAGTGTTAAAAAAGATGAACAACGGTCCATATGAAGAGGTAAGATTCTTACCAATACATTGGGTAAACTTACCTTTTCTGATCCTACGCATCTTCATGGAACACGATGATTCTATTTCTGATCTACAAAACAGAATAAATTACATCAGTAGATTTTTTTATGAATTGAACATTTCCAAACTGATGATGATAGCTTATCAACAAGCATAACATATTTTGAATTCCTTATCCAATACGGATGATGGCGCTATGAAAATCATCCTTGATATTCCTACTGATTATTTCCACCAATTAGTATTCTCTATTGTATATGAGAAACGAAATGATAAAATAAGAATCGATTGGTAAATGATACCAAGAGTTGAAAGCTGGTTTTTATAATGTTATTTCCGTTGAGTTTCAACCAGGGTAAAGCATTCCTTACAACTTATATATTTTGTGTCGATATGATTTCAAGCATTTCTGTCAATCATTATACAATTTGTTTCAAGTTATACTAGGAGCCAAGTATTTGTTTTTCAATCGCTTTTTCTGGTTAAGGTTTAACCAGAGTAGTAGGGTGCGATTCTTTTGTGGGTATAAATGACGTCGAAATTTTCGTTAGTTGGTATAAAAATTAGTTTTTGAATTTTTTGCCTTAAGAATTTTAGAAACATTTTTCCGTTAGGTTTTGAATTACGGTAGAGTACTATTTACGCGTACAGGGTCATATACTCGTACAATATGGCGTAAGCTAAATATGGCGTAGTCTTTATACCAGAATTTTTCGCCAATTAGCCAGTATTCAATAGCTCATCGCATGATGGATAAAAGATATGACAATTTTTTTCTAATTATTTGCTAAAGAGTTGTAAAATGTTTTACGATCGTTACAACTTCCGTTCACCTTAACACATAGTAATATGTTTCTTTTAGGCCATAAATGGCATTGACGTTATTGCAGTTTCGTAGCTTTATCACAGCATTAAATTCGTTTTCTAAAATTACCTGAGGATTGTAGACTCATTCGCAACTTTCCGTTCAATTTTTAACCTGGATAAAAATATTTTACCAATATGAACTGATCTTGAACCGAACCCTTGACACATCTACGCGTAGTTAGCGCTGATAATATTAGAGATATATTTTCGTCAACTAGTACAGTATTCGATAGTTTACTGTAAGAGAAGGAATCGGTATCAGAAACTCGTTTTCATATCATAGCAAGACTTGAAGATTGTTAAATCCTCGTTCTTTTCAGTTAGGTTTTAATAACTAAGATGAAAATATTTTATATGATGCATAGAATGAGTCGTATTAAAGCCATTCTAGGCGATACCAACTAATCTTCGTATTCGCCTTATCCAAGATAACTCATAAATCATAAAGGTTGTTTTTTTTATCAGCTCTGACTTTCGTATTAACTTTAATTAACAGAATCCATAAGTCATAATGGTTGCCTTGAAGCAACGAATTAGATACGAAATACCTCTGAATCACACTAAAATCGTTTAATGTAGCTCTTAAGAGTAGAATTGTTTTGAATTATTACCACCTAATGTACACGTGTATCAAGTTACCTTCAATCTCAATCACTATTCGATTTCATCCTTGCAAATTTCAGATTTCATGTTGAATTGTAGTAGTCTTTAGCATTGAATAGCTTATTACTGTAACTTTTGTGATCCTAGATCATAAAGATCGGCAAAAAAATGCAGTTTATTAGTGGTATATGGATGTTGAAAGCTTTAAGTTAAATATTCGAGTAAAGTGGGGAAATAGATGGCTTATTTTATAATATTATTGGATGTTACTTTCAAGAATAAATTTCAAATTCGTTTAAACGTAACAAACTTTAAGAATTTACGACAAATCTTGTAATTTCATTAATTGAATCTAAGCCTCAATGTTAGCTCTTAAAATTAAATTTTTTATCCACGTAGCAAGGATATACGGTAATCTAAAACTTATTACTGAATATCTAAGCAATAGCGCAGAATGGTTTACTTTTAATTTTAGTCCATTAGTCAGTTTGTTATAGATAATTTTTAAACACTTTCAACAATGCGTTCACTTGTCTCCGTTGTAACAGTAGAATTTACACTATTAAAATGAACCATGCGTAGCTCGATTCTTGCCTTCTCATATACTGGAAAGATATAAGGTATTAGATGTAAGTATATATAATATCCTAGGCTTGTGAAGCAGGAATGAGCATCTCTATTCTTATGATGACATTAGGAATAGTTACAACCCTTTCACCCTAAAATAATTGCGCAATTCAATATCTTTAAGACTCATCGTGGCAGCAGAATTTTAGAGCAGTATTTTGCAATCTAACAGTGACATAATTGAAAAAACATCTAAATTACAGGATGATCTTTAATATATTTTCTTTATTATTCTTAATCATTGTATAGTATTATACCCCGAATTATAATCCAGCACAAAGAGTACCAGTTAATGATGACAATTTACCTCAAGAAGAATCTGAACCGAGCTGTTTATCTTTGCAACCACCAAAACCTGCAGCAATGCCGGCAGTGGTTCCTTCGCCACTTCCAACTCCGGTACCACCTCTGTCACCTTTAGAGCCAAATCCTGAATCTGAATGTGTGACAGATATCGTCCCACAAATACAGTGAGTATAGTGCAATAGCTGCATCGTATTATTTGAAAAAAAGGTATTGTAAAATTAAAATCCACAACCAATTGGATACAATAGAATCATTCTCTATAAAAATACTATCGTAGGAGGCAAATGGCTTAAATTAGAATCTGAAGGTTTATACTGTTGGCACAATAAGCAATAGCAAGCGAGATATCTTACTTATGATACTCAGAACAACATATTGCATGCATAGATAACTTTAAAATTATAAGCAATTGTTGTTTATCGCTGGTATAGAATGGGCATAGGAAATAAGATCACGCTTATAATATAACTTATGCTATATAAGAAATATTATTTCGTACACTACATATTCCTGCAGAAAGAGGATATTATAGTCCAATTATAATTGAAAATTTTGTTTAGTAGTTAAAAAGAGCTATTAAAACGAGGAATATCTCATTTATAATACCAAAATACTTCTTTGTGTGCAAAATTTAAAGAAACACTCATATTTTAAGACTATAGTAAGAGCGAAAACTTTTTACAGCAGCTACAGTAAGCAACAGGACATAAATATAAAATATATTATATAGAATACTAGAAATTTTCCACCTGAATAGAGAATGAAATATATATTTTAAAATAATACTTAGCCATTGCATATAGTAGGTACAATGCAAGTAATAGCAAACGAACATAACATCATCTTTATGATGCTAGGAACGTTGTTTCAACATTTAACCTGAAATGTAGCCTGAAACTGCGAGATATTGCTTCAAAAGCTAGAAATGCTGAATATAATCCAAAAGTAACCGTCGTGATGTATAATAATGGCAATTTATATCCTGCTAATATATTTAAGCTGATATATGTAAATTATAAGCTTAGTGTTTATTCAAGTCGCGATCTTATTTATCTAGCGTTTTGCTGCGTTAATTATGAGGATAAGAGACCCAAAAACTACAGCCTTAATATTTAGCTCCGGAAAGATTGTTTGTGCAGGAGCTAAAAGGTATCGGACCCTAATGATTTCAATAATTGAGCTTGCATATTGAAATGCACTTTGTAGAGTAGTTTATAATGCTTTTTACAGGCCATTTGATGGATTTACACTTTTTCTTTGTAGCCCCGAACTATCTCGTTTAGCAGCGAGAAAGCATGCACGGATTATTCAAAAATTGGGATATCCTGTAAGTGCAGGATAGGATAATAGCAATAGCCTCCATTTGTATATTACCATAGAAGCCGAAATGTTGCCTAACCCTAGTATTTATGACCCTATAAAAGGCAAAATTCACCCAATTTCAAATTCAAAACATCGTTGGTAGCTGTGACGTTAAATTTCATATTAGCCTTGAAGGTTTGGTTGTAACGCACTCACACTTTTGTAGGTAAAGAACAAGACTGTATGTAAATGCTTTCTCAATTAATAGATTTCGATAGAGCGCTATGACGATATAATAATTTTGGGTCTGTAACATCTATAGTTATGGTGTAATTGGATATAACTGACGTATTGTACTATATCTAATATTACAGCTATGAACCAGAGTTATTTCCTGGTTTGATTTATCGGATGGTTCAACCAAAAGTCGTTCTTTTGGTTTTTGTCTCAGGCAAAATCGTTCTCACCGGTTGGCATTCTACAGCGCTAATCTATCGTTAAATTACCATACCAATAGATAATACTCATTTCTTATAATTTCATATTCAATTAACTGTACTTACTTTACTGAGCTACCGGATCTGCAAATTAATACATAAAAAAATTACATTCATGCATTACTCATGTGATCAACTTTTATACTAATAATGATATGGAGATGAACAAGAATGACATTAACAACTCTTCTCTCTATTAGGAGCTAAAGTTGAGGAAGATATTCTTGAAGCATTCAAGAAAATTTATCCAATGCTAAGAGCATTTATGAAACCACAAAAGCCGTCTAATGATAACCAGCTTGTAAAAACTTAAATTGATTAAAATACTTGCACATAGTAAATCTCTATTTTCACGAGTACAGTTCTATTTACTTTATATTGCACTCATAGGGTAGCTGCAAAATCTGAATTAGGTTATAAAATTTTATAAGTAAATTATCCCCTTCCAATTCTATTTAAATTACGATATCGCATTTATAGGCAAGCAGAGAACTTTATTTGCATTATAAAAATTATTTCTTCAATACATTTTACAGCTAGAAAATCATTTATTATTTAGTTTTCCTACAATATTTATTAAGGTATTAAATTAATTTACATCAAAGATCTTAAGTAAAAGTTATTAACGAATTGAGTGGTACGGCATAGTACTCGTACATCATTGAACCTAGACTCATAATAAAAATTAATTAAACAGTGGCAGGTATGAAAATTTTAAGTTGGTTACTTCGACAGAAAAAAAATTATTGAACTAGTTTGTTTTAAACAATTTACATGGTCAGCAGAAGTGATATTCAATAAAGATATAATGTACTTAATGAAAATGGTCTTTTATGACTGATAAAATTAAAATAGGTATGATTTATTACACTACTTACAGATTCTAATTCTTAGATCTGTATGAAAATAACATCAATGATAGCAATATTATGCAACAGATATTACATTATGCTTTATGACTATCGTTAAATTTACGATAACCTCAAACGCCTCATACGCAGTTACGTCGAATCCAGTCATTTAATTAGGATCTTTGTTTCTTTCCATTGACTTAATATTCCCAGCTCGGAAATTAGGAACGGTATCTATATTCTAAAGTAAGTTGATCTATTAAAAGCAAGTTAAAGTAATTTTACTGTAACAAGCTAGTAAAAGAAACAAATGAGATTTTACCTCCTTAGGTCTAATCCACTCTATCAATGCTAATATTAAGCAATTTATTAAAGCTACATAACAAAAAATTAATCCAGCGACTGGGCCGCGGGCCAAGTATCTAAGAAAGCCAATTTCATACAAGAAAGCATTTAGCGATTGATGATTGGCCTAAACATAGCTACAATAAATTTCAGTCACCTTTCCATTCTTTGATAAATGTCAGAATGTGGCATATCAAAGGCTAACTTGTATACCTAGTGAATATCAAAACTTAATCATTACTACTACTCTATTTATAATGATCAATTCTAATACAATAACTTTTTAATGCCTTACTCTTTCCGTTCTCTTTGCAATGTTTCTCCAATTGTACATATTTTTAACGCGATCATGACATTCGTGAGGCGACAACGTTATACCGTTATTCTTATCATCGATTGCCTTTCCAATCATATTTACAAGTGCTTCACCAATACATTTAAAACAGACGTAGCACATTGAATTAGTCGCTTAATTTTGCAGGTATATTAAGAAGTAATATGTATCACAAGGTATGATAGTTACATTCAACTCTTGGCTCAGCTAAGTAAATCATGTCGTCAGGCAACACTTCTGGCAAACCCCCAACATTAGTGCTAACAATTTGTAGCCTTTACATACAAGTACAGCGTACGTCTTTTATTGCATTTAGTTTAATATATACAGTTATAGGTTTTACATTGCTTAATAGCTAAACCTACCCACAACTAGCGGCTTCGATAATAGCAATACAGAATGCTTCCGTAAGTGATGTGTTAAGGAAAATATCACCTTGGATTAGAACCTGTTATTACGTAAGACGAAAATTGCAGAATAGACTTAAGAGCAATTTTATGAAGCAACATACTGTAAATGGTTTGAAGCTTTCAATAGACAACTACTAAATTTTACGTACATCTCTAACATCTTCATGATTGACAGGTCCAAGAAGGCGGACTTGATCATATAACTTGTATGCTTCACAGATTTCCTCTAGTAAAACTTTCTTCGGGCCATCACCACCTAATAATTATTATAGTAATAGTCTTTACGAAGAAACAGCATCACTTTCACTTGAAATCAAGATATTACTGCTAATTAAACTTACCTATGATGAAATAGATGTCGGAGTATTGTCTACAGATTTTGATAAGTATTTTAGCTAATAAGTCTATACCTTTACGATATACCAGTCTTGACATGACAATAATAGTAACTGTATAAAAACGTAATTATAAAGGAGTCAATCGATTTATTATAGCTAGAATTGGCATCGAATTATAATGTTGTAAGTAGCACTGTACAAAAGAGAGTAAATACTGTCAATATTTAATATGCTCAGCAGACTTTTATCTTTTTGTTTTTTTGACGGATCAGGTTTAAACGAGGACGCATCGACTGCATTTGGTATCACAGATACCATTTCTGGTCTGATTTTTGCTCTTAATACTGTATTTTCTCTACTGCAATCATAAGTTGATTCATTAGCTGTTACGTTAGCAGATAAACTAAGTATCAAAATTGAAGAAATATATACGTATGTAAAATACCTGGTGTGGGATACACAAATAATGTGATTAATATTAGTTAAAGTAAATTCTAAGAATTTATTCGTTACAATTGCACCAAGATTAGCAAATCCGAACAAGGAGTGTTCTGTAAAAACAGTTTTAATACCCAGGGTATTTGCATGGAGGATAGCATCATTACACAATGCAGAACAAGTCTAGTATCATAAACGATATAAGTAATTCAGATGACTCTGTATCATACATTAAAATGGCCACAAAATAAAAATAATACTGTACTTTAATTAGAGTAGGTATATTTTGTGCTAAAACTTGTTTTAATGTAGCAACTTACACCGTGACCATGGACAAGAGTGATTTGCTCTCTTATGAAAATACAACGTAATATAGGTAAAGTAGTAAATATTGTTGGCATAGTAGATTGTAGCCAAAACACTTTCATAGGCAGGTAATATACCTATAGTAAGGAGTGAAGCTAGCGTTAAATTACGTATAATATAGCTATCAAAGATTCATATACACGTACGTAAATATCTAATATCGTGCAAATTAGCAATAACACATTATATTCAGATTACGCGTATATAGAAGGCGTACGCTTTAACGTAAAATGCTACTTGGTATACTACTAGAAAGGTTGAGCAGTAACTGTGAGAACATCGTGTTTAATATGCATTCGTTACACTACATTATTTTAGGCGCTAAATGCGAACTATTGCTGTTAATGTACTTTGTTTTCTTGCGGTATTATATTATTCACATATCTAGATCAGCAATAAATATTAGAAAAGAGAGCTACAGGTCTAAAAAAGATCACGTCTACTTTAAGTAATAAATGTAGTGAGTATAGTCTTAGAAAAGTGATAAACTCTATTTTTATGCAGATATTGGTTGTTTTAAAGTAGGATATGTAGTGGAGTATCAATTCTGCATATCAACCTTCACAGAATTTATTACGAATCAAGCAATATTCGGTATGTGGGCTAAACTGACTCTGTCCTTCCTTACTTTGAGAAAATTCGTCATATGTCTGATTCCAGTCCTATTACCATAAGAATGTGTTACGACTACAACCTATTAAGAAAATTGATACCAAATCATTACATACATTAGAGTAATACGTAATTAATTGAATAAATACGCCTAAAATATCGTTATACTAGTACACTTTATTGCAATAAACAGGCGTCAATTTTACATTTCACCTATTAACACAGGGATAATATAAGAATAAGTATACGTATATATCCATGCATCAATAGGATAGCCCAATTATACGATAGATTTTATTTCCGTATGATAACTCCACCTGTACAACAGCTACGTTCCTACATGGTTAAAAATATGCATTATATTGGCAAGTAGTTGCAATAGCTATTACCTTATGGCCTCTTTCGATCAGACATTGAGATAGTTGAAAGATATGGTTTTCTACTCCTCCAATGTTTGGGTAAAAAAAATCGCAGACCATACTGAATAGAAATGGATAGTATTAGACAAAGACGCAGAATGAAATTTATAGCGCCTATAGCTGGTATAATTTGTTTACAGTTAGTTCGTTATTCAATTCCGTTCTTTGCTCCATTGAGTAGAGTAGAAACTGTTTCAAATTTTCGTAGGATAATATACGTGTACTACTATTAAAATTGAAATGAGCGATTGTAATAAGTATAGCAAGCGTTGCATACACCTTAATTTTTATGTAGGCTAGCTCATAAACACCTCAAACCGAGCATTTGTGAAATGATTAAATCGTTCGGAAAGATAAGTATAGCACGCACATAAATCTCTACTTTGATATCCTTAATTAGAGTAGTAAAATGGTACTATGTGTACTTTAAGGACACTACTGAACTGACTGAAAGTCAAAGCAAGGAACATTATCAGCCTGCAGCGATGGGCCATTTCAATTTAATGCATACGCTAAATTCAAATTGGAATTTGTTCAATGAATATCTGCAGTTTACATGCGATTTCAATCTGTTCATTAATCTGTGGAAGAATAATTGTAATTGAAAATACTAGTGTTAGGAGCTTGCATAATACGAATAGATCTAAGTACATTGCGTGTCCTCGACGAAATGACTATTCTATGCTTCGACATCAGCATGATGAATATGCCGGATAGAAGGTGATTCCAGTTAGACCGCTACTGCACGCCCTCGAGACAATAATTGCCATGGGATGGCAAAAAAATGCTATAGTATTTTCTGTCGTGTGCATGAGGTATTTTAAGCGTAAGAGTTTAACAAGTATGCAATTTTAGTATCAATCAAACAGATGGAGAATTGAATATTAGATTAAATGAGTATGCATCATGATCCACAGTACAAGAGTCCATGCATAACATAACATTGCCATGGATGATGTCGTCACTTCCGACTACTTTGATCTGTCAGTATGTACTGTACTAAGTGTACTTGTATGTTGAGAGCGTAAAGTAGACAGAGGATGAAAAACTTGCAGGATCGTATTGTCAGGGTATTTATGATAAGCAATAGTTTAAATAAATGTCAGATCACTTTGGATCTACAGGAATTGAGTATAGCAACAAAGTTGTTATGGACAACATAGTGTATTCTACTTCTGCCTCTCTACCTAGTACCTATAGAGGCGGTAAAATTTCAGGATTGTAAATATTGTAGCAAAACTCACCAAATATTATGATATTTTCCAGAGAGCATGTTGCATATCATAACAGCTTTGATGTGAGGACTAAACTACTATTTTCTTGCTTTGTGGTTATTGCTATGGTTGCAAACTAGCAATTACAGTCGCTTTGCAATGGCGCAAGCTGTACTACAGCAAAGGATTCTCCTTCGTTTGGCTCGCTGTTTGAACCATGATAAACTCCATTGAATCCTGCAATCAATGATTGAAATTTTGTAAATATTGAGGCCCAAAATAGCGGTAATTTTTCCCTGTCTCTAGTTCCAATTCATAACTCCTTGCTAGGAATAGTATTATTGATGTTTGGTAAGCACTCAGTTAGTTACAGGTTGGAACTTGCTTGTAGTTAAGTTTACAGCTAGCCATGTTGGCGATGAATGAAGTTTCACCAGGGTCCTTTGCCTTTCCACATAGTCCGTCCATCCACAAGTCTATATTACAATTCGAGCAGAACCAGGAAGAGTTCTACAGTGTACAGTACTGTATGTAGTGTACTCATTACTGTAGACTGTAGACTGTACACTGCTGGATCCCTCGGACAGATGGACTTTCCTGACCAAAGGAAAACCGTCAATATCGAAAAATGCCTAGTTAGTATGGATCTTTCGTGTCTATTTTCTAAATCTCTGGTACTCATTGAAACACCATTGATGATCTTATATAACTATTTTTCAAGCAGAACTTAGTGACGGATGATAAGATTCAACGAAATATTACTTAATTTAGAAAAAATCAGTCAATGTAAAAACGACCATTTGCATACTAAAGTACTGTCATCACCCAGTGTTTGAAACACGATGTTAACGCGATGATGCGGTAAACGTCCGTCCGTCCATGTTGTGATCTATCCATTCTAGTCATAGTATGAGGAAGAAGAATCTCTTACCTCTATGATTCTACTAGTCCTTGATGTTATGTTTGATACTTTCTACTCGAAGCTGCCTCTTGGTAGCAGTAATGATAGAAGGTCAAGAAAGTACCGGTACGGTTCGGAACTAGTTGGTCACACTTTCAAAGTTTAAAGCAAGGGAGAGCTGCTAGTAGAGAGCGAGATCAATCCTAATTGCATCCATTTCTATTGCTGCAATTAAGTAAGTATTCGGCGATTTTTGGATATCAAGGCATGGCTGGTTCTGCCTTAAAGCGCCTGATGGCGGAATATAAACGTAAGCTGGTCACACGCCATTAATAAGATCGTTTCAATGCTTGACTTGACTACCGTAATTGCATAGGTAGCACGCGTTTAGGATGCCAGTACGTTGAACTAGTAGTACAGTATCGTCGACTGCAGCTTCATCATTCAAGCTTAAGCCATACTAAACCACTAAGCATCCATGCTATCGTCCATGGCGATTCTGTCATCAATCCTGGCCTGGATCGACGACAAACTACTGTAGCTATCGATTCATATTCATTGACAAGTTTATTAGCCTTGCTTTTATATCGATTTATTCTACGGTAGAGAGAGAGAGAGAGTGATCAAATCATGTCATGCTTGTACTCGTCGACAAGTTGAACATTCACTCTCTTTGCCCAGTCAATCCATTTATAGAAAGCTGAGAAAAATGAATCCTTGACAACCAAACTAGCCTCGAATTGTAGCCGTTTTAAATAGAATCATCACCTAGAATAACGTTATAACTCTACTTATGGATAGCTTGACAAGGGATACATTCATCTTGCATGACTGTAGTCACTGAACGAATCTAGAAGCATAAGAGAATTCAGCTATAGGAAGCTTTAAAGGATATCCTTTCGAGGTGCACTTGAATATCAACAGTCAATTGGAGAGCCTTTAAGAAAATGTAGCAAATGAATCATAAACTACTGCAAAATGACCAATTTCATCTATTTTAAATACAGAGATGGTACACAAAGCTTTCATCATTCTCCTTGTCTATATCTTGCCATCACAACATTCATATGCAACAGTTAATGGAGCAGATTGATATGAAAACATAACGAGTCCTTGGTATGCTTTTCGTATCATCCATTTTACAGTCATCCCATTGCTCTCTCTGCATGCACTCGTAGGTACCTTACAATTGCGGCATTCCTACCTGTTCAACATAGTCCTTTCAGTAGATCTATACGTATAACAAAACGAAATGAGTCTGAGTAGGCTTTAAATTTTGAACTACTCTAGATACAGTGATAGAATAGAAAACCTGGATGATTGTACCCACCTACACCTTACTACAATCGCAATATTCATATAAACTATTTCATGGTGCGTAAGCTCCTAGTCTCATCTGTTCTACTGATAGCAATCGCATAGCAGGTCTTAATGACTTTACTCGTATAGGGATGACATTTTTATTCAATAGTTCTTCAGTAGGCTTGTATGTATAACGAAATGAAGGAGTCGAAATATGCTACAGATTTTATCTACTCTAGATAAAGTGATAGTATAGAAAGACTTGATTGTACTGGCGTGTAACTTATTACAATCATAATATTCATACTTTAACACTTCATACCAAGTAAACTTCTAGCCTCATCTACCCCACAGATAGTGATCACATAAAAGGTCTTGATGACTTTATTCGTATAGACCCTGTAATCATTACATTGAGATTGATTGATTCATTATGCAGGTTTGTACGCATAGCACAATGAGTCCTAATAAGCGCATTTATTCAGCAGTTGATAGTAGTAAGCTTCAAATTTCATCCATTCTCATTGCCACGACGTAAAAGGATTGCAATAGATACATTCATATAGATATGCACATCACCAAGAATCATTTCTTGATTCTACTTGTACAGTATAAAGCTCATAATAATATCCTGATGTTCTTTGAGGAAGTAGATATGAGCAATTGACGTCAGGCAATAATTTAAAATCAATAGGATACTAAACACCCAAGGTCATCATTGTTAAACTTACTCCTCTAGCAACTGTTATTTCTTGTCCATCTTTAACTTATAACAAAATATAAATTGATTTCACATATTGTATGTAGAATGAGCATTCTCTGGTAAATCGCCTGACGACTTGCTACAAATTGGATAGATGTGTACGTTAAAGAAGGGTCATTGGATTGAGTTGATTTGATACGTTTGGATCTTGGATCGATCATTATAAGCGACTACCTAGGTTACTCTTCTGAATAACCTAATAGTAAATTGAAGAAAAATTTTATCTGTTTTACTACATTAATAAAATTAGAAATCAATTTAAACCAGGTAATTTAATTCTCACGCAGTACAAGTACCTGCCCAATCAAATGTCGTACAACCTCAACAAAAATACCAATATACAGTAGCTTGTACGGTATCCATGACCAAAATGTGTAAAAATTACCTCAATTTTAAATCCTTTTATCATTCATTTGTTACAAAATGTCAAATGTAAATTTAAAAATATTTAGCTCAATATCTACGTCTTAACATACTAAATGAATTTGTGTCCAATTGAATATTAATCATCATATGACATGTCGAAATTTTACTCCAGTTAAAATGATACACAATAATGATTGTCTCTATCCAATATACTATAGAATTAACACTGAATCCTCCAGAAGGAATTGTAGCAGGTAAACAGTATGAACATGACATTAATATATATCGATAAAATAGATATTTAAATTGCGATCATTTACTATTGCACATTCTTTAGTGTAACGGTAGAATATAGTATACGTTTCTTTAACAAAACTGTTTGCATACTGTATTAGTATAGTGACATTCCTAGATTTCAAGGTATGCATATAACCATATAAATTATATCACCATCCAGGTCCTCTAGATGAAGAGAATTTCTTTGAATGGGAAGCACTAATATGGTCAGTAGGAAACTGTTACCAAGTATTACTACAAATTAGTAAAAATAATAACAATGCGCGTACTAGACAAACTGCAGTTGTATAGTCGATGTAAAGCAATTTTTTCAATGCATATCAATAGAGTAAAATCAATGTTTTTATGCCAATTTATCTTAATCTATAATATATAGTGGGCCTGAAGGCACTCCATTTGAAGGTGGCGTCTTCCGTACGCAATTAATTTTCCCCTCAGATTACCCTCTAAGTCCTCCTAAAATGCGTTTTCTGTGCGAAATTTTTCATCCAAATAGTAAGAGAATAAATAACACAATCAATACTGTTCAATTTTTCTTGATCAAACCGCTTGCTATTGGACGGTTATGAGAGGTGTTGTAAAAATGATGTCTATACAGCTACTACAATACTTGCATAACCGAATATTGTAATCCTATATTTCACTCATTTTAGGTTACAGTCAAAATATCATACGCGATACAGATTAATGTCAGACAATGTTTTCGTTACTAATTTTAATAATATCCCTTGACAATGCATTAACAGTTTATCCAGACGGCCGTGTTTGCATATCAATTCTACATGCTCCTGGAGATGACCCATTGGGCTATGAAAGTAGTGCGGAAAGGTGGAGTCCTGTCCAATCCGTAGAGAAAATTTTATTATCTGTTGTTAGTATGTTGGCTGGTAAGCTTGAACTCGATTATAGCAGAAAATCATTATCTTTTACGATGTTATCAATTCAAGTTCAGTATTGCCACTATTTTACCGAAATGCCTTATACTGTACGTACAGTATATCCTGCGTTTTGTACCTTATCTTATTATTTATCTAATTTATCATTTAGAGCCAAACGATGAAAGTGGAGCTAATGTGGATGCTTCAGTAAGTTTTAATACTACTATTATTATAACATCTAGAACTGTATTTGTACTGTATCGTAAGCTATATAGATTAAAGTGTTAGATCTGGTTTTTAGTTGACATGCAATAGCAACGAATGATTAATTAATCTATCTAAATTCTAATTAATTACCAGAAAATGTGGCGCGAAGATCGTGAAGAATTCAATCGAGTTGCGAAGGATTGTGTACGAAAATCACTAGGACTGTGATAGTACAGTGAAATTGCAATGAGCGCGTAGTCGCTATTTATAATGCGGTTGTTACGAATTAAAGATTGCATAGATAAAATTCAATGAAGGAATATAAACTTATAATACCGTACAGTGTACGTATTATCACTATTATCATAATGAATAGCTTTGAGATTATGACCTTATGTCCTCACTTTTAAGATTACAAAAAATTTCTACACATCGATGTGAGAACGATCGTCAGGGTATCAAATTGTGATTTATGCAGAAGAATCTGCCATATTACGTTTTTGATCTGGTCTTGCTAGATCTACCAATTGGCTATTGAGTTGTACTTAGATTTAGAAATTAGAATAATAATACAGTGTGTAGCTACAGTTTTAGGTTTAGTATAAATTTGCTGCAAATATAGTGGTAGGTTTAGCTTTCTGATGATTCCATCTTGGTTCATTAGATTGTATCAGGGATTTAAAATGTAAATATCTGGTTGCAGGACGACCTTTGTTTAACGATACAAATGTCTTATTCTCCATCGGAAAATTGATTTATTAAAATTTTAGAATAATTGAAATGTCGACTTTTTCTCAACCCTTTGATGTGACACAGAATTGTCAGTATTATTAGCTACAGAGACTTACAGTACTACTCATCGAGAGATTTGCAATATGAACAAAATCCTGTTGATAGTCTTACATCTGCTTCTATAAGTTCTTTAGTTGTAGCGTACTAACTTTACACTGCTATAACTTGGTGCTATGTAAAATATTCATAGTTTTATAATTCATCATATTAACTCGACTAATTGCTCAACATTCTATCAAAAGAAAGTCCTATTGCAAACAAATGGAATAGAAGAGAATCAAGTAGAAAACTACTTTCTTATAAATTCCGATAACATAATGGCTTAAGATTTATTCAATGCTTGATTACATAATTTATATTATCCACGATTATTACAGGATTTAGTAGTAATAAGCACATTGTTCTTGTTATATTAATAATTATGAAACCGCAGACATAATTAGCCGCATGCTAAAGTTATAAATAATGTTCCATCAATGATTTTCAAGACAATTTTCAGCCAATACGATACACGCATGATAGCTACTACGTAATAATTCGAGAATGTTATGACAGCATAATATACAAAAGGAATATCTACGGGATTCTTCGCAAAATTGCATATTAAGTTAGTGATACGACTGTCAATAATATAAATCACATGCTTGAATATGAACATCTAACTAATAGTCTACATCGGCTAAATCTTGCTTGATGGATTCAAAGACGTGTATAGTCTTTGAAAGCCATTTTTTAACTGATTTCAATTCCAGTTATCGGTAAATTGTACCTTTTACTTCGACAGAAATTAATATCTGATCAATATCTTTGGTAAAAGCAATAGCGCATGTATAGTATTAGCCTATCTTAGTAAACCGTCTATTCGTTAGAAATATACGAGCCTATTCTATACACTACTACTACAAACGAATGCTTCGTCATCTATCTTGCCATTCCATCGGGTTATGGTAAAATAATCGTTTGTATTTTGATAGTAAAAGCAATTTTTAGCCTTTAATTTTCTTCAACAAATTTTAAGCTTTCCTCGCTTAAGTACTCTTTAAGTAATCCGATAGTATAGTCCCATAATTTTTGCTGTTGTCCTGTGTTTCTAATTGATCAAGAAGATAGAAGAGAAAAAGAGAATTATTGAAATATTTTAAAAGCTAGCACATTGTCAGCATTGCAATTGGTATCGCTAATGTTACGCGTGTACATTACCTAGATAGCTTCGATGTTGCAACACATTTACGATCTGAGATATAAATGCCACTGCACCCTTTAAAAGCTGGAGAAACGGCTGCTATAATAGCGGAACTTGCACCGTCTTTACAATCCTTCATCATACCTTAATGATAAAAGAGAGGCAGTGAATTTATTGTACTATATTTAGTCAATTTAAATCAAATGAGCTTTACTATTGAATTTTGCAAACATTTTAAAATTACATAATACCAATAACGTTCAGACTATTAAGTTAAATTATGAAGTAAATAAATTTACCAATTCCTTTTAACACATTGTCAAAATTTCGCCAGAGGAATGAATCTTGAAAGTTGCGATTAATTTCTGTTGCAACCTGGCGTAATATCAATCATATTAAAACAAATGAACGACTATGGGATACAATAAAGCTAAAAATACTTTGACTTCGCAATAGAAGATTAACAATATTTAAAAAGAAATTGCTACTCCAACTTTTATGGAAGGTAATGAAAGTTATTAAATACTTGCAAATGACTCTGATAAATATAATAAGTATCAGTAATTACTAAATTATACAAAAGATTATTAAATAGTATACATTAAATGCTTTCAAATGATTAAAGAGACGGCGATCAATAATTTATAATAAGCAATTATCTTAAGTTTCACGTAAGGTAACTAAGTATATGAAGCAACTCAATTAGAAGAGAAGGTTATTAACAGGTTAAAAACAAGTAGTTATCAAAGTATACGAAAGATGACTAGACACATTAAGTACTTGCCACTCGCAAGAGAGTATTCTAGATAGTAAACTAGATATAGGCATACTGCATAGATGTATAGAAACTTCTAACATGCGGGTAATTTCTACTGTAAACTGATATCACATTTATCGTCATGGTTTATGCAAAAAGTAAATAATCAACTCTATATATTCACAAAGTAGAAAACGGTAAAAAATTAAATCTCGGTAAACACGAGTAAATGCAGAACATTAAGGGTTCTCAATTCGTTGGTAAAGTAATGATATTTTTATTGCAGAGTAAGTATTATTCTATAGATATGCTGTGAGAAATTACTTTTTATTATTAACTACTGTAAAGTAGATTTCCGATACTTGAAGATGCAATTATACTAAGTTTACTTACTACGCCTGGATGAACAGATAATATCCCAATGTTACTTCCTGTTATTTTTTGTTGTAATGAAAACATGAACATAATCTACAAAATCGATTTCAAGCAATTAAGAGTTCTTAATAAGAAATATTTGATTAAAAGCTTTAAACTTTAATTTCAACCATAATATAAAACAGTAACTTACTTGAAAGAGCTTAGAATTACTATACATTTGTATTCGTGAGTAGGATTTATTGCCCTGAACATTATTAAAATCTAATTTTCCCATTGAATGAGCGAGCGATGATACTTGAACTATTCGAATATCTTCACCACTCTTATTCATTATTGGAAGTAACTCAAGTGCTATTAAGCAGTGGCCTAAATAATTGATCTAGTAGGATAGATAAAGAGTTTACCAAGAGAATATGTTTATCCTTTTTATAATGACAATGTAGAGTAGCTCTGTAGTAGATGGGCCATAAGCTTTAGCATAAAATTTAATGGAGACTTACCTGAAAATGTCTTTCATACCCATCTTCTGTATAACCTAGAATGATCAATGGTGTATAATTACGCTATAAATCAATTATTCAATTTCATAGAACGGTTATATTATTTGAAAGCCACTACACTTAACTTAATATAATTGATAACATATATAAAATAAATCAATTTTTTAGAATCATATAATGACAATTGACCGATACTACAATTTTAATATACTGATGTCTAACGAGCATCACAAATACTTTATATTGGTGTAAAGCGATTATATATGTTAGACTGTCTATAACAAAGAAATCTCTTTTAATCTAAATTTAGATGCAGTGAAAGTTACCTTGAGAAGCATTACCAATACCAGCATTGCATATTAATAGCTGAATTGGCTTGTCTAAAGACTTGACGTCTTCAATAAATTTATAAATAGATCTTAACGAGCTCAAATCCAAGGGCATAAACTGTAATTTCAGTTCCTGAAATTCTTCCTCTATTCAGTTGTAAATAATATAAATAGATTATAAATTAAGGCTTTAGATAACTTAAAAATTTCATATGATGGATTCACCGGTCAAATTATAAGATAGAAATTATTTGAAATCATCGATATGTTTTACATTATTGTAAAGTAGAATAGATTTTTAAAATTTGCCTTCATTATTGTTTTCCCAAAGAGATTTATGTTCCAGCTGAAGGTTTTCAATTGCCTAACATTCAAATTAGATTTTAATGACAAATAAGCGATTAAAGATGTCCTCTATATTGCCATGTAGATCGACAATGAAATTATTATTTGTGCAATAAAAAATTTGATCAAATTCATGATGCAACTTGACAATATTCTATATATATTATTATTAACAGAATATGTGCACTTTGGAATATTGTGAGAGTTAGTATATGACAAGGCTGAGTATCATTATGACCAATCTTAAGGGGAAAAATCGGTCTTAGGGAGGCCATAACATATATATATACATAAAATACGTCTATTTTGTATAATCAATAGAGATTAAAAATCAAATAGCGGTGTACCGTGTACAATATACGTTTGGCTTGGATGTTTAATGTGAATAAGTAATCGAATAACTACATTTAAAAAATACCTCTATAATAGATGTTTAACATGAATTAATACTCCGATAACAAAATATGATACATATATATTGAATACCTATTTGGGATATTTAACATGACTTAACAATCGAATAAAACTAATATTTATAACATTCGTCCACTTTTGGATATATAGCTTACATTAGTACTCGTATGTGATAAGATTAAATATTAACCCTCGTTGTATAAAATGTGTTTATTTATATACTTAAAGTGAATTAATAATCAAATAGCGATGTATCACATACCGCATAATATACAATATTCTCGTATGCTACGCCTACTCTGGAAAATATATAACGTGTATTAGTATACGTACTAAACTATTAAGATTGCTTGGCAATATACATAATATACTCCCACACTAGATATTTAATATACTACGTATTTAGTGATGACTAAAGATTAAATAATAATAATAATTAACATTTAAATTTATGTTCCATATAGAACAAAACACGACTATATTTAGAGTCGTCTTCCTCACTAGAATAACTGATTAATATTTTTATTCGCTACAAAATAGCCATTGACTGATCATGACATTTTTACTCATTGTTCCTAATTTGAACTTTGATCATGGACTAGGTATAAACATTGAGCTTTAAGTGAAACCAGATGTGCATCTTGATTTATAATTAGCCCCATAAGAAAAATAAGCACGCAAAAAGCTTTTCCTTATTGTCCTCGAGAACAGTAGCGATGATGAAAGAATGAATAAAATAATAATCATCTGTAAATAACAGGGTTGTTCAAGATGAAATACATAGCTCTAACTCATAATTAATGGCCAAGTTCAAATTTTGTCGATTTAAACTTGTTAAAATCATCATCTACAGACTTTATATCAAGCCATTCACGCTTATTATTTCTAATTTAAATCGATAAATACTTTTATAGTCCTATATATAAATTTATCACCTTATTCGTAGATATATTTCCAATGTATTAAAGCAAAAGTTGATACAATTTAAGACAAAAATTGAAATTCGATTCATTAAAAAGCTACAAATCGAGGGCTTAATAGTGAGAGCAAATAGAAAACAAGCTACAATGAAGACATCCGAATTTATTGAAAACTAAGTTATTAACTTGCTACATCAAATAAAGATTACGGTATGTTACGATGAAGAAATTAGAGCTGTTGAAAATAAGCTAGGGCAAGAAAGACGTAAATTGAATCTGTTCATAACTAGAGTCTCTAGGCAACTACAGTAGTAGTTGGTTAATTTATTACAAGAAATAGAGACCGTGTTATAATAATGTAAACTAAAGCCATTGGAAATAAATTAGGATAAGAATTAGAAGACGTACTATAAAGCTATTAAGGTTACCCATAAATCAAGAAATAAACAACGGGATATGAGGTAATTAAAGCGTTAAAAAATGATAAACAAAAATTATCAAAATAGGAAAATCAGTTATTACGCTTAAAGAAGTAGCACTGAAAAGCTAATTTGTTGAAGGATAAATACTCGTATGTATAAATTCGTAATATCGCGAAATTAATCTCGATAGTGGTTAGTCTATAAGATATGCGTAATCATGCCGCACAATTAATTGCAAATCCAAATGATGAATGAAAGTTTCCCCCAAAAAAATCAATATTTATATAGAATCAGTGATAGATGATAAGGTAGTTAACTTTAAATGAAATGATGAAAGTATGTTTACCAATAATAAAATAGATTTAATTCAGTCGGTACAATATCAATATCCATTTGAATACTGCCTGATGAAATAGATAAAAATTGAAACAACACTAGACAACTGCAGAATCATTTTTTGCAATAATCTTACTAGAAATAGTGTATTATAAGGTTAATCTATCTATAAAGGAATATTTGTTATTCTTAATATCAAATGAAAGGTGTAATTTAAAGCGAAGTGAAATTCTCCTCTTGGGTAGATAAATAATAATAGATAGGAATAAGGTATGTCTACAATGAAGAGACCAATGAATAGTTCACAACTTCAATTTTGATTAGATCAAGAAACAATGAAATAATCAAGGCTGTAATGAATAATTGTTCTTAATGGTTTGATCAACATGGAATCGGCAGTTATAGAAAAAAAAGCTTATGGTGGATGACCTGCAGCGATGTTGTTTTAAATCCTATTTTCAGTCTAAAATCAGAGAATACACGATTCGCTATGCGTATTAATGACGATATAATCACAAGGTTGGTCTTGCTTTCCCATTTATGCGAAGCTAAATTCGATAGTCATGAAATTGACCTAAGTCATCTCGAGCTTCTTCGGCCGTATACAAAATGCATTACTAAACACTTGGAATTTATAATCTACTGGATTTATCTATTAATTGGCTGTGAAATAAATTACTATCCATTTCGACCCAATATCACTATTTCAATCATTTGGAGACTATTTTTTCTTTAGTCGATGTTCAAATGGTTTACAACATTTCGAGTTTGAAGCTAGGGATCGGATATTTGCACACCTTTTCTTTTTCTAAATCGTAAACTGTCTTGGATTCAAAATTAGGGAATGGGTATAAGATTAGGCGTTCATTAACAGCTTTAACTATTTGGCTAGCTAGATCGCAAAAAATTATAGTTGTGGTACAAACTATTCCCCATTCATAAGCTAATTTGATATTTTAATAGTAGCAGGCATTTATTGAAGACTTAAAGACTTATTATGCGATCGTGTAGATCAGAAAATAAATATGGTAGAGCAGCGTTCAGTTTACGTATATCGTATTATCGGAGTAAATAACTTAGTCTGTGTGCTTATACATATAGCACACATCGATGTGTTTAAGTTTAATAACTTCACGTATTACCATACTATTATGCGTGATGATCTTATAGCCTTATTACCGAGTGGTTCTATTCTTGCTAATTATTAGAAAGGTAGAGAATGAAAGATACCTCGAATGAAATTATTGTAATCTACTCAAATATAGGCAGATATTCACTCCCACAATAGTATCGAAGTTATAGATAGGTTTAATGTGCCAAGTGCTGCAATTTAAAAAATGCATAAACACATTCAATATCTCTTTTTCAGTACTAGTGTTAATAATTATTCTAACTTATCAGCCATTAGCCAGATATACGATAACGCACATCGAATAAAAATTTAGAACATAGATACAGATATGCGCATTGCATCTTTACTATGGTTCTTGCATACCAATCTTACTACTAAACAGTTATAATTTTACCGGACGTTGACGTATATAAAGAATAAAGCCTGTGAAGCAATAATGATTGTACTTAGCTCCAATGTAGAGAATTCGTTACCTCTTTAGCACTTTCTTGAGACCGACATGCTAAAATTACTGTAGCACCCATTCGAGCCAAAGCTAGAGTAATCCCATAGCCGATACCGCGGTTTGCACCAGTTACGATTGCCGTTACATTATTTAAGGAAATATTTTCAGGTAAGGACAATTTGGTTGCTTTATTACCCATAGTCTACCTATTAGTTGAATATTGTGCCTTAAAAGTAATTAATCGGCTTAACGTTGAAAACGTAGAGAAATAATTCAGCGAAAAATGGGATAGATAATAATGAAGGAAAGTAGTTAGCAGGTTTGTTAATGGTGACTACATCGACTGCACAATACTGTTTGCAACTGTCTACTCGTATAAATAGTCTAAGTTTTTATATAATAGAAAAACATAATCGAACTTCTATGTATGGAATGGCGTAGAAAATAAATCAAATTACGATGAGTTAGGTGGGGCTGTCTCCATGACTTCGTCAGGTGTGTTTAATTGACCTTTTGTTGATGTGGGAAGAAAATCTATGAGTGTATAATGATAATAATAATAACAAGCATAAATATCAACATTGAAGATGGCCAATAAAATCTATAGTAACAGCTAGCTGTAGAGCTTAATGACAATGATAAAAAATTCAATAGATATTGGTAATCTCGAAAATAAGAATTTAAAGACTCATCAGAGTGCTGGATACGCTTAAATACCAAAAATAGCTTTTAAAAGTTGCCGATGTAAATCTTTCTATTTGTAGTGGAAGTTCTCCTTGCGTTCAATCTAGATTTCATACAGCGTGATCTTAAATTGTTCAGAGTAATCTTGATCCTTCTACTTAGTCGTTAGGATATCATTACCGTCCCTTAATGACGTACAATCGTAGATTCTCAATATGTCTTCGGTCGATTTTCTCTCTAATCTTAATCCAATTTTCTTATGATATGCATTGCACCTGCCAGGCTTGTACTGTAGGCAGGGATACCAATACATGGACCTAACTCCAAGTTTTTACAAAAATAAGATCACTCTTATTTAAATATTAGTCGATCCTTCGCGTACTATATTTTGTATCTTTTACTTTGTATTATCTTCACTGCACGATGTTCGCACATTGTACGCTCGCGCAGAATATTTTAAAATTTTAATGTAAACTTTAACCGTATACAGAATAATAGCATTATTTCTTTAGAGGTTAACCCCTAAAGTCGATAGCATCTTTAAAGAAATGTTTTCTATTTTTACGACTAGGGATCTAGATAAATTCTAAATTCTATATAGATTATTAATTAGCTAAACTATTTTATTTTTAGTTGTACTTGCTGTACACTGTGCAATGTTAACGTAGTTAAAAGTACTACGATGTAACACAGATACCACATCAATTTGCAGACTGTTTTCATTTTTGTAAATCTAGAATTCAAATAAACTAATTACTATCAGCTATACTGTACAGTACAGTAAACAGTTATTAAGATAAGCATCTTCAAAGTAATAGAAAGTAAAGTAAAACGCTTATACATCGTCATTTCCGCAGATACATAAATATTGTTAACAATTAATATAAATTTCAAAAATCGTGCTGTAGAGTATCGTAATTTGCATGAAATGATTACATTAATAGCATTAATAAATAGCCGAGACAAATATTTTATAATTATGATAAACGTAAAGTAAATTGAAAGTTGGTAATATCTTGCTCATTAAGAGATACTGCCATCATGTTTCATTTCGTTCCATGCGGTTAGGTTTACGAAAGTAATAAATTTCAATATGATACGCAAGAAAGACCAACTAGTATAAGTTAAAAGTTCAATTTGTTTATAACAAAGATAATACAGCCGATGAGCAAGTCAAGTTAATCAAATTAAATCATAACGCATCAAGAATTAGCATAAATAGGCAGTTTTATCCAGATATTTAGATAAAACTTCCCAGTCACATAAGCAAAATTAGAGTTTACAGTATAAGCGATCTGAAAAAATTAGCACAATGTTAAATTTGTTAATAAAGCATATATTACAATATGGTACAGTACCATACAGAAGAATACAAGTCGATCTCTGAACTGTAATTTAATATCTCTGGTATAATCAACGCTATAATAAGAATTATCTATTTCATAGATAACTATATGGCGACCAACTGTAATCATATCAATGAAATCTCACAGCAACCAAAGTTATCGAGGCAGACTTAACAAAAACAACTTAAATTTTTTTCTGTTATACTATCGAACTGTAGCAGTATAAATTTTCTAAATTTATTGTTGGCTAACAGTTTTTGTTGCTTTATACTGGATTCAGTTATCTTAAAGTAACGAATATTGTATAGTATTTGAAATTACATTGACCAACTTGTTGCAATTATAAAAGGAAGACCAATGACAAGATCCTCTTTGTCGCATTGCGCTATCAATCATCTATGTCAGGTTAATAGTAAAATGTACAATCTACGCAAATTGTATCGGGAACTACGGCGCAATATCAGTAATTAGTATGACGGATTAATCAAAATCGAAACACCACATCGGTGGTGAATATTACAACATGATATGTTGTCGAGAGTAATAAAACAACGAAAGTTAAAAGTGCAGGATCTCTCATCTATTCGATCCTGTAGCGTCCATCCTAAAAAGGCAATCTCTATATTCCTACCGGACCTGAGTCGGCTTCTAAGGTCGATAAAAAGACAGGCTGAAATCAAATTAAAATAGGGTTCAATAACACAATACTAAATGTATCACTCATTAATCAGAAATTATACCACTTTATATTTCCTTTAATAGAATACCATGTAGAATGTTAAGTTTTACCACTTATCTGCCTACCTCAAAAGGGTGACGTCCAGGGGTATCTATTTCTACTGCAGAAGAACAAGGAGATGAAAATGGAGTTGTACTTGGAGTTCCCAATATGGATGTACTTTCATCGACCTTGATAGATAAAGGTATTCGCTTACGCAATGAACGCTTTCCTTTGCGATTTCTTCTCTTCACGTTTTCAAACTTATCATCATCACTCGACTGAATTTCGATAGAAGAATTAGAATCACAGGACGAAGTGTGGCCACTTAACGGAGCATTAGCATCATCCGAAGATATAATACTTTGGATAGCTTTAATCTTATTCTCGGCAACTCCTTCATCAGCAGATATTAAGTCTTGATCTGAACACCTGTTTTCATAATCTGAATCACCACACCCTTCACGCTCGTCTGAGGAAGACGAATAATAAATGTTGATTGGGCGACTGTTATCATTCAGGGCGGCATTTTGACCGGAATTTGATGTCGTATCCATTCCAACTCCACTCGATTTCGAAGAATCCCTGGTAATAGCTATGTTTTCATTCTCAGATGATGAATCACCAATATTGTTAAGTGTAGAAAATTCATACGTATGTCGTCGATGATTCTCTGTTAACTTCTTATCACGATTGAATAAACGCTTTTCTCGTAAATGACTTGGCGATCGTTTCTCTCTTAACGCATTTGAACTTTTCCTATCTCTTAGAGATCTTTTACTGGTTGGAGATTTTTTCGTAGCGTTAAAAGGTGGCAATCTAGATGCACTAGGCGATTTGTGAGAGAAACTCTTACTCTTAGTACGATTCCTGTTTTTCCCAGGTTCGATGCGAAGATCTTTTAAGACCTTGGATAAGTTGAAGTTAACAACATAGCCTGGTTTCGCCTTTTCTTTCGGTCGCGTCGACAGAAGATTGCCTTTCTTATCAGTCTGCTGATTGACCTCGTTCGCCTTACTATCAAGTCGAGTCATGTAAAGGCTTAACTGATCATACAAATCGTTAGCCTTACTTAATCTTTCTTCATACAATTTTCGAACGTCTTCAGCATGACTTTGAAAGAATTACAATTGCTAAATTAGTAATTAATCAACGCAATTACAAATAGAATGTTCACTCTGTTATATTTGGTACCATAATAAATACTTTAATGACGTGTTACATTACAGAAATAAAGAATTTAGTATTTTATAATACCTTAATTCTTCGCGGCGTTTTCTAAGTAATTCTTCATCTAATTCTTGCAATTTATGTCCACGACTTTTTATTTTCTCAAAGGTCTGCTTAATTTCTTCTCGCCATCGACTCTGCACATTAAAGATAAACAAGTTAAATTGAAAACAATAATACAAATAGATAACTCTACGTAGTTAGTAACGACAACTTCAATAAAAACAGAGGATATTTACCAAATTTTGTTGATGTGATTCGTCAGTAACGGATAAAAATTCTACAGAAGCAACTTCTAAGTGAGATAAAATCTGCTGGAAGGAAGGTCGATTTCTAGGTTTACCATTCCTAAATTATTTTCCATTAGCATAAATAATTAATTATTAGGAAGTGCTAAATATCTTAATACATTTAGTATCTAGTGCAGTTGTTCCATTACAGCGAAACAATAAACGTACATTAATTTTCAATGATCAATTATTCAACGTTATATGATCATAATATATCGACAACCGATAAACTTACCAGCAGACTTTCATCAATAGCTTTAAACCATCTGGACAGGTGGATGGTATTGGTAACTGCAAACTATTAGTTCCAACACCATACATAATTGTAGCCGATGGTACGTCCTAATAAAATAGAATCGATAATTTAGAAATGCAATTAAAGCAAAATGCTTATTCTAAAACTAAAGTGACAGTTGATTTTAGGCCGTAAATGATAGAAAATTAGTAACATTTAAATAATTAGATATCTAGTACTTTGACATTAGACAAATTAACCTTATACGGGATTTCACCGGTAACGAGTTCCCATAATACCACTCCGAATGACCTATAACAGGTAAAGAGAATGTATTACATGGACAGTATTACCAATTGACTGTGATAAGTGTAATTTGGATCCACCCAAAAAGAAAACATTTTATAATTTTATCTAAATGACAAGAGATATCTAAGGAAACACTTCTATTGCACGAATTTGTAGTGCTTTCAATCTAACTATAATTAATCGCTACCCCAAGAACGAGTCTAGGTAAGATTGAATACTTCAAGCTTACCATACATCGACTTTTTCTGAGCAAGGTTCACTACGAATAACTTCTGGCGCCATCCATGCTACAGTACCAGCAAAGGTCATCTTTGTACTATTTTCTCCCAAGAGTGTAAAAGTACCAAAATCTGAGAGCTTTAACGTGTCTTCGTTACTTAAGAGCACGCTATAACGTTATGAGAAAATAGGGTTATTATTATTATCGAATTAGTATAATTGTAAAGTACTAAAATACTGTAGATTTCTATAATACAATCCTAGTGCACATTATTGATGTTAAAGTGATTTGCCATAATAAATTAAATAACATTTATGTAATCACAGCATAAGGCAATTCTAAAATGAAAGTTTAAAAGTGGGACAAAATATCATACTTGGGCGATTTCAAGTCGCGATGTATAATTTTATGACTATGTAAATAATTCATTCCACTGGCCAATTCTTTAGCCCATTTGATAATCAAGGTCGGGACTAATTCTCGTTTCCTTTGGTGGATAAGATCGTAAAGAGCACCATTGGAGCAATATTCCATAATGATACAATAGCAAGGTGCTGTTACGCACACGCCCCTACATAATGATTGAAGGATTTCATGTGTTAAGTACAGTACAGAGGGCGTACTGATATAAAGTTGAGAAGATAATAGTGATCACTTTGTTTTTAACTTAAAGAGCGATTCAGTTTTTTAACATAAATATAGATCATTTATTGCCTAGTTGATTTAAAATATAATTAATTAATTCATAATATACATGTATTTTATAAGTGATGCTTATCTGTCTGGTTCAGCAGCGATAATTTTAACTATGGACTGTAACGAGTAGCTTAATAAGCAAGTCATCACATACGCGTAAATTGAAGAAAATTCAGTGTACTGCAGAATGTTTTATCAGACTGTATCGAATATGACAGTATAGCAACAAATCGGAAAGTTTAAAATCTTAAATCTTGATAAGGTAACAGTCAATTCTGATCTATGTTACGGCCTGATAAAAGATCATCTATTGCTGCTAAAAGTATTATTCGTTTTAAGTTAAAAAGTGTACGAATGTAATGACATCTAGCAGGTCCTGTTCTATCGTCATGATATTACTGTACAGTATGTTGACTGCTAAGCTTCTACAGCCATCAAGTCAAATAAAAGCGGAAGCAATTGATGACCTAAGCCTAGGCAAAAGGCCGCACTTCAAGATCGATCTTTCTTTCTTTTTTTATCACTTGTAGGCTAGGAGCCGCCTACGCGTAGTTATGGCTTTATCGGTATAGCTACCCATACAATACTAAGATAGTGATAGTCATGTCTATATAGAAATAACAACTGGGGTTACTTTGACCAACAGTATACAACTTTGATACAGTATAGGAGTACAGTAAGATCAAGAATGAAAGAAGACAATTTTCATACAGGTAGCAGGGAGAAAAAATGAAAGGGTATCCAATCAGCTGTTGAATGCAAAGTTATTATTCCTTCAATATCCAAACCACTTTTCCTATGTATAGGCTATAGTACTGTACTTACAGAAAGCGAATAATATTGGGATGCTGTAATTTGCGTAAAGGTTTGATATCGATATCTTTTTCATCACGCACTTTCTTGACTGCCACATTTTGACCATGTAGTGCTCCACGGAAAACTGCTCCCTGAGAACCTGAGCCTAACCATTTTAAGTCACCAAGATCTTCAAAGGGCACTTCCCATGCATCCGTTTCCACATTTCCATCTTGGCCTACAACTACCGACCAAATAGGTCGGAAACATCCAGTAATGACTTGATCCCACCAGCTAGTTTTCGCTTTTCCAATAAATACCCCATCATTGACTACACGTACTACAGGCTCAAGAAGATTGGTTTGATTGCTCTTTTCGTCGTGATCTTCGTCATCAACATTGGCATCTTGATGATAGCCATCATGATGATTACGGGGTACAGATTCATTTTTGAGAGCGTGATAGGTTACAGGTTTATCAGGAGAGTCTAACGTAATGGTATGAAATGATTTATTATCGTCTACAGGTTGATCACCGTCTTCCGACCCAGCTGCCATAGTTTCATCGACGTGCGCGGGGCAGATATGTGTACATACAAGTCCACGGTCAATACCAACTCGATTTGTAAATTAAACTCCAGGGGCTATTAATATTGAATGGAAAGGAAGGAATAATCTATACAAGCACGAGAAATGATCGATCGTCTAAAAATATCTTGATTTCCTTATAGCGATAGCTATCTAAAAGGAAGAAGATAAAAAAAACAAAAACAATAACAATCAATTGAAGGATCCTTTGAAAAAGAAAAAGATCCAAGATAGATGATATTATTATATTTATTTTTTTTTAAGGTGGTTGCGGGTAGACGATCAGTTATGTGGCTATAATCCGTTACGTCTCCTTTTTTTGTGCCTTGTAAACTACGATCACGTACTCTATATTGGTTTACTCGTTTATCATGTCTGTTCTCCAGTATTGCCAACAACGACTATCCTACTTTGAAGCTACTATCGTTCGTCGATAAAACACTTGAAAAGCTCTTGACCGAACTACAATCAAAAACTTACCGCACTTTTGTATCAAACTGCTGGTGTCCAAATCCAATGGAAATTAGATCCTCAAGCAATGTTTTTCGATCTTTTGCAAGGAAGAACAAATTGCTCAATCCAATTGGACTATGACTGAGAAAATGAAGATTTTTAAATAGACTGGTTGAAGATGTGCCAACTTGCCCGAACAGCAAATAGTCAATGAACGTTGTTGAGCACGGGAGACTTTTTGCGTTAGAGTCTGTCCGCTGAACGTTACACTACAGTATGATGTACTGTACACTCTACTGTACAGCGTCGACCATACAGTACAGTACACTGTACTGTACAGTACGTATAGTGAGAACTTTTCCCTTTAAGTCTGTGGCGCATTCAACCCTATTGTCAACAACTCTACGACTGCTAGCAACCAGTAAAATGACTGTAATTGAATACGCCTGAAGACGTCCCTTTTCATTTTCATTTATTCATTGGAAGTCCTAGCTACTGTATTTTCTGTAACCGTAGCTACTGATTGAACTGGATTATTACAGTATTGTAGCTATTGAATAATGGAACAGTACAGTACTACAGTATACAGTACAGTTAGTAGGAAAAGAAAAGTGGATTTGCATAGTAATATTGAAAGGATATTCCCACGTCAGGTCTATTCCCACTGCATAACGCATTACTGTACAGTGTACAGTAGTGTACAGTAGAACTGCCAACGTACAGTGTACAGTACAGTACAGCATGTTACGGTGCAACGTACTGTGTGTTACAGTCGAAAGTATTGTACGGTACAGTAGTACCGTACCGAACTAGGAAGAGCATGATGTAATCATCTCGATCATACGGCATTATTGACCGAGCCTACAGTATAGGATGTCCGCAATGTAGGGAGATCCTTGGCTTGGCCAGGTATCGTCCTTCCAATGAAGGACTTCTAGGAGAATTCTAAAACTCCTTGTTCGGATGAACAGACTACGTAGAATAATCTGCTGTTCCTTCTGGAATTTTCACTACAATCGACTCTTTCATTCAATGAGTGAGTACTGGAGTCTTCTACCATAGACTATTGTGCTGGACTACTAAAAAAAAACGAATACCTTCCGGTACTACAGTACCCATTCACTAGCACGATAGCAAGTCATTTGACTGCCTAAAAGTAATCGATCAACCGTGTCCAATGTCTATCTGTCACATAAGGGCAACTACAGTCAAAAAAAAGAGGTTCGGTTTTTTTGTTTATTTAAATAGATATGTCATCGAGAGAGAATCGTACGAGTGCTGCAATTAAAGGTCAGCAGAAATCCTCCATTGACCTCCAATCAAGTCTGTACTGACATATTGTTCCCATTCTATATATAGGTAAAACGTAGGATACATCTGATAGCTGAAGTACCGTACAATTAGAACGTATTAACGTAGCACAGTAATGTATCGTTTCAGACATACTAACGTTTCAGTGAATCTTTTTCACCACTTTTTTCATCTCTTCCCTTTAAGTCGTCTTTAAATTACCAAACGTACACAACGCTAATGACTATTGAGGATAGGAGAACGAAAGCGCGCAGTCAGCAAAATTTCATCTTGAACAACAGAAAAGAAGCTACAGTACAGTACTGTACAGTACAGTATGATTCTACCCTACAGTACAGTACTGTACTGTAGCGTAGCTACTACAGTATTGTATTGTACCTTCTGGATAGGCTATTCCGTCCGGCGGTATTTTAACCGCGGCATATTGACCGTGTTGGAGCTACGATACAACTCAGGCCTAGGGATGGAACGAAAGCAAGAACTAAGCGCATACTGTACTGTATACAGTTGTACACAGGAACTTGCAAGACTAATAGTGAAACTGTGAATAGATGTGGCACCTGCAACTAGTAAGACATTACAAGTTGCTGGTTCCGCATCTATTCACAGTTTACTGTATGCAACCATTTAGTAGTTCATGGTAGTACTAATGTACCGCATTCACTACATACTGTACATAGTTGTAGAAAAGCATGGACGATAAAGAATAATACTCCATGGCAAAACCAGTAACTACTCCACTACAATCGTGGAAAGACCAGTAGAATGATCGGTGCCGCCACTAGGGTTTCTCGTCCGCACACTTTTGGCGGTGTCCCACTGTCCCATTGTCCGTATGTTAGAGCAGTCCATCAGGACGAAGATCATCATAGTACTTACTATGCGGTAAACACTATGTTTTAAGTAGATACACTGGACATATTGAGTGATGACGAGCACTCTGTCTGTTTCTCTTTCTTTGCTAGAAGTTCCTCTTTTACGGATCTAAAAATGTCAAATTTGAAGGACCCTGGTATCAGGGACTACTAAATAGAAAGAGATGCGACAGGAAATGACCACAGTACAAAATAATGTGCTAGCTTATCGTTTTTTCGGTCATTCTACTCTACGCTACCGATGAAACCGTCCACCATACCTGCACCAAACCAACTTTGCAGGCTAATAACAGCTTATAGTACTGTACAGCTTTGAGGTATCATACACATACTCCATCATTGTATGAAGTCTGCTCACGCAGTCTCCTTAGCAACTTAGTTCAAGCTAAAGCAAATATCGGACAAGAGACCCACAACTGCAAACAGCCTGCAACGATCAAAATGGCGGGATCGCAATTACTACCTTTAGGTTTGAAGTGTATAGTAATAAAGCTTTCCAACGATCATCATAGTTATACTCAGTTATTTCTAAGTAGTCAATGATTGATTGTAAAATGTCTTCAAAAATGAAACTTAGGGATAGAATTGTACAGTACTTGTAGCCATTGCGTCGTGGCGACAACAATTTATTTGCCATGTGACTAGAGAGGAATCCATTTCAAAATATGGTAATGCTTGACGATAATTCTTCCTTTTGCTCATTTCTATTATAGAACTTATCGATAAATGTATTGGCTCAAGAATTCATATCATCATGAAAAGTGATAAGGAAGTCGTGGGTACCTTATTAGGCTTTGATGACTTTGTCAGTATCCTTCATGCAGTTTGCACCTGGCTGTCTGTCAGCGATTTCTTTTTGTGCAAATTAGCATTAGCCAACATAGACAGGGCTAACAGCGTAAAGATATACAGTATTGTACAATCGACGCGTATGCATGCAGTGAATTATAGGATATTCTTCAAGTGAAAAGAGATTACATTCATTTATAACTTTGCTAAATAAGTCTATTTTGAGGGGAAAATTGACTACTTACGCGTAATTATCCATGAGTACAAGTTGAACTTAGAGTTTTACGTATGACTTGAAATGATCCTCAACTCCATCGATCAGATATGGTATTAGAAGACGTCACGGAATAGTAAGTAACTGCAATGATTTAGAATTAATTTTCAACCAGTTCTCAAATGGAAATAACATCAGTAATCATAATTTTAGCATCTCGTAATTATTACTATAGGTTAATAATTATTTATTGTACCAATGATACGTACGAATGATAGTCTATTCAACTTGAATATGTAATGATCAATCAACTACACTATGGTTAGTAACCTCGATTGCAATCAGCAATTAGTATTCAAGCTCTAATGTTACATGTCATATAAGGAAAGACAGTTTTTTGCCTGTATCTCAGGTGGAAAATCTTTCCTTCATGATTATACTACACTGTAACGCCATTCACTGACGTGATTGAAATCAAGGATTAGTACTGTATACTAATTTCTATTAGAGGAAATATCAACTACAAATTACTTGGAAACTCATTCGTACACTATCTGACCGATTTCATTGTAGCATTTATCAGCTATAGCGATACTTTACAGAATTATGCTGTCTTCGGGCGATAAATTACTGAGTATCAGTAGAACTTAGAAGCCAAGACATTGAAACTCTCTTGCAGTTTAAACTTGCGACTAGACCAATTTTTGTTGTCTCTAATTTACACGCAATGGATGTTTTCAGCGAGACGACCGCAGATGGACGAAGGGTTACAAAACTCGATCAGATCCTGCTAAATGGAAATAATATTACTATGGTAAGTCAATTCAACTAGAATACGTTCACCTATTATTCTTACAACTCGTAAGAATAGTTTATCTTGTAAGTTACAACATTGTGAAAATTTACTACATTGTTAGCATGTAAGATGAACTGTCTATGAAACATTTTAATCATACCTAAAAGACTACAATAATTACACTAACAGTTGCATGCTGTACTATATTCCCGTGCTATTTATGCAGTACTACTGATTGCAAGTTGTGCCTGCGTTTTAATGAAGTAAATCACCACTTCACCTAAAATAATCAGTCTCACCTTCTATATTTATGCGTTTTATTGCAATATTTTAGATGGTGCCTGGTGGAGAGTATCCTTTCTAATGCGTTATGTATTAAAGTTTTAACTCTTATCGTACGTTAACTAGACGCGTATGTAACGGCTTATGTTGTTATTCTAATATTCTATTTACTTGCAAGTATAAGCAAAGATGAAATTTTCTATTAGTCCTTAACATTCTTTACAGGGGACCACAGGATTGATGATTTTGGATAAGAAACTTATCTAGCATCGATTTACTACGTTAGCCACTATTTAAATTATAGGACTTTAATGATATAATTTGTATAAAATTTACATTATTGGTATTACCTTTTCTTACTGGTACGCGCGAACCTATCATATTGAATTATTGAAATACAACTATGACAGATTATGCTATCTTCTACCGTAGCCTAATTATAGGAACCTGTTTATAATAATTTTTTTTCACCAAATCTCATCTGTTGTAGCACTATATTGTAACATTTCCTGATCGATGAAACACTGTCTGTTTCATATATTATTATTGGAGGGTATTTTAAATGGAAGCGATGCAATGATTTGGCATTCGTTTGTATTAAGAGTTTGGGTACTTCTTTTAATAAATTGATGCATCTGTACGATTGAAATTCCCTTGTTATGTCTAGATGACAAACTTTTCGTCCAAAACGAGTAATTGTAACTCCAAAGGAGACCCTATACTCTCTACACGGTCATCTCCTGTTAAGTAACTATGCAAACACAGAATACTTCTTTCGATGCTTATTATGTATTGTAAATATAATGCGTTCACTTTAATGCTAGTATTGTATACTATTTAAATACCTAAGATTTTAAAGTAAATTTTCCAAGTTCTCAAGTTACTAAATCATGTCACAATAGACTAGGATACACCTGCAATCTATTAATGAACAAGCTATTACTGTAGTGTCATGCAATAACATAAAGCTGGAATAGATATTTATCTATGGAGACTAACAACGACGAATCGGATACCGATATCATTCATCGAAATACGCGTATACTTAACTGCGCATACGGTACAACTATTAACAGATATCATCACTGCACTAGAGTAAAATCATGCAATAGATTGTAATTTTAATCTTAAATAGTACCAATACAAATCATTTTAAGCAGAAATAGATGGCAATCATAAGAAGATTAATCTCACCTACTCTCGTAGTAGGTCTCTTTATTCAAATATTGAATGTCAAACATGGGAAGTACAATTTCAAATCTGTATTCTTTATACTACTTTAAAATTACAGCACACAGTTTTAAATGCAATCTTAGCTTAATATATACTTTAGGGCAGCCATATAATAAATGTGTGTGCTCTCTCTAATCCTCTCTTCATTAAATTATTAGCTATGAATAGTCTGACAATAACGAGAGCTATAGTTCGTCATTTGCATATATAATTACATTCTTATAGTATCTCTATTACGACAAAAAAATTTCAGCTTACAATAGTTGCCATTTGCCTTAAAAATCTTAAATTTTTGAACTTTAAAAACAGTCGACGTTAACCAATATCAATTAACCTTCAAAAGTATGAAATCTTAGCTTGCTTTACATTATTTTAAATCTTGAGTTAAGTATCTTTTACACATAAATAAGTCAAAAGATCACTTCTATTGTCAAAACAGTTAATTTTAAACATAGAATATAATCATAAATCAACAAGTTGGTACTATAGCTATCATGTAAGCAATAAATTAGTATCGTAAAAATGGTAATATGACTGAATCCATACGTCACGATATCAATGGATAATAAATTATCAATATTTCGGAAAATAAATAATATCTAGTAATGCGAAAGAGCAGTAGATAGATCATAAATAAGAATCTTTGTGGAATTTTTTACATCGACACGGAATACTGTAGAGCTAATGTTGATGTAAATAGGATGAGGTAGTTGCAATAAAATAAGGAAATGAAACTGTCATATACATTTATTTATCTATCATTATTTGCTGTAATTTTCGCAAGTTAAAGCGTTTATGCCATTGCAGCTGTTATAAATACTATAATTAGATAGTTAGCTCTCCTTCAATTTTTTAATATATGATAAGACAAAGGACCAATATTCTTAAGAAATAGTTTAAATTATTAACACGATACCTTCAACTTTTAACACCACAAGCAACATACGACTATTTCGTATAAGCATGGTGTAATAGAATGTATAGAAATGCTGTAATTAGAGGACTTTTCTTAAATTAATTCACTTGATCATCTCTTCGCTCTATGAAATTCTTTAAATTTGATGAGATATGTATTTCTTTTATAATATTTGGTGATAAATTAATCTATAAATTAAAATATCGTTGCATATGTTAGTCATAAAAAATTTCTTTAGATTAAATTATTTTAATTAAATAAATAGCACAGTTGCTACAGCAGTTCGTATCCAATATATAAATACAGAGTAATTGACTTACAGTTAGCCATCCACTTGTAAGGCACCAAGATGCACTTTTACGTTTACTTTGATAAGGTGAAAGCAATAAAAAATTAGAACATCATTACAATAAGGGGCATAAAGTCTTAATACATAAGCAGTAATCTTTATTAGTAACTATTTAATGAAGGTGTTAATAAGAAATTAATACTGAAACAACCAATGAGAACATATTTACCAAGGATCGATGGCTAAGCAATGCTTAATAAAATTTCGACAATCATCTGACATATCTTTGAGGAAAGTCGAGTCATAAGATCCACTGACAATCATTTTGCATGTATCCTTCTTCTTCTTCTTGTAGAATGGCGATAAGCCAGTTAAGCTATATAATAAAAATCATTAATAAATGACATTAACGTAGCCTCTAGATAATATTAATCAATAGAAAACAATCTTGCATTTATTATTATTTAAACTGAATCTACTGTATCGTGAAATTCGTTTATACTACAAGAGGAAGGCCCACTAAAATATTCTGGATGTATAAGCTTACCCCAAGTAGGTAATCGCTCCTAGACTCCTATATATATATACATATATGAACAAGAATGATAGAGTTTCTTGAATGACTAATTTCATAATAATTATATATATATATATATATAAAGTTTATATTTTGAAAGAATTTTCTCTACTCACCACATATCACTCATAGAAGAAATTCCTGATTGAGAAATAACTTCAGGTGCTACATAAAATCGAGATTTATTGACAACTTTAGGTTCAATTCAAGAAAGGCATTAATGCTAAGCAGCTAAACTGATCAAATTCGCTAGTTAGACTCTGAAGAGATATAGGTTTGTTTTCGATATTATGCAAATCATCATTTTTATCTACATTTTACCTGCAAATTCCACATCACCATCGAAATCGATCATATGGCAATCGTCAAGACAAATAGCATGACTAAAGCCAACCAATTTGATAAACTTATGTTCACAGCCTTCCAGTATAATATTTTCAGGCTATAAGAAATATAATAGCGAAATTAATTATTTTAGGATAGGGTTCTCATTCCACTGCTTATTTCAACATCTGACATATTAAGTAAGAGTTTACAAGAAAAAAGTAGCTAACAGTACAGGAATGGAAACAGATTTTGATTTGTCACGACGACAACGTAGTTTAAACTATAAATAGGACTAGGAAATAATAAGCATAGTTTCTACCTTTAAGTTAACTTTAACGACACTCATTTGATGCAGAAATCGGAGACCGTCACCAATTTGTTTCATGTAATTCTGAATTTGTAATTCATTTATGCAGTCGTTATCGCAAAGATAATCAAACAGTCTGCCACCTGGTAAACTACAATATCAATTCAACGGAAGTTAGATGTATGGAGAAACATATTTACCAGTAGAACGTTTATTTTCTATAACTGGACATAACGATGATGCTAAAATCAATGAAAAATAACCAAGGTACTTACTATTCCATCACAATCATATAAATGTCTTCACAGTCGTATACTTCATGGAAGGAGCAAATCTTCGCATGTTGCAATGGTTGCCATATGTCAAGCTCGCGCTGCACTCCAGCTTTAGAAATAATATCTTTTTGATATATTTTAACAGCAAATTCTTTTAACGTCTCACGATGAGTACAATGTTTGACATCTGCAAATTTCCCTCTAAGATAATAAGTTGTAATAACATGAGTATATAGATTAATTAACATTATTTGATCTAGTAAGACATTATTAGCCAAAATGTTTAATCTTTTCTTAAAATTTAAATTCTTACTTTCCAATTTCATCATATAAATTATAACTATTATAAAAGTATTCCTTCCAAGACCAATTTATAATATTGTCATAATTGTCATCTAATTGAAATTACGATAAAACGTAAAGTTATTGAATATATTCATACGCTCTTATATTAAATTAATTTATTGCTGTATATTTAATTAACCTCTCAACTTTAACAGAGCCGTAGTTGAAACTTCACCAGAAAAGTTTTTAGCATGGCAAGTATATTGGCCAATATCACCTTGAGAAACTGACTGAATTCTTAACTGATGTTCATTGTTATATGAATCAATCTGAATATTGTAGTTGGATTGTAATAGTTGATTGCCGTTTAAAAACCAGGTTATCGCAGGCCTATCCATAGCTTGTATGACACATGTAAACATTGCTGACGTAGACGATAAGACTTCTTGATCAACTAGCGGTGTGTGCACATCAGGCATATCATAACCTAGGCAAAATTTTGTTATTTAATGGAAAATACTACAGTATAAACATTTTATTCAACTGCTAGCAAACGTGAAGACTTTATCGATATTATCAAGGATCAACACTTACCATGGATGCTGTTTTTGCGCTTGCCTTTGTTAAGCTATTGTAAAAAACAAGATATTTATTTATATAACTTTTTAACTCAGCATTTTTATACGTTTGCAACTATCATTTAAGCAAATTTAAAGTATACTCTTTGTAGGTGTCATCACATGCTATATCACAAGGTATACTTTTTATAATTGATAAAAATTTAAAGTAGCAATGTAGTACCATTAATGCATCGATATGAGGAAAGCTACTAGTAGGATCCGACTTCTTTTGTGATAAATCATCTGCAGGATGATCTATTTTGAGGGATGGCAACGCGGTAGACAGGGGAAGGACTATAAAGACGTAAAAAGTGCATAAAGTGATGTTAATAATGTATAGTGCTGATGAATATATGAGCAGTATATATCGATGATTATGGTAATAATTATTTTATATAAAATTACTTCATATTATTTGTCTCAAAGATCAGTATTTATGTTACCAATGAAAACAGATAAAAATATATGCAATATTTATATCGTTACCTGGATCACTACCTGATCTCTGAGTAGCCTGTGATAGTCTGAAAAATTTCTGAATTAGTCCAGGACTTCTAAACTTATCTTTACTTAGTTTGCGGGCATTGTCTAGGTCATTCATACGTTGCAAACTATATGCGTGATGAGATCTACGAATTCCTAACTCCAACTAAAGAAAACAGATACGACACAATATTTATAAAATGATTTTTATCACGAAATAATCAGATTATTACAGGTTAATAATTGATACGGATAACCTAAACAAATTGCCTTCGAGTAGAGTATGGCGATAAATTTACAAGCAACAAAGGCGTTACAAAAAGTAATCGCTATTCGACTGAGGAATTATAACAATAATAACAGTTTAAAATATGGTGTACATGTTACAAGATAGTTTATACTTATAAAATGATTGTTATCTAGATCTAAAATTCCCTTATCGACAATGCCATACAATATTGTAGAAAAAATTAAGGCAATGTATAATATCAATTATCGGTATTATAAATAAGAAGTATAACAAGCATCGCAATTGACTTTTAGCATTTTCCTTCAATTCTTACCGGATCGTCTATAAAACATTCCATCGAAGATGGCAAGGACGAACTGGATAAGCTGAAATAGATAGAAGTAATATTTTTTTAAATCTAACTCTAAATGTATTAAAGGAATCTAGCTGGAATAAATAATATTTCCATTTCCTCGTATTACCTTTTCTGTTTACTTTGGTAATCAATTGGGGACGATAAAGCTGAAATTGAAATGAAAATTAAGTTAATACTAATACTTTTAAAAGTATTTAAACATAATGAAATTCTATTCATTAGAATATCATAATCAAAGGAGAATTTATTTTTAATAAGTTAGAAAGGCGAGGGGTTAAAATTATAGTCTGATTGAGCTATTTACACACCATCAGCAAAGCTACGCTGGTTGTCCATGATAAAACGTATACGATCAAGCCAAGTATTCTTAACATTAACTGATCTCGCTTGAAAATGATAGCAATCATCTCTGTTATTATTAAGTCCAGTTTCCCACATGGACCACCTTGTTAAATCTTCAGTATTTTGTTCCTCTAATCGGACGTGATTCATCTAGATATTAAAATATATTTTTAGACTACTAAAAAGAAAGTGGGGCAAAATGCACTTGCTATAACCATTTAATCCAGTATATACGAAAGAAAACAGTAAGACAGAAATTATAATAAATTCAGCGTATATTAATAGATTAAAATATACCGCAAATTCCGCTTAGTTTTACTATTTATAAACTTACCTTAATGTGATTTTTATAAATATATTTCAAGGTTTCCGATTTACGTCGCTTATTAGTAATAGTATCAGCTAATATCATAGCTTGCTCAAATAAGAATACATAGCGTTCCTTTCCTTTCTTGATGGCTTTTCCCTCGTAAACAGTCAGATAATCATGTAGTAGTAACTTTCCTAATCTAAGAATATTGCCATCGTAACCTTCCAATTTTCCAACTTCGCTCATATATTCTACTTGAACTATGATCGATTCAACCAGATGCAATGCAGCCTGAAATATAGTACAATATTAGATTATGAGAATATTATCTAACTATGGAGTGTTTAACCTTTAAATGATATCAAACATTTCACGTCATGCGAGCAAATATGAAAGTTACTCCAATATTCTTAATTAGCGAAAGTAAGTTAGGAGGTACATTATATTAGGTATGGAGAAAACTCCAAAGCGATAACGTAAAAATTACTCTCTATCAAAAAAGTGTTTTGTTAGTAAAGGCAATCAAACATTAGCACAGATACGATAAATTTTAGATTATTAATTGAGCAATCAAATAGTTTACATTACCTTAACATCGATAGCATTCAAGGATGCACCGACATAAGTCAATAGTCTGTTTAGCCATGATTGATATAAACGCAGTTGCTCGACGGGTCGAATAACATAATCTTGTAGAGAGCTTGGCAAATTTAACATTTTTTCACATTTCTCAAAGAAATCGTTATATTCATTGACCAATATTTGCGATTTTGGTATATTGAAACAGTATTCGACATAATTTAAACGCTGAGAATCAAATTTCAGAAAGACAGAACCTAGTTTCTCCGGTCTTTCCAAACAAGATTTCAAGCTTTTACAGAAGACACTAGATTAAGTTCCGAGAAAAAATGATCATTTCATTATATTAGCAAGAAATTATGCAACGTAATTAAAATAAGATATTTAAGAATGCATAAGAACGAGTTAATTACTGAAATAAAAAATTCGAATTAATCTGGTAGTGAATTAAATAGCATAGGTAGTGTAATCAGTAGTGATAGAGAAATTGCTAACGTTGAGAAAAGTATAGACTAATCCCATCTATTAAATTTGTGATATGAGACTGTTTCCTAACATTCATAAATGCTTTATTTTTAACTATTGCTATAATAATCTCACTCTTATTGATTTATGATACTTAATCTTTATGTAAAGTTCCGTATTAGTTTATTGTTGTGCATAATTATTTGTATTGGCTATAATTTGATATAATTACAAAAAGCTCTATGAAAAACTAAAATAACTGATTCGATACGATTTCACATGATACTTAAGTAATCCTGTGTATTTCAAAAACTCAATCAATCATATTTTTTGTATCCGGTCTCTAATATAGTAGCTCATATTCTATTCTACTCATATTGTAAAAGCTAATAGATGACAAATTAATTTACTTTTTCGAATCGATTAATATAGCAATAATGATATTCTTTATTTCATGGTAATGAATTCCTTTTAAAATTATTTTAAAATATTGTTTACGATCTAACTAATGAAATACTACGTCTATTTATATTTCATTACTTTTACTTTTTGCTTAAATTGGATCAGTACCAAAATTAATTTGTTTTTTGGTTTCGCTTTAAGAAACACTTTAATCAAAGCTAAATTATACGAATTTATTAAACAATTATTGAACAATCAAAAACATAAACTAATATATTCTTTATTACTTACTTCTTATGCCAGTTTCGAATTTTCTCAATGTTTCTAAATATTGATTGTTTATTCTGTTTTAATGTTTCAGGGACTTGCCAATCATAATTATTACCATCTTCGATTAATGTCATATAGCCATTAATCATATATTCAAGATCACGAACATACAACTCTTCGCATTTGATTAATTCTTGAATGATTTGTCTTTATAGAGTAAATAATTATCGTTAGTACTACCATACAAACCACAAGTTAACACTTTATTTAAAACAACAAAAATGGTATCCATCTAGGTTGGACATAAACTAACTCTCATAAAAGCATAATTCCAGAGAAAGCTAGTTGAATATGGTAAACAGTAGTTGTATTTCTACGACAGAATTTTCTTATGGATAAATAAAATATGGCACAATTTGAATCAAGAACGAACAATGGCTATAATTTATTTCAATTGACTGAAATTTAACTGATCATGATAAACTACAACATCAATACTATAAATAACGCACTTTAAGTTAGCACCTAGAGCACCTAGTTTTGATAATTCTTTCAAGAATGTGCAAATCATTAAGTAAAATTATAGGCGAAAGAAAATGATTGTAATGAAAATATAAAAATAAGACATATACACGTAAGTCATTTCATCTGCTTATAAATGTATCTACTATAACAACTATTCTATAGCTAGGATCAAAATTTGTTCTCCAATCCTAATCAAACAAAGTTTAGTTCCAAATAACTTTAAATAGCTATGACAACGGGGAACCATTAAATGGTACGGTATTATATAAGCAAATACTATAATCTACTACTAGATTGTTATATAAAGAGAAACTTGGGAAGACATAGAATTGCTGCATTCGTGTCTAATGGTTTAAATGAGTACTGGTATGACGGTTTATAGGACAAAATATAATACTGCTTATATTACTTAGGCAGATGATGGGTCATGTGATTTAAATCGAAAAATTTTCTTGTATTTGGTCAGATTTTTCGCGTCTATACGTAATAATTTAAACGAACACGATATTTTATACACAAGGTATAAGTACGGCTTATATGACTTAGGCAGGCTATGTGGCAAGTGATTAGAAATAAAGTCGTTTCAACCGATTCGAAAATAAAAATCTATGATTAGAATACTATCCCTAACTTACATTTCTTCCTGTAGGAGTCTTTTACCTTTTTGACCATCAACATTCGAGTACCCTATTTCAAATATGAAGAATTTATCTATGGTTGTCATTGGTCAAATATTCATGATATTATATATCTACATGTAATAGATGGTACGTTACTATTCATTTCTCCTCATTATACAATATTTAAAAAGAATGAAATAAGAAAATACGTTTCTCTTCTTCACCTTCTGCTTTAATTGTAACCGGTGATATCGGCAGAATGTTTTTATCTAAGCTACGATTTCGTACAGCTTGAACATCGGATTTCATTTGCTTAGTATAATTGTTCTTATCAAAATATTAGGTAGTAGCCAAATTAGAACAGATTCATTAAATTAACAACCTGATGCTGTCTTTATAGACGTATAAAAGTGACTACGATTGAATGATTGCTTTTTGAACGTTAAAAGAGATACAAGATTAAACTATTTATGTAAGTAATTATCTACAAAATACTGTAGTTATCTAACCTCTATAGCATGGGAGTCCATTGAGCTTTCGTAATAGTTAGAGGATGATGTTAAAAGCGAAGTCTGAATATCGTTCTGTGGTGGCGTTGAAAACTTTTTAGACTCAGTAAGCACTTTTTCCATATCCTCTGCCCAAAATTCCGATTCTAAGGTATCAAACTAATTGAAAGATATAGAAGCGAACAAAAGGAGAATATAACTTAATATACTATGATAATAAATTTATAGCCTTTAGAATAGCATTCACTATCTGTAGATTCTGTAATATCATACGGTAAATATAAATCCTTTGCCATCGATTTATGCAACTGATGCACGGGTATAGTGTAAAAAACAAACAGATTATAAAATCTCCATGATTTTTGTGTTTCTATATTTTGTAGCATTGCAGTAAATAAAGTTTTAACATATATCATGAGTCTACTCATAAGTTATTTAGTAGAAGAATCACGAATCGATTAGATAAAATATAAAATTTAGTTATTGAGATTTCGAATTTTCGTCGAACTTTCTTCCTCTCTACATTAATTAACTATTTAAAAATGAAGACAATGGCTACTTACATCTTTTTGACTACGCGAAGATGGTAATTTAACGAATCCTGCCACTTCAGGAGCCTATCCAAGATCGGGTATAAGTTGTTAGTTTTCCAAAAATACAAGAAATATATATTGTTGTTATTAAGTCTGAGAATAACGATAACAGCCTACATCGTAATATTGGATAAAAAATAACACAAGTAGTCATACATTTCCTATTAGTTATTTAATCATTACCGAATGCTTTCTTAACAGATTTTGATGAGTAACAGATTCATCGAATGGTGGTGATATCCCCGCTTTAGTATTTTTATTACTACTGGATTTCTTGATTAATGATTTAGCAAACTTATTGGTACTCCTGTAAAGTTATAAGATTGTGATTACGATGATTATTGCACTGATTATTAGCATTAGAACACCAAGAAAAGTATTACAAAACTTGAGAAAATAAAAAATTAAAGCACCAATGTTATGGTACTTCGAATTTATTAGGGGCGCGTAGATAAAGATCAATGTACTATATATAAAGAGTTTATAGGTAATATTATAGAAAAATTTTAGCATAGAGGAAAGAGTACTGATAACTACGAGCTTTTATTTACTCATGTATTTAGAACCTTATTAAAAGAAACTAAAAACATCAAAATGGAATTTACAATTAGATAAAAAAAATTGCTAGACTAAAAAACATTAGTCAACGCTTTTCTTATTATAAAGAATGGTATCATAATTTTGAAATAGAAAGAATAAATAAAATAATTCAGTTACGTCCTTAAATATAATTTAACTTGATTTAAAAATAAAATAATTTTTTATGTTTTAGTATAATCATTACCCAAATCGCTAACAGTTAAATTGTAAAAAGTAAATGAAAGTATAAGACCAATGAAGGAAAATCATTTCTCAACTTAGATAATTGTAATCAATGAGGTTGGATTAAGACAATTGAATTGATTAAGAGCGAAAAATCCTGCCTAGCTTAATTAATTCAGTTAACTTTAATAATAATGTAAATTTATTTAAAATATCGAACTAATTGGTATCACAACCTATTCTTCATAATTAATAGAACCGGTTGGTACATAGACATATGATGTCTAGCAGAATAGATTAATAGATCTGAATTGAAATAACAATGCTATCATCGAATTGAATAGATTAAGGGAAAATGATTTGTCTGCGTAATAATAGACTTAGTTAATACACAATAAAAGCATGAAATCTACAGCAGGTATTGTTTAGTCTATTCTATTCATTTTGAGATACTTCCAACTCCCTCTTTCATACCATAATTTTTGGATGCCCTTAGTCACGACTCCATCGAACTGATTAATTATTGCTATTTCAACAATAGGTATGACAATGTATATTATCGTTTGTCAACTATGCAAGTGCAACAGCTGGACTATCATATTCTCATATCATCCTTTCTTTTTTTCTCTGTTTATGCGAAAATCTAGTAATGTAGCTCTCGTGAAGTGCAAAATAGTATTAATGCAATGTGTATCCGTGTAAAGTATTAGATAAAAGATGAAAGTAGTAGGTATGTCTAATGATCACATTCATATCGCTTACACAATTCTTCTATAACCTTTAATGCAAATTCGATTAAATTAGAATTAGTTATTTCTAAATGTAACGGAGTACATTAACGCTATTATTTTTGTTAAGCATGATTGCTAATACATTAATAATAACATGGGCACTTTAATAGATTTTATATATCTTTTCTGTTTCCTAATTTATACTCGTCGACATACTGGGAAATGATATATCGTCGAATGGAAAGTAAACTTTAGTATAGTATATTTTATTTTAATTTATTTTTGTTTTGCCATGATCAACTGCTATAGACTCGACGTGATATCTTAACTACAAAATTTAGAAATTATGTTTTTCTAACTATAGTAATTAATACATAAAAGATGACTTGAACACTTTGCATAAATTTTATATTTTAGTTATAGTCATTACTTTTAGTAGCACAAATGTTCATATATTAACATATACGCTCGTACTGCGTTTCTCTATTCTAGATTATTTCTATGCGTACTCGTAATGCTGTTCATTATAATTATCAATTGAATCACGTTATTACTTAGATGTTCTTAAATAAAAAACAATCCTAAAATTTTAAATGTACCAACTGTGCAAAGTTGTTAAACTAATAAAAATAGCAGAAAGAAATGATTCTATCAAGTTAAAATAATACTGCGCCTTTGTATAATGGCGATTATGAATCTTAACCTTTCCATAACTGATTAATTAACGTACTATAGACATATAGAGCAGGTCTCCATTACTATGCGTCATCATTATTTTGTTACTAAAGCCATCATTTCCTTAGATATATAATAATATAGTATTCTCAGTTTAATACACCATATTAACAAAGTTGTAAATCATTTCTCATAATAGTAATTGATAATCTACATTATTCTTATATCATAATTACAATAATTTCAAGCTTGTTTATCATTTAGAGAATTAACTTACAAACAGTAACATATCCTGATAGTTTAACTGTAAAAATATAGAATAATATTAATTCTACTTCGTATCATACTTGTATCATTTTACTCATTTTAGTCCACGTACTGTTGATTACCCTATGCAACAGTACTTATCCGTAAGAGTTCTAAGAATAACATTAGGCTATTCTTTTTCCATATTTACTGGAATACAATACTAATAGACTAAAATGGTCACAAATATGAATTAGATTTTGTATTTTTATAAATTTGGGATTAGGCCTTAATACATTGTATACAGGCCTAGAAGGATATATACAGTACTGTACCGTAGGTAGGTTACATGATCCAAAACAGTGAATTTAACTTTCTAGTCTTACGGTAAATGTTTGAAGGGATATATGCGTCAGCTACAATTTATATCCATGTATACTGTATGTTACTGGAGAAAATGTGCGCTATTTTCTTAACATATTTTAGATAAAAGCCATAAGCTCAGCTTAAAATGATTAATTAACAGAACTGTAGCATTACTTTGATTTGAAAATGTTAGCAACAAAATATAGTGAAAGATTTAAGACTCACCCCGCATGTAAAAATACGTATGTTAGAATATATAAAGCATTTCAAAGCATTGTGAGAACTAAGATAATACTGAGTAATAGAAAATAATATTATTGAATAAAGACCAAATTAAAATATCGGGAAAACAGCGAGGGTCATACTGCCATATTGTAATATAAGCAACGACAGTAGTTGCTAGTATACAGCTGTTATGGTACATAAATAAACCTATGTAAAACGGCAGTTATAGTAAATAACGAGATGGATCTATGAAATGATACACTAATAACGTTTTTACTTCCATATGAAAGCTAAAAAATATGTATTTCGTCTTTATGTTTGCAGTTAGTATTGAAGGACAAACTGCGTAGCTATAGAATAGTTGTTAGTGCGAAGTTTTTCAATCGCAACGTAGAATATTAGCAGATGTATACGTCATAGTATGTATTGATGAAGGTAGACTAGAAGCACTTAAAATGAAATACTAAATAGATTTACTAATATATGTGTCTTGGTATAGTGTAAAAGAATAAAATTAGTAGAATTTTCGATAATAGAATTATACGAGTATAGTAATATTAGTTCAAAGTAGATGGCTGTAACCTGGCTGATAAAATAAAACTATATCAAAAAATTGAGCAGTAAGATCGGAGAAATTCGAATTGGATCGTGACTCATTTTTCAGGGAATATTTTCGAGAATTTTAACGTTACTATGAAGATAAATTAACTATGAGAGAGAAAAATTGATGAAAGTCAATTAAAGTAAAAAAGAATCAAAAGAAAGTGGGATCCAGTTATATAGATTCTGTCTTGTAAAAGGTGTAATAAAGCAACACATGAATGAAAATTAGGTAGTGAGTAAAAAGGGAAAACTTTTATATTAAGAATCAATGATAGGAGAAGAGAAATCAGAAAAGTTAGATATAAGTAGAAAGAGAAAGATTAAATTTGAATCTTTCTCTAGTATTGTTGTAATTTTTCTAACCTCAGTATAGCTTTAGTTGAATTTGACCGATTGAATTTGCCTTTACTGGGTTCGGTGTAATAATATTGATTGATTTCAAAGGATGATGATGTTGATTCTGTATCGACTAATGTCCAAAAAGAAGATCACATTAGAAAACAAGTTCAATTCAAATTGAGCTTCCTAAAAGGTCTCTAATGTATGTTACAAAGTTAACGTTAAAATAAAATAACCCTTTACTGCTATATTCAGCGGTCATCTACGTCACAATTAAAAGCGCTTACATAATATTAACAGTTGTATGATAATATCAAATTGTTGAAAAATAAAATGAAACAACTGGATGAACTCCTTTACGTAGGCTATCACTGCGTGACAAAACAATCAACAATCGAGAAGTTTGTTCAACTCAAGACAAAAAGATGGTTCCAGCAGTCTTGTCTTCCTACCCTAAGGAATAATATTAACGTAAGGCAATCAACTACGTCAAATCCCGTTATCGAACCTTTTTATAGATCAATTTTGTTGAACATCAATAGATGAAAACGAAAATTAATCGCAATTTATTTTGAAAGGGAAGAAAAGAAAGAAAAATATTCGCTTAGCCTGATTTGGAATATTTGATGAGTTGTTTCATTGATTATCAATGTATATATATATATATACAAAAAGAAATTTTGAATGGGACTGGAGAAATAATCTTGTTCAATGTTATCATCAGCTATAAATAGATAGTGATCCAAATACAATAGAAGCTATCAAAGTTACTGTCTGTGATGTCATGAAAATATTATCAATATCTATCATCAAGTATTAATAGGCTAGTAATAGAAAAAAGAATATTAAATCAGCGCGAACGGTCGGCTAATTGAGAAATTAGAATTGTAATCGAAAGGAAAATATTGCACACAAACATTATTGATGATTATGAGAAAGCATTACGAATTCTGCTACTGCTGTCATCTAAGTAAATATCGTGAAATGATACAATATGCAAAATTGCAGCCAACAACATGTTCAGTAGTCAATAGCGATAGAGAAGAATATCCAATCAGCGCTTACTGTATACCTCCTTCACCTTCAAATTAGGATTGTAAGCGAAGGAAAATATCGCACATACAATATTTACTCTAACGTCATTACGCATAAATACATGTACATAAATATCATAGAATAATATTCTTAATAAGATAGACAAAATTGTAACTAACAACGTGTGTACTGTACAGTCATTAATAGCAATAAAGAAGAACGTTAATTAAATCAACGCAAGCCACTCATGAACTGAGAAACTGGAATTGTAATCGAAAGGAAAATAGCACACGCACAGTATTTATGCTAATGAGAAGGTATTGCAAATTCGGTTGTTGCTGTTATCTAAATAAATATCATGAAATGATGCTCTTAATATGGCATGCAAAATTGCAGCTAATAAAATGTATCACTCTTCTGCATTCGAGATTTTCTTAATGAAATATAGAGGAATATCAAAACAATACAAACTACTCATTAGCTAAGAAATTGGATTATACGTATTCTAGAGGAAATTATCACGCGTTCAAAAACTACTCTAATGAGAAGGTATTACAAATTATATACTACTGTCATCTAAATGAATATCATGAAACAACTTTGTTAATGCGGCGTGTAAAAATTACGGCTCACGGTATGCAGTTATAGTACAGTAGATAGAAAAGAAATGATAAAGGAGGTGATTCTCCATTAATTAAGGATGATCTTTAGATTATATTTAATTAAAATACTATATTGGCTTCTTTATAGGAAGTATATACGTAAAAATTTGAATACGATGATATATGAATATATGAATAGATACAATACACGTAGATTATATCAGGGGATTGTATTGTGTTGCTGCAATAAACTTGAAATACACAACAAATAATTGACCATAGATGTAAATTATCTTATTAGTCAGTCATTCAACATGATCGATTTCTGGAAAAAATTTTAATTTATCAATGATTTCAATCAAAGTAAAAGTTTCTTAAATTTTATGCTAAAGATTACGAAATATATTAAAATGAGAACGAAAGTATGATTTATAAAGAATGTAATTGTAGCAGTAAGGATATTTATTGGGAAGCACTCCAAATGCTGTAAACTATCGTACTTTATTCAATCATGAAGAAAAAGCAATTTGATTGCATAAATGTAGAAATAAAGCGATAGAACAGTTAACCTGCTAGCACGACATGAAACAGAAAGGGCTTTTGTCCATTCTAATTGTTGAGTAAATCAAAAGATACATTTACTATATATCTCCTTAAGATTTACAATAGAAAGGCTGATTCGTTCCAGTAATATCATGACTCTGCAGTAGTCACAAAATAATTATCAAGTCACTCATAGGATGAGCTAACAATCCTTATAAGTACTGTATATACGTAATTTACTAATACACTACATTATGTCTGTCTTGTTTTACAGCTTATTATGACATATCTTAAAGGGAAATACCAGTATTTCCTAAAATGACAGCTACAATTGGAGTAGATTTTGACATTAACTAGGCTTGGAATAGAATGATAGGAATTCTAATGGAATGAAGGTGACTAATAGCAAATACCTATTGAATCAACTTATGGATCTGAATCATAATAGTAGGTAATCACGTACATCTCATTGCGTAACATCGTCCGACTACAGCCAATTTCGTAGATGAGTAAGCAGTGACAATTTGATATGTATATATTCCTTTAAGTATTATAATAGAGGTAGAAGTGTACCTATTTCATTGTAGATCTGGACCTTAACATCATCATATTGCATTGTATTATGAGATGCAATAATCGAATAGGTGATATAATAAGATTATGACTAATGGAAACAACGTATACTTGGCAGACACTTTAGTTGCGATGGCAATTTTATCATTTTACCTTTCCGGTCTTTGTTTAAAGACATTAGTATTTATTATTTGAAAGTTATTGATGGGAGTAGTTAAAAGTAATTAATTACAGAAAATGAGTGCTCTTCCACGATCTTTTAATACCCTCTGGAACGATATAAGTATCAATACTTTCCCATGTATACGTATATGTTATATAGTGATACATATACCAACTAAAAACCTATATTAAGGTACCTTACCATCTATGCATAAGAAAGTACTAGTGAAAGATTTTTTGCAATAGTTCTCCATCCGCAGTATACTGACTGTAACGGTAGAAACAATATTACTATCATTTACTTATTCTTGAACTACAATAATCTAATCGGTGCCTAATATTGGGCAGCCTACCTTACTGTATATATCACTAAATTCACGATATTTTCTATTAGACGCTAGATAAGCCTTTTGAACTAATTTGAACCGATTAGTAGTTCGCCTAAATTTCCAGTTGATAGAATTTAGCTTACGATAATGTGATCACAGCGAAAGTTTTATCTTACTGTTTAAACACTCATAATTACCTTGCCCCAATCTTTGATAAATATAGTAACGGGCCAGTGTATGGCTTATTTAAACACTACCTTATAGTTCGAAGTATTCTAGGGATAATTATAGTTAATAATAAGATGCGAAATATTATTTTGTAAATTCAGACAGCTTCAGAAGATGTCTAATACCATTTTTTAGAAAACACTATATTAGACATTATTCCTAGCAACGTTAAGAATGAGTGTACGTATCCAGGTAAATGACTATGAAATACAGAAACACTAAATTGGGCGAAAATAAACTTCAACAATTGAAATTTTAGTAAACCGAGCTGCCACGTTAAGCAGTTATTCTGATATTAAGATCAGTCTTGCGTGCGTAGCGCAAGATACCGAAGTCTAACGTTCAGATCGAAAAGCTATACAATTTTAAAACTGAGATTAAAACTGCAATATTGCTAAACGTAACTTACCGTCCGGGTCCTTAATAAATTCAGGTAAAGTGCTACTTCTTTTCAGTCCATAAGAACGCGGGATAGAATCATCAGATGAGTGTTGTTGTGAAAATCTTGATTTCGTTGATTTTTTTCTCCATTTCGTTTTTCTCTCTTGCGGTTCAGCAATACTACCTAAGAGTAATTCTTCTCCACTTGAGTAATCCTAAGCAATAGCAACGATTTAAGTAACAGGGATTATACTCGTTATTGATACATTGCTAACGTCGTCAATTCCATCTATAACAAAAGGTAACTATTTTAAAACTAACACGCGAAAATACTGACTTTTTCAGATCCAATACCACTTAAGCGAGGATAATCGCCATCCGAGTCTTCTGGAGATACACTATATTGAAATATAGTTAAGAAGACGTTATCTTATTTTTATATATCGAAATCTTTGATACAACTATTGTATATAAGATTACAACCAGATAACCAAAGACTGTTACTTTAAACTTACAATACTTCTGAGCCACTACCTGGCCTTGATTGTATACTAACATTGCCACCTGTAATCATCGTAAATTGAATGTTAATAACGTTATATTTTACTGATGCAAGAAAGTAACACAGTCAATGCCCTCACGTAATTTAGCAATCCCAATATATACTAGCGGCTTTAAGCGCTTGATCCATTCTTCAGTTACGGATTCGCTATAAGACTAAAATCGCAACAAAACATGATCGAATCTTTATGATTGAGAAAGAATTACATTGTAGTATATTCCGTATTTACTGAGTCAGTTTAATTTACTTTGAAAATTAATTTGCTATCTGAAGCCCTTTTCGAAATTATAACAAACTTAAGAGGCTCGTTTTCTATTCTGCCTACGGATGCAATATCGGCGACCTAATAAGATATCAACCGCAGAAAAATTATTATAGTACTCGAAAAGTATTAAAATTACAGATACGCATACATGCGATAATCATCCTTAGTAACTTACCATGATCCTACTCTTAAATATGTAATTTTTAACGTTGCCATCCCCATCCTTTACTTGTTTGCTTAACACTAAAGCTTTCTCAAATAGAAATAGATGACGTTCTTTTTCTTTTCGTCGAATACTCTTTGAATCCATTAATAAGCACTCATCTTGCATAATAACTTTTCCTAGCCCTTCTATATCGCTATCTACGCCTGTTAAAAGGCCAGCATGCATTGCATCATTCGCCCGCCTAGGAACACTCAACATCACCTCCACACTTGCTTTAATTTCCTCTTTCCCACTATCAACACAGTCCATCAGATCTTTCAATAATAATTGATATTTTGTCATTCTTTGAACAGGTTTTATTAAATAAGATGATAGTGAAACATCACAACAAGAGCGCTGTTGTACATCATCAAAGAAAGTCTGGCCATATTCCATAACCACTGTGTTGGATCTTGATTTATTACGACAATAATCAACATACATTTCGAAATGTTCAGCATGCGAAATAAAGCAATTACCAACATTTTCGGGACTATCAATACAGGCAGTAAGTTCATTACAAAATGTGCTTTTATGAAAATTGTAAATTTCTTCAATATTTCCAAAGATGACCTCATCTCTACCATATAATTCAGCTGGAACGTCGGGCCCATGCATGGCTTCCATGTATATATTAATAACTTGTTCTAAATCTTTTACATATGTCTGCTCTGTTGTAATCAACTCGTTAATAACAAATTTCTTTCGTCGTTCAATTCGTTGCTTTTCATCATCTTCTGATAATTGTCTCTTAAGAGATCCTCGACTTCCAGATCTTTGCAAATCAGAACGAAGGCTAGATAAACTTGCTCTACTAGACATTTTATGGAGATAAGTATGTTTATCAGGATATTCCGTTGTTGGTTCACCTTTAGTAATTGCTTCCAGGAGAAACTGATGTTTGCTCATGTTATAATCGCAATCATAATAGTTCGTTTCCAGCGAATCCATCATAGCTTTAACATTATCCGCATGATTATGTTTATTTTCAATTAATTCTACACCATCCTCGAGCAAATTTTCAATAGTTCGATACATTTCTTTTAAACTTGCTTCATTCTCTCGGAATAACTTTAAATGAAGTTTTGCTTCAGATTCTGTTAATTTTTCATAATTTAAATTCATAGGTATATGGAAAATATTTGATTCATGAAGAGTATTTAAAGTTTTCTTAGCTTCAGTATCAAAAATTATAAATTCTTTACAGTGTTCTAAACTAATCATATGTGATCGCCATAAGTTAAGAACATAACCCTCACGACGTCTTAGCTGTTCAATGATCAGACGAGGATGTTCTCTTGACGAACTGGTAACAATATCGTCTTTGGAAGTTTCATTTATTGCCTCTTCGTTGGCGTAGGTATCTATAGCTTGAATTAACGATAGCAAGTTGGTAGAATAAACGCGAACAAGGCCGCAGGCAGCAATTATGGTATCTCTTTCCTTGTTATGTTTAGCGATCAATTCATAAATTGCTTCACTTTTATTAGTAACTCCTGTAAATTCACTAGCAATATCACATGGATCTCGGCCAGAAGAAAAATCTCTTTCCGCACTAGATAAAACTTGAAATATCTATAATTGGTTTATAGTAAAAAGTTAGCAGCCTTAATTTCCTTCTTTTGAATATATTATATATAATTATCAAAGAGAAAAATAATGTAATTCTATTAGATAAGATGAAATTGAATGTTAACGCAATTAAAGAATACCTCTTCCGAAGCTTCATGGAATTGTACTGATGTGGTAAGAAGCTCATCCCGAAGGTTGCATAAACGGTTAAGGCAATCCCAACTTTCCATGATGTTATTGATACAATTGTTACAGGTTTCAAAATTATGTAACCCACTCTCGTTTAATTTGGTGCCTTCTTTATATATGTTCTCAACACTTTGACCGATACACTATATCATGTGCCAAAATAAATATTTTAAATCCATAAGATAGATGGATTGATATATAATATCGCTATGGATACATAGACATAGGAATATTCAACACTGTAACATGAACAAATACAGCAAGTAACTTTTAGCGTTATGTCATTTACATCAATAGTCTTCTTAAATCCTTCGAATTGTTCTTGCAAAGACTTTGCTTCAATTGGATTTCTTCCAATCTCTGAGAAGTTGATTAGAGACAACTCCGCGTGACGTATCCATCCAGATAGCTAAAATAAATGTACAAGTTTTACATGTTGATATAGTAATATGAATGTCTAAATATTATCAAAATTAATATAAAAGAACGTATAATGTATGATAAGCTAGGGTACCTCATTTCCTTTCTCTATAAACTTGACCAACGTTAAATGTCTTTTCATAAATGCTAATTTTGTCGAGTTGGTATTAACAAATTGCTGTTGTTTATCAACGCATAGCTGCATAGATGCGTTTAATGCGCTGACATGATCTTGTTCATTTTCATCTGAGGAACTAGGGATATTTATTTGTAGATCCTGTATCTGCGGAACAATATTGTCACGTAACAGCTGTAATTCCTCCAGTTGCGATGTAAACAACGTATTTTTATCTTCATATGCATTTATAAGCATTTCCATTTGTTGGCTACTATCGGGATAGGTTGCATCTAATATTTCGCTTCGTTGTTGATCGCAATCTTGCATAAACTGTAAAATATGTGAGTCGATAATTAGTTACAACGAATATGTATGCAGGTACTTATATACGACATTCTATATTCATATTTATGATGCAAATCTGACCTTATCAATGTTTTCTTTAAGCTCAAAAAAGTCAAGACATAGTTCCAGCTTGCTTAGACGCATTGCCCACAAACCGTCTACTGCGCGTCTTTTCTCTGATAAGCCAGCAATTACTTCTTCCACAAGATCAACTGCTTCATTGAGCAGTTCTTCGGATGGCTCTGTTATCGATTTATAATATTAGAGGTTACAAAGTTACAAACTCCGGCTAGTAACTTATGATTTAAAGATTAAACGTATCAGTGCTTACTATTTTTATTCTTTAGAGCAGCAAAACTTTCGTAATGGTCTTTTAAGCTCCTAATAAGATTGTCACAGTCTCCTTTTGTTAATCGTTGAGCATTAAGTGCTGCCTTTTGCCTAACTTGGCATCCTTCCAGCATCTCTTTAGCTTCCGCTAGTGAGGAGGCAAATGCATCCTGACACAACTTCATTTTAACACCATTTAACCATTTCGTAAACTAAAAATTATAATTATTAATTAGTATATGGCTTTATTGAACCTACATTAATTACGCTTCTAAGATAGTAACAGTGAATACACTGTAATGACCAAACAAACCTCTTTAGTATGGCTATGAAAAACAATAGATAATTCTATCATTTCTCTACGCTTGCATACACATTTACGAAAATTTTCCACAGTATCGAATAGCCTTTTTCTTAAATTTTGTACGGCACGCTTGTCGCATTCTGCTGTTTCAGTAAGGTGTTCGCAAGTCTTTAATAATTTCTCTGCATTATTGTACATAGTCTGCAATCAATAACAAGAATAATGTTAATCTATTTATTAAATAATACGAAATAATCAAATACAAAAGGATTGATTGCCAGATTACTACTGTATGGAATCGTATCTGAAATATACGTGCAATATCAATGACGACTTTCACAGACCTCACACATCTTCTCGAATTCTTCATGTTTTCGTAAAAGCATGTCTGCTTTGCTTAGAGATTTTGCTATACGAAAATTTTTTATTAAATACATTTCCCCATGCAGTTCAATCCACTCAATAACCTATGCAAATTATAATTTAGTAATATATTTCCATTCTATGTGATACACAGAAGTTTACAATTACACAATAGGCAATATCATTTAGGTATCATCAACGTTTTCGCATATTGCTTAATTTACCCGATCGGAATCTTCATCGATTATACATAGCTGATATTTTTGATCAAGTTTTTTGACGACTGAGGACCATTTTCGTTCGAATTCTTCTTTTTCTATCTCGACAGTGTGCAACAGACTCAAAACATGATTTGCTGCTTCATTGTAAGTAGGACTAGCTGCGGTCCACATATTACTGTTAATGACGATAGTACTAGGTGTATGAAGCAGTTGAGAAAGGTCTTTACCAATCCTTTTAATTTTATTATAAGCTTCTTTAAATTCTTCTTGAATGGTATTATGCTTTAATTGCAAATCTTGTAAGGTTGATAAACCTTGAGGTATTCTTTCTCTATCATGATGACAAGCTCTTTTAAGTTTGTCCACTAATCTGATGAACTACATTCAACGATAGTTATTTCTTTAAACTTTTGAATTGCTTTGAAAAATTTCGAACACAATAACTATCATCCAATGTATACTTACATTTTCGTACTCTTTGTGAAATAGAAGCGATTCGCGTACCAAGGCTCCCCTTTCTTCCAGACTGGCAGCGAAATGTTTCCATTCTCTGTCAAGTGTTTCACATTCCTCCAGAAGATCTTCTTTGGCATATTGCATGTTGGGAAATAATTTGTTACCTTGTTGCAATAGTTTACTAACGTTTACATATACGTTCTGCAATAGATTAGTGATTTAAAGTTAGATAGACATCTTTAAATAAATCAATGCATTTCCGACGTGATAGAATTGACTACATTATACCATTGCACTCTCTTGAAATCTATGATAATCTTCTTTATGCCTCTTAGCAGATTCGATGCTAGTTCCAATGTCAGTGAGTTTCATCAAGAAATTATCTCTATTGCGTTTAATCCATTCCCTGACCTATAGTTCAAGAGATTAATGATAGAAAAAATACCAATGACGATATCCTCGAAATCATAGATGTAAAATTATCATTTTACTGCTGAAATATTGATGTAACTAGAAAACCATAACAAATATTGCAGATCAGCAGCCTAAAAACTTCACACTAACTTTACCGTTTTATACAATAACTTACTTTTCCACTTTCTTTGACAAAAAGGCATAACTGGTAATGTTGATCCAGGTTTAATTTTTGTTTTTGCCATTGGTCACGCAATTGTTGACGTTTTGTATGCATAATATTTATTAGTGTTTGGATTCGGCTTGCACTGGCAGTAAAGTCTTCTAAGGAAGTTCGAATAGGTCGTTCTCTTCAAATATTGTAAAAGTAGCACATTTTAGTAATCTTGCTAAATTACAATAAACAATAGCAAAACATCTATATCTGTGTCGTTGAAGTTATAAAAGCGTAAAATTTATTTTTAATATTCAAATCTGTTGAAAGTAATCATAGCAATAGAAATTATAGGCACTACACAGGTACCCTTGAATCAAATCTAGAATAGTTTGTCCGTTTTCTTCAAATTCATTAATGGGAAGATTGTGCATTAGTTGCTTTATTTTCAGATGATCTTTTTTCCTTTCTTTAATTGCCTCTAGTTCTTTTGGTAAATTAAGGTTGCCGACGGAATCGGATATTTTATCCATTTGATGAATAACACCTAATGATTTTCTTGAAAATTCTTCCAACATCTACAATATTACATATGAGATGTTTTAAAACGAATAAATCATTTAACTATTTATGCTAGTATAATTTTATCGTACATTTGCTTTTTATTAAAAAGTAACATTCATTAACTATGTACAAGTATTATATTAGCTTACTAGGCGCAATTCTATCCATTCTTCGTGACAGTATGGTAATATTCCTTGCAATTCTTCCGTTAAGTCAGTAATATCAATTTGCTTGACTAAATTGGATATAGAAACCACCTGCATCTATAATATGTGATAAGAACAAACACATTTGAACTTATTATGTCGAATAATACATATATATTGTAGCGTGACAGACATTTTAAGTATTAAACTTCTACATGATTGGATTATATAATCACGATAGACGTGTACATGTATTTGTACGCGTATAAATAGCGAATTAGAACATGGGAAAATATCCATTAGTAACTATTGGTATCCGAATCGGTTAAAAATGATCAAAAAGCGGAAATTTCAAAGTCAATAATAAATTACATTTAATTCGGTCTTCATTTGTGTAATCATTGCTTTGCCACGTTTCCAAAAGGAATCGGATTTTATAACAAATACTTTAGCGATAGTATCTAAGAAAGCTTCTTCCAGTATATTCAGTAGCGGCTTTAAGCCTCTCCAATCGACAGATCTTCCATCAACAATGACAGTCAGGCCTTTGACTTTTACTTCTTGACTAGATGTTGTAATAGTTAGTGTTAAAGTAGCTTGATACCGTGATAGATAAATTAAAATGATTTATAGTAATCATTTCTATAGCACTAGCTGCTACTTCATGACATACTTTATTATACGATACCTGTAGCATTAAATCATGCACAGAGTGACATTTATAATTTATATTACATTAGTCTATGTCACAGAGTATGGAAATCTTACCACGGAATGCTTGCAAGATAGTTTATTAGCTTTATTAGACGTTCACTTTCGATGTCAACAAATGTTACCCTAGCTAGAAAAGTGATGATAGCTCTGCCACTTCTATCTCGACCACCTAATAATTGTAAGTAAATGGGAAGCAATTTATGTTATCCCTTATGTCAAAAAATTAACAAGTACTTTTAATTTGTGTAGTACAGTTGTAACTTTTAGAAGAGATTCGATCGGAAATCCAGTACTTAAGCATTACTATGATTGAGTTTACGTGTATCTAGGACAGAATATTGTAGCTAGTTTAAAATTAGCGATCGTTACTGTCTCAATTGCAAAGTAGTTTATTTATTGTTAAGTCATCGGCACTTTAAATTTGCAATAAGTATTGATTGAGAGACATACGCGTACATTAATGTTGATAATATTTACAGTAATACAACATCTTGCAAGTCAAGTACATAAAACTTAGTTGTCACATTTTTATAACTATTGAAATTTTAGTGGATTGATTTACGAAATGTTTGACAACAGAAATTTCCATATCTAGAATACTAACGGCAGAAACTGGCCTTAATCTTGAGAAATATGTATATATACACTCGTTGCGTATCCCATAGCATCATAATACAGTATCGTAGCTCATAAACTGTATTACAGTATACTGTAGTACTGCCTTATCGATGTTGAATGCTGGATTCAGCAATAATACGAAATGAGGAATTGGGAGTCTTATAATTATGCTGACCTTTATTGTCACCTAGGTCAGTAATTAAATTTACTATTTATCCTGGAGAAGTGTATGATTTATATGACATATATCCGTCCAGTATGCTGCTTAGCCTTGACCAGTGTGCGATGTAGCGTACTACTTAAAATTGCCTCGATCAAGACTTTTCGAAGTAACACCGAAGCAGTTGATATGGTACTGCTGTACATAAATTGTCATATGATGATCATGCATTGTTCTGAAGTAGTTATTGATAAACTGGATGTTCCACAGTGATCATAAAATTAAGCCGTCTCAACGAGTAATTGTTATTAGTTATAGTGATAACGACATTACAGGCGATATCAATTTTACATTATAAGTAGTACTGTACAAACAGTATAGTGCAATTAATTAATTGAACGCCATACGGACGCGGTAGTTTCACAGCAGAGAAGTTATGATATCTTGGAATATATTGTTTCAAGTATCTTTTGATGTATGATATACTATAAGATGAATTACGGTAGGAATGAGAGTGTGGAAAAACTCGTACTTGGTATACTGTACATTTGTGCTACTCAATTAGAAAAAAGAAAGATCTGTATGCGTATAGTGTACAGTACTGTACTGTACACCAAAGCAAATCAAGCGGTTATTAAAAAAAGAAAAATCTTGCAATTTTGTATTAATAAAACCACTTAGAACTAGGCTGCATATACTCAAACAGTTGTTGAAGAACGAGCTAGACGAAATTCTGAAACATTGACTTAGTTCAGTGCAGCAATCTTATGATGTTACTTGTACAAAAAAGGCAGCGCCACTAAAGAAAAGTCTTGTTCAATTTATATATGTACTATGTCTTTATCAAAATTTAGCGATGGTAGGAAATTGTTACTACAAAGAAGGCTTCCATGAAGTGCATTAGTTATGTCATGTTAATGATAAACTGTATAGGATTTTTGTTTAAAAAAATCATGGTTTTTGTTAAAGCAGTAGTAACTACATACGATGATGCAAAATAAACATAGGACACACAATAATTTGCAACTGTAAATTACTCAAATTGGTATTAGCAGTGCAAATCGAGGATTTCAAATAATTAGCTGGTACATATGTGAAAACGCACGTTGACATATACATCCGCTCATAATATTATTCATATAGTACAGTGTTACAGTATACCGATAGTGAAGAAATCTGATGGAAAAACTGTGACGTACACTCAAAGTAAAACGCCACAACCGCTCCTGCAGTCACCGTGGCGAAGGATTACAATAAATTACATGCGTGCATCTAGTAAGTCATTAACTAGGTCGATCTTTAAATTTTTTAAGTCATCAAATTAAACATTATAATGATGTTGTTGAGAGGGGAAAAATAATAAGCAAGAAAATCTTTGTCTGAATTTAAAGGCATAATAATAACATAATGGAAAGCAATAAAAGAATGATTTGAAATTATTGCATCTTTTGTTTTACGAAGTTCTCTCTTGTCGAGAGCTACAAGGCACAAAGACACATAACATAGTAAAGTTTTCAAGCAGCAGAGACACATGATATCACTCACTATACGGTAGAATTAATGATGCACCGGCTGCTACGTGCAGTATGCATACGGCACTGTATACCGGACATCTTATTACAGTTAAATATCAGTTACAAGTTAAGAAATCATGGGTTGTTGTGATTACAGTAAACGTACAGTATAACTTGAAATCGAAGATATTTTTCAACATTATTCGTAACTTGTTCAATTTACCTGACAAGAAAGCAATCTTTTCTTTTAATATTTTTAAGACATCGTTAGCCTTTAAACTGTTGTCTTCATCAGTACCTAGAGTGTAGCATTAACAGTAAAGCTTCAAAAAAAGTTTTCCAAGGCTACAAATCCTACGATTTGTAGATCATTAATTTTAAAAAATATAGTAAAACTAAAATGCTTCTGGATATAAGTATCAAAGCTTTTGGCTCTCACGAATTAGTTTTATTTATTTTATTAACGTTATTTGCTAAACGATCGACAATTGCTCTTAGGTTAATCTCATCAAGTAAAAATTAAAAATAATAGCAGTGTACTGGCATACTGAATTTTACTTAAGATGAGTATTGCACTTTGTATAACTAAACTTTGAAAGCACTACAATTCGAGTTTCTAATCTTGTTATATATATATATTAAAGTTACAATATCGAGTCCACATAAGGATTTATAGTTAGAATTAATTCATATTACCATCGAGTTCGTAATAAAACGATTTTATATTTTTTTAACATTGATAGTGGAGTGTACAAAAATTCAGAACGATGGTGATGAATGCATTCTGTCGTGATAATCTGATCGATTATTTATTAATTAATTCATATATTCGTATAGCACAACAGTGCATGTAAGGGTTGAAAGAACTAGTTACTACAGTAGTAGTGGTAGTAGTAGTTAGAATGAGAGCGAGTCGCGTTATAAATTTATACTCGTTAGGATTAACAACTTGCATCCTCCATGACAAAAAGTTCAATTGCTTCATATTAATCGTACTCTCCTGTTCACAGTATTGTTATAATCATGCAAACTTGGAATACTATTGGAAAGATAGCTAAGCAATATGAGTTATAAGCTGATATGATCGAATGGTAAAGAAATTGAGTTATATAAATCGAGCAACTATTACTGCACATTGACATGCAAATTGAGATTAATCTAAATACTTGTAATTCTCTGGCTAATGATTTCAACGACTACGTAAGGTAATTTTTGGGGGGTTGGTTTAAGCGATTAATTAATCGTTTGCGGCTAAGATAGGTATACAGGATGGAGAATAGTGTAATAGAACAGTGTTGTGATCGATATTATGAAGAAATGAAGAGTACAGTAGTGAAAGATGGATGATAAGACCGCGTGCGGCTTTTCAAGTGACGTTTGTCGTGTATAACTGTACCTAAATACAGTCATGACTGTTGTACATCAATACGTAATTGTGAATTTTTATTTAATGGTTTGTTATTACAACGACTTGAAGAATGTAAGCTGGGTGTATTTATTGGTCAATTTTTAAACTGTTTATTATTTTAGTATATTATTGAAGTAAATAGCTTGGATTAACTTACCTAATTCCATTAAACTTTTTGAGATATCATCGTCCGATAGTGTATTGACAGCAACAAGCGATCCTGCAGCCATGATGATCGGGAGCAATCTGTGATAGAAAAGCAATAGACCATGTTGTAGAATTGTATTTCACTAGTTTATACTATGCACAATTATCCATTTATGATGTTGTCTAGTGCATAAACTAGACTTGAAGTATTTCATGTACAGTTAAACCCCTGAAATTGAACTGCCAGCGTTTAGCATCCAGTCTGGCACTCCGTCAAGGTTAGAATTATTATAAAAATGACAACTATTTGCACTTTCGATAAAGATCGTTGGGCTGAGAATGAAAGAAAATGAAAATAGATTCTTATAATCCATTTTCAATAAGCGATAAAAGACTAATTGCTTATGTTAACCCTTCCAATTATTGCATTCCAATTGAACCGATATGAATAAAGAAATATCTTGAAGTAGTACTAACCTCCAATGAGCTAAGCTAAGATGATGTCGCTTGTCTGCAATAGCTTAACAAATGATAACGAAGACGGCGACACTACATTACTGAAATGTTGGAACATTGAATTTGTCAAGTGGTTGAACAAAAGTCCTACTGTACTTTACGCAGTTTCAATCAATTAATTTGGCTAGTAGTAAGAATAAAAAGCAATCTTTCAAAGACAGTAATTTTCCTAGGGTAGAAATTAGCCTCCAATTTTCTCTTTTTATTGTCCACCTTGGAGATAAAAATGGTGCGCCATCTTGAGAAGTAGGTCCAAGTTGTATTTACTTGTACTGTATTAATTATAATTTATCAATTGAACGAGTGGTGTGCACTATACAAAGTCAGCATAGCACCGGGGGCTCCTGTGGTGTCGCTGACTGCAAACCAATCGCATTGACAATGTCACTCCATGACACGTAGGATCAGTATAATGTATGTGTCAGCAGGTCGCTTTATGTGCGGTTGTCGCGTAGTACAGTGTGACATGGATCACTCTGTTGACATGCTGGCTGATTCACCCATCATTACACGGTTCTCGAGCACTTGCTGCCACACTAGTGGTGAGATGTTGATGGTCTGAAACAGGACCGATCATCTTGAGTGTCCAAGTCTATTTTCACATTTACTCCAAGCTTTGACTGCAATCAAGTAATGTTTTGTAACACTGTACCGTACCGGAACCGGAGAGTACTGTACAGTGTACAGTGTACAGTGCACAGAGATTCTTCTTGAAGTACTGTACACTGTACAGTACTGCCCAAGAATGCTTTGAAAAAAAATAAGAATTCACTAGTACGGTACGGTACTATTGCAGTACTGTACATAGAGATTCATCTTGAACTTTATTTAACACAGTATGACGAAATATTTTATTTATTCCAGTGTTGTACTGTAGCTTGTGCAACAATAGTTTACACTGTATTCATTCATAGCCTTGTATTTCTGCTATCTTGCTATGCCGTAATAGGTCATACTTGAGTAGCTAAGTTGTTTCGACTCAGAGAAATGGTTTTCCAAAACGTAGAGGGAAGAAAAAAAATTTTCTTTTCCTATCCATGGTCTCCATGATCGTGATTACACAGATGTTCCCATTTGCTCCAGTATACAATGTCACTGTACAGTACTGTAGACCACAATCTGAAAAGAGAGTGACACCAAGTGGTCGTTCACTGAAGTGATTGAACGCTGCCCGACTCGTTTTTCCCCTCATTCTACTCTCTACTCTACCACTGGAAGCGTTACCCTACTGTATCAAAAGCAATCTTTCTTGCAGCTCTGTATGCAGCGTTGCGGACATACGGTAGAGTTGAAATAATAATTAGCAATAGAATTGTCCTCCTCATTTTTAGTATATAGAGCGACCATTTTGCATCGCTAACGATAGGTTGATCTGCAACTTGAAGTGGCCGTTGTGACTCGTTGAGTGCAAGAAATGGTGCTGAACATTTTGCTGATTATCATCTCTTTGAACACTCAACATGCATACTACAGTTGCTTATAAACATTCACTACCAAAAAAGTAAAAATACCTGACCAAGGTATTTTTTAGTTGTCCGATGGAGTGTACTCCTATATACAGTAGTACAAAACCACCTTGGACATCGTGGACAGTAACAGACATACAGGGTGTCCATAAATTATCCCAGCGTACAAATTTAAAATTAGCATTGCCAAATCGAGCAGTAATTTGCCTCCAAAATCTACTGAAATGTACAGTAACAAATAACCTATCATAATGTGAAAACTTGAAAGCTGTACGGTTAACTTGAAATGACCATTGACCAATACTGTAAATCGCCTGCGCGTTTTAGTGATGGAACTCATGGAAATCCCATTGTCCGTCCATCTCTCTTTCAACTACAGTACCAAATTACTACGAATAGTACTGTACTGTACAGTACAATAGAGTTCTGTACTGTACTGTATACTGTAAGTGCAAGTGGGTCACCCGCGCCAGCCGTAGTCTGCCACCGTGCTTTGAAAATCAATGGCTGATTCTGGGTATGCTGCTGGAGGTCTGCGTTCCAGTGCTTGCCAAGGATAATCATGATGGAATTCTGCTTGGCCATTACTATACTGCAAATAAGAAGAGATTAATACAGTGTAAGAAGAGTTAAACTCAAGCCTACAATATCTTAAAAGAAATGAGCATGATATTGACTTTGACGGTAGTTTTGTACGAAGAAAGTGGCTGTGTAGACCTGTTGTAAAGAGTACACTGTTGCTGTTAGAAATGGATAATTCCTTCGTCAACCCTTCATTTCAGTCTTTAACCTGCTATGCGTTTACTGTATTTAGTGCTGTTGCAAAGCGTCTTAAAGCCTAAAACTTGAAATACTGTTTTTTCTTACAGTAATCCATTCAAGAGTAAAATTACACTCATTTCTTCATCATTTTAACAGAGATTCTTGGATGAAATAAAGGTACGACTCTACTCTGGCTCTACCTTGAATATTTCAAGATACAGTAATCTACTCTTGGCCCACGTACGGTGGCTTTTACTGTATTTTTACTAACTGCTGGTTTTCTATCTAGATTTCTCTTGGTTTAATTCTCTTTAAAGTACACTTTTACAAGGTAGATTTTATAGCATTTTGACACTAAGACAACCCAGTATCCTTATATCTCTTACTATAGCAAAATATTAATTATACAGTACTGTATATATGTGTATATACATATACTGTATTTAAAGTTCATTAATGATTAGTTACAGTGCATATTAGTCTTTGTTTTGTCGACGAGAGCAACGGCAGGCATACTGTACGTAGAAGATGGACTTGACTTCATATTATTGATGTAACGTATGTCGTAGGAAATAGTGCGGAGCCCATCCCTGTTCCATAGTGATTTTTCCTTCGTGCCAATTCTATAGTTTTACTTCTCGCACTGTAAAGGAAATCATATCATCTGTTTTACCTTCATATTTTCGCCACCATTTCTGATATAATCGACAGTGTTGCTGATATCGATGAGTGAGGTTACTGAGGTAAATACGCATAGCTTGCAATCCATAAAAATGAGCACCACACATACGACTACTGACTGACACTAAATTTTATTGCCGTTAAATCAATGGATGAAACGTATGTTGATCAATAGCAGAACCATAAGTCTTCTGTAATAATATCTTTCTTTCCTTTATCCGACTACTGTACTGTACAGTATACAGTATAACGGATATTTCGCAGTATTGATTACCTTGATATACCTGTACTCGTGACTAGTGCCGAAATATGTATGTATGCATGTAGGAATTATTTCTTACATGTGTAACGACTGTAAGTAGTTACTCGAATGGATCAATTGATGTAACAATTAGTGCCTGAATAGTGAAGTACCCTACGGTTGTTGATTTCTAATGACTTGAAGTAATCTCTAATATTTGATAAATATTGACAGGAGAGACTTCTACAGCTCACAAGACGCCATGAATTTCACAATCTTCTCTCGGTTTCTTAACCCCATAACAAAACACCGTCCTATTAACCTGAATGGTTATCATCGATATTATGCTACTTATTGGTTAAATCATAATAGGCCTTGCAAAAATCCAGAATCGACATTAAGTTGCTATAGGCATCAGCATCACCATACCTGGATTCAAAAGGATGTTCTATCAAACATGAAAGGAGCTTTGGCTAACTTTGGTGGTAGTTTTTCCTTCTTGACCAATTCCACTTCCAACTACCTATCCGTCGCACAAGTAACTGATCTACTTCGACAGGAGAGAGGAAAAGATGTCTGTGCCATCAATATATCTCCTGAATATTGCTATGTTGATCATATTGTTATTTGTAGTGGTTCATCTACACGTCATCTTAGAGGAATGGCAACTTCGTTGAAATCTCAGGTAAACATAGACAACAGTGAATACGGTAGTATTCAATTTTGTCGAATCTGTTTAAAATGTATACCAATACAGTAGCACCATCATTCTAAAATGAGATAATCAATTATATTATTAAGCATGGCTGTTCGTCCATCTTTACAAACTATGAAATGCTCTTTCGATCATTTATATAATTTAAATTTTACAACTACGTCGTATGCCTGTATTTCTCGAAACGTGTATCACCACCTTTTAGCATGAGTTTGTAAAAATGAAGCGTTAATATGCGCTAATTTTATACTGTACCATGGACTACTAGAAATAGCTGTACTAGGATCAATCAATTTTTACCTAATGGTACATTTTTTACCAGAATCCTTGAAAATTTATACCGTGCATAAAATTACTGTTATAAACTTAAATTAGGATTTTCAACTTTTTTTCATAATGTTCGTTGATATCATCGCCGGCAAATTTTGTATTATAGTCCAATGATGCATTCCTTGTTAATAAGGTATCCTTGTTCTTGCCTCTGTAGTTTCGTGGAAAGCATCTGCCTGGTATTGGCAAAGTACTTATCGAAGGAGAGGACTGTCAAGATTGGATGGCAATTGATATTGGAAATATGGTAGTCCATTTTTTCTTACCGGAAACTCGCGAGAAATATCAGTTGGAAAAGTTATGGCTACTAGGACCGCAATATGATGATTTAACTATTTCAATGTCACTGACGGAGGATCTAATGAATAAGCACTGGAACAAATGAATATTGATGATACGGATTCTTCAGTGAGAATACGAAAGCTCCAACTGATAGGTAATTTTAGTACCATAATGGACAGGATGACAATTACAATTGTGTAATAATTAATTAATGCGATATTTGCTACTTCTTGCATTAATCATGTTATTACTAGAGTGTAAGATAAATTAGGAAGCGAATGTATTATAAATATCATAGACTAACATGCATTAAAAGATCGAAATGACGCATTAATATTTTATTATGTTGCATTCTATTGTTCTATTTTATTACGCCATGCTTGTTAATATGACTTTATAATTTTCACCTTTTAAAAGAAACTTAAGGTGATTTTGTTGCTATAACATCAGTCTAATTGAGTGATTGAAATATACAAGTGATAGAGACGTAAACATCACCGGAGATTTTATCTACGCCCAGCAATGTCTTATTTACCGGATTTTATTCTTAAAGTACAAGATATTAAGTGTAATTTACAAACAATGTAATGAAAATTGTAATTTTCACTCCATAATGAAATGCAAAATGGAAGAATCTAAATAACCGAGTTTTAGAGATTTTATGTTTGTGGCAATAAAATAACTGGATTGCATCTATTTATATGAATTATTTGACAATTGTTCAGATAATTACGACCTAATATTAAGAAATTACGTCAGCGGCAACGATGGCACAGCTAATACTTTTATTATAGTCCAAAAAAATTTATTTGTGTGATTAGCGTGTGCAAAACATGTACAGTACTTTACTGTCAATCTTGGAGCAAGTAAAGTAGTACATCCGAACCTATTTCATACATTCCCAGGTACCGTACTTTAGATCATTTCTAATTTCTAATGTACAGTATATCATTTTTCGTTATGATTGCTATATTTTGGTCTTAATATGCTATCTATCAATGTCTACTTATTGATTTATTACTTACTAGTCAATACACAGTGTTAGGTGAAAAATGACAAGAATTTCCTTCGAGAAAAATTACGAGTGTTATTTATCATAAACCAACATACTATGGGTCATCTTATTTATACCTAATCACAGATACTACAGTAGTCCTCAGTTCGTTAGGAAAGAAAAATTGAGAAATATACATAAACAATATTGATAATAAATCATCATTATTACTGTTAATGAGATTTTTTTCAAGTAATAACATTATAAGTATCCAGTAGTAATTACTAAATTCCATTTTCATTTCTATCAATACAGCAGCACCTTTCTATTATAATTCCTTTCAATAGATTAAAAAAATACTAAGATCTGATAAACTTGCAGCAATTCTATGATACAAGCAAATTGTTAAACATAAGTATTTGTTACGCCAAACAGTCGCTAATCTTAAAAGCAAACGGGTATTTAGGACGATGAATGATAATGAATTATATTATACGTACAAGCAGGTTTAGTAATTCTAGAAATTGATTGATTGATGTACTGTTAATTGTATAGTATATGGATTGACGATAGTTATTTTATATACCAGTGTACATTATATACACTACTGTAATTTGTGATCATATATATGATGCTAAAATGGCTGTAATGGTAAATTTAGCATATACATACGCGTATAATAATGCATTTGTTTACTTTGTTGATTTATGACGAAGATCGTAGAGATTATCATAAGAGATTACAAATATTCAATATAACTGTACACTGTACAGTGTACACACGATGCATTACTATAAGTATCGAGAAATTTTATAACACATTAGTAGGCGTGACGTTTACGCATTGCAACTTATTATTCATAAAATGTATAGAGTTCACTTTTTCTAATTTCAAAATCCTACATCGAAAAATTTAAAACATCTAGAGAAAAATTTTTTCCATTAATTAATTAACGTAGATCAATTAAGTTATTGAATTTTTTCGTATCATTTCCAAGTTTGTTACATTAGTATTACTGTCAGATTTGGGCTCTTCAGAATTACCATTAGCTTGGACTTGTATATCAATTGTAGCAGATTCTTTCTCATCATCAGTAACAGTAACATAAGTTGAACATTTTTCGTCATTTTTACTTTCTGAATCTTGGTATATCGATGATAATATTAATGTTGCTGTCTCATTATCAACACCACTCCGAAATCTATTCAAGGTGTCGTAAGGATTTTCATCTGATAATCCTAATAGAATATTTTGATCCATTTTCATAAAGCTATGTATTGCCTTGAATGTTGGTCTTTCTTGTGGATTTTCAGCCCTTAATGAAGATTTTATTTAGAAAGCCGTCATAGAATGAATATAAATTGATAAACTAAAGTCGCAGTAAAAGCAGAAAATTACGAATTAGTATATAGTTACCAGCATCTTTCTATCATGCTATTGATCTTCCTAGGACACCCTTCAGCCGGTGGTAGTCTATACCCTTTCAAGACTTCTTCTACGACCTAGTAAATACCAATGTGTTGTAAGTTATTCCCTTTCGATAATGCTGTAATCTCTACAAGATTAATCGGTAAGGACAAGCACAAGTTTTCTTACCCTAGTATTATCCCATCCTGGATATGGGTTCAGACCGTATGACCATATTTCCCAAAGTAGAATTCCATAGCTCCATACATCACTGGCAACGCTGTATTTCTTCGTAGTTATCGCCTATATTGAAATAAAAGTAAGTTAATTCATTAGAATTACAACATGATAAAAGCTAGGGAATAGAAGAAACCTCTGGTGAAGTCCATTTTATCGGAACCTTCCCGCCTGATGATGAGTAGATATCATTCTCGAATATATTCCTAGCCATACCGAAATCGCCAATCTAGACGATATTCAAGTGTAGTTGTAATCATAGTAAAGAAGGTGCAGTTTATATGGATAAGTATATAATTTTAAACTGGCTGTCAGAAACAATTTACAAAGGTCTTACTTTGCAAATTTTAGAAGAGTTTAGTAATATATTCCTTGATGCTAAATCCTGCCAATAAAAATTTCTGTTAGCAGCATAAAATGAAAAGATACATAAGAAAATATATTTAATAATTCTTTCATACCCTATGAATAAACTTGCATTCTGATAGATATTCCATTCCACTAGCGATATCCCTAGCAAATTGTAGAAAAATCGGCGTAGCCTCTTTTGTGGGCCTTTGAAATAAAAATAGTTGAAAAATGAGTTCTATATACATGCTAATGACATTAAAATTAATTACTAGCGGGCGCTAAGTTTAAATTTACAATTATACTAATATGATATACATGTGGTAGGGCTAAGTAAGTCGCGTTAAAAATGCATTAGAAGATTTGATTTATGGCTTTATAGTCTGCCATATTATAGGTACCGGTAATTTATTTAAATCACTCTATACAAAGTACCGGCTTAGTGTATGTGCGCTTTTTAATGAGATATTATTGCTATACTCCAGTTTAATGAGATTCTAAAGCAAGACCTCGCTGATGTTCAATTGAATGGCGATAGTTTCTAATTTTTAAATCAAACTATTGGTACATTAATGCCACCGTTATGCGGATCAGCGAATTCTGGACAAGGATATATCAACACTGATCAAGTAATCTTTGCAATCCTTAATTCGCTGGACAGTGGTTTATGCTGTCTATATACATGAAGCGGATGTACGGAGTGTAAATATAACAATTAATTAAAAAACAGCAATAGCATTTATCTTAAAATAAGTGCATACGATCAAACAGTCCAAATTAATTATGCAAAATGATATTATAATCGAAGTTTATGGAGTATTATTATCGATATCGCACTAGTTGCTCCAAAATAGATATATCAGAATATTATACTACTTACGTAGCTAACATTTTCTTTAGGTGTGATTTGAGATCGCCTTCCGCCATGTATTCAACTACGATTATTGCCTATTGTTGAAGAAATCAGCAGCATGGTAGATCAGATTAAGATGAAGAAATACATAATAAATAGATACGTAGAAAAAGTTTATATAACCTCTGATGAATTAGAAATCATGCCGTAAAATTGAACTATATTTGCATGGCTAAATTGCTGCATAATCACTGCCTCTTGGAAAAACTTAATTCGTTCTCCTGTGGTAGCTTCACTTTTAAGGATCTTTAAGGCGGCTTCGATAGGTTTGCCAGCTTCCTAAATAATGAAAGATTTTGGATATTCATTGTAAAGTACCGTAGCTTAATGTGAATATATACAGATATTTTACGGTACTGTATACAGTATAGCATAGTAAAGGGTGATATTACCTGATACCAAAATCCACGTTTTACTTCTGCAAAGGCTCTAATTTGAAGTATAGCAAAGCAAATAATTAAGTAACATCTAACTAGATTAAGATAATGTTCTATCTAAATTTCAACTTAATTTTACCCGTGGCCAATACTTTCTTTCTCGGTCACGTCACTGAATTTAATATGCCTACTAAGTTGCTCTACTAAATCAGTTTCTGTATCAGCAGGCTCAAAGTAGACAGCATATACATGATCCTCCTGGCGCACATCAACATCAACATATTCATCAATATCATTCGTTGGTGGTATATTATTCGATTGCTGATCATTAACGTGATTTGATTTATCTTCAGATGATTGGTTAGTTATTTCTTTCTCATCATTACGCTTATTTTGCAGATTTCGTAAAATATTCTCTATAGCTTCATATGGATCATAAGGAATAGGGCTCTTAACTCGATCATTATTTTGGTTATCGTTGTCAGCATTTTGATCATCATTTTGTGTTGGTGTATCAGTAGTGTTATTTTGTCTGGTTCGGAAAAGCTTACTAAGAGGTCGCTCATATTCATCTGTATTGGTACGTTGACGAAAATCATCGGCTTGAATACGAAGAGCAATATCCCCATTCGTATCAGATCCCTCTTTATCAACCTTCTTGCTATCTTGTAGCGAAGCATTTAAGTAGATGCCACTATTATTATAGGAGGCAACGATAGTATTCGTATTGCGGTCATTAGTGTCAACAGTGCGATCATCTATCACACTGTTATCGGCTTTTTCCGTGGAGCAACTATTTTCTGAAGCTTCGCCAAAAAATAATAAAAAGGAAAGGTGGTATTAGATTATGATATTTATGAAACTTATTAAGCAGTTTTTATTGCTACTTTAATTTTAACACTATTCTGGAATATTCTCATCAGTACCGTCTTGCGGTAGCATTTTCCTTTCGTCAGTTCGACTTTCATTTTTGCGTGTTAAATCAGCAAATGAAAGAGTTCGACTTCGTTTTTGATGGCAGAAAGTACAAGCTATCATACTGAGAGTCAAGGATGCGATCAATGCTAGCAACATTATAGTTGTTTCAATTCCTGCACTTTTATTCCAAGATTGGAGCCATTCATTTGATTGTCGTTTAAAGCGATTTTGCCGAGGCAATGAACCAAGACGATCATAGTAACAGCAAACAATATTACTATAACCCTGATTAAACCATATGCTCACAGCAGCCTTGCCTTTCGAACAAGAAATAGGTTGTCTGTTCATCCTTGATGAATGCAATGTGCATTTATCGTAATCTATTCTTCCTCGGATAACTTGATGGCATTGCAGCGACTGCCATTGGTGTTTGAAGCGGCGTAATGCTGGCAGTGTATAATATGTAAGCAATGAAAGAGATAATTAAACTCATCAATATCAAGTTATACCGAAATCTTTCTACGACATATCTATGAAAGGCTAAAAAGAATTGGATATCCAGTTAATTCTTCCATTTAATCTAAGGAAATCTTTCTTATAAGCAGATGTTGTCGTATGCAGGCTATAGGCATATATCCAGTTACTTTAATGACAAAATTTGAAATCTTTGCACAGAATAATATATGTCTGGTAGGCTAAATCGAATTGGATATCTAGCTAATTTTCGCTAATATTTCAATTCTTCTACTTTAAGGAAATTTTCCTACAGCGTATATACAGTATGTAGGTTATACCGTACTGAATATCCGTTACTGTACTTTAACTGATAAGATCTAAAATAGTTTTAACATGCTTTTCTACCTTACCTGTCATAGCATATTGACGAGAACAGCTAGCTTGATCATTTCTAAATGAAATATTCTCATATTTTGTAGACAGAATTGCTGAACAGCAATATATGGAAGTATCCGGTTGAATGCTCGTTATTATTCCATGTTGAGGACAAACAAGATGGATTGATTGATATTCGTCTAGTGCTAATGATTTAACTGGAGTAATAGTTTGGCAATCGATTGTACCTTTAGTATAAAGAATGTGAAAGAAATTTTACATCGGAGATTTCAGCATATTAATATGAATTAGAATGCACTATTATGTCAGAAGCCTTATCAATTAATGGGGATTAAAGTTTTAGAATTTGCGAACAGCAGATAATTTATTAAATAGCGATATACAACTAGCTTTAAGATATTAGTTAATACCGAGACTTAATGTCTATTTTTAACAACGATAGCTTATTTATTTATCGTATGATACTGTTAAGGATTAGGAATAAAATATCTGTCAGTAGTTCTAGATGATATAGAAAACATGGTGTTAGAAAGTAAAACCGAATTTTGACCCGTGTAGCCTAATTGCACTACGACATAGTTCACAATTAGAAATTCGAATGTCTATTAGTACTTCTTTATTCGCCAACATATTTAATTAAAGATAATATGGAAATGGCTGTACCAGGTAATAAGACCTATTATTAAGAACAGCAGCATATTTATCGGTGGGATACTGTTAAGGGCTAGAAATTAAAACATCTATCAGTAATTATACGGGTAGATTCGTCTATCCATCCCAATATGATACTGTAGTACTAGAAAATAAAGTATATTTTTAATAATTGCAGGGTATTTATGGTAAGTCACTACTAATGAATAGATATGAAAATGCCTGCCAGTAATTATAGATTATTTTATCCATCCAAAATTTAAAGATGATACGGATACGATAGTTGCAGAAAATAAAGCCGTTTTTAACATCGACATCGTGTTATTGTAGGACGCTGTTAGTAAAAGCTAGAAATTAAAATGACTATTCGTAATTCTAGATTCGTCCATCTACTCAAAGATGATATAAAGATGATAATACGCGAAAATCAGACAAAGTTTTAAGGACAGCACTTATCCAAAAATAAAACATTTTAAACAAGAGCAACGTATTTATCGTAGAGCATTGTTAAATTTTAAGGATTAAAAATTAAAGTGTCTATCGGTACTTCTGGAATCGCCTTGTCCCACTCTGATTTACTGACAAAAATATTATAATTATTTACTATATTTTGCGGTTTTTCAACATCTGTCATGTCCTATCAATCTCTTTTCATCAGTGTCCATATTCAAGACGAAATCTTGGAAATTAAAAAAACTGGCTGTTTAAGAGTTTGTAGTAGTTATAAATAACGGGTACAAGTGGGGCCTATTTGCTGGATCATTTCCGCATTTAATGGCGGTTAAAAAATATTATACCTTTACCGAATAGTATCAATGAAGGATTATTCAATTATCTACAAGAAAAGAGCTGTATCATTTCATAACGGTTAGACAATTTACGATAATGTCTCTTCAACAATTTCAATTGAGCTAATTCCACTATTGTCAATACACAACGGTCAGTCATTGTCCATTTTACGTTCTAATATCGCATATGGATGTCCTGCCGATAATCATAAGGGAATCAAAATTGTCATATAATAGCTACTATTTGATCTGATGAAAAAACTACATGACATCATCATAGTCATCATAGTCATGATAGTGGATTGATATATATATATAAATATAAACTATAAACTAGGCATATCCAAGATGATGGTAACAAATTAACCCGTGAGAATTTCATCGTAATGCAAGGTGCAGTAAAGGCTTAACCGTAGGTAAAAAACGTGTCTAGCTGCATAGAGTATCCTACTGGTTACAAGTTATTATCTTGAAAAGATTTAGGGTAAAGTACAATTGATCGAAAGTAAATGATAGCTAGTATAGCTTATAAAACATTAGTGTGGAAACTTTACCGTTAGATATTCAAGAAATAATTATTTCTACTGTTAGCTTACGGTTAAAAAATAATTAATAATCGATCCATGATCATTACGTTGATCTCTAGATTCTATAGATTGATTATCAGTTAATAAAGTGATGTAGATTAAATACTTAAATTATTCTTCTAGGTTAAGTAGGAAAAGCTTGAAAAAGTGTAGGGATTAATTTAATCACTACCGTCTTCAAATAATACTTTTATATCGTTAGGCTAGAGCGTGATGGGATACGCAAATCTTTCGGTTAGTAATGATTAAAATAAGTCATCCTGTATTAATTGGTAACCGATATCAAAGGAGGATCGAATTGTATAGCTAATCATTCTAGTAGAGTGAGTGATAATTATGAGAGCTAAAATAAATAGTGACGAATTTCTTTATCACTACAGTATATTTATTCTGCTATTTACAGTTGCAGCTAATGGTTCAATTGATTGATAATCCCAACCTTCTCCACGCTTTCTGAAGAAAAATTTTGATAACAATTATTATGCAGCAAGTCTTGAACTACAGAGGTGCAGCTAACTCCCATTCTATTTTTTCATGATAATACTAAATGGTGTGACAACTTACAGAAGATCAATTAGCCTATTCTAGATGAGTGTACAAAGAATCTCTGCCGAGCAGATTAAAACATATCATTAAAAGTATTGAATTGAGTATTTTTTCTATTGATGGCATTATGAAAATACTTTTAGCGATTAATCTTAACATGATCAAAATTGTCTAACTAAGTTCGTGATGATGAACTATTATTTGATCTCGGTAACGCTAACTATATTTATGAAAGTAAAATTGAATTTGACCTTATTGCTAGCATAGCATCAATGTACCTTAAAAAATAGAAGGTTTGAGTTAAACAAATAAATAAATGATTTCAATCTAGTTTTTATAGATATAATCAAAGTAAACGGTATCTGATGATCAACAGTGATGATGATAATGATATTGCGTCTCGTTAAAAATAATAGAAAAACAGACCTGGAATCGCTTCGATGTAAGCAATCTTTTTCCACGCCAAGAATATAAATAGGATACTGAAGGCAGTTATTACCTTCATATCTAGTAATGAACATCAATTAAATTTGATCGAGTAGGAGAATCAAAGCGAAAAGATAAAATCAAGAAATTCTTGTTCTCCACACTTGTTTTAAAATGTTCAAGGATGGGAGAAATTTATCGAACAGTTAATTAGATCCAGACTTTGCAGTACAGGATGGAGACAGCAAACAGTGCTAGGTTATCCTAGTCTTCAGGGTATATAGTGACTTAGTAAATAAGCGATCAACATTTATGTTTACCTAATACATGTGTACAGTACACTAGACTATTCCATCCTGAATGGATGAGTAGTTGACAATTAATATACTTGAGTACTATGTTTTCGCACAGTAGCATACTATTGTTGAGTCAAATTGGGTGTGATCTTGCTTCTCAATAGTACTACCTACATACTGCACGTATAGCTACTGCAAAACTTGGTGGGAACGACTTTAAGCAGGGCTTGGATAATTTTATTATGGGCAACTGTCATGTTTGCGAAAGTCTATTATCAGTCTTCCGTCCATAAAAGAGGCTGTAAAATATAATTCTGTACCAGAAGATTTTAGATAGGTTGATCACTAATGATCCATTACGCTACCGCATCATAGTCAGTATATAAAGTATGGTATCTATTATAGTATAAAAGAACTGGTGGTCACATAGTCAAGGTTATTACAATGTTGCGCTTAGTTGCATTACATACGAGATACAAAGCTATTTTAGTAATGTATTAACTTATTTAAGAATAATTTAAAGAAAAAGCAATATGAGAAATTATTGTTTACCGTAAATTATCCGATTAGCCTTACGAGTGACTCAATAGACCATTAATATAGTAGGGTTATAATTAACATTTGTAAGTAATTAATGGAATTATCTAAACCATCACGGTATGTATATGCACGTAATACAAACTATAGGGCAAAGAATTAGCCAACAATTTTGTTCTGCAAAAGAGGTAGCGCCCAAATACCGATTTCAAACTAAAAATTGTGCTATTAGCGAGTTCTCACCTTCCCGTTAGCTGGATACTGATTTTAAAGGTTGAAAACTGAAACGTTGTTTTCATATTAATGGTCATTGGCTATGCAGTCCATTCAGTTAGCAACAAATCATTATAACTACTTGCTATAGAGTGATATACAGCACATGGACAATTGAACATAAAACATCACAGTAGTTATTTGAACAGTATATCAATCATGGACAAATTTTTTTATTCGGCATAGACAATAAATGATTCCATCAATGAATGAATACGCTACAAAATATAAAGCAATATTATTACATCAGCTCTATCATTCAATTAAGTAGTGTCGTTCAATAGGCTACTAAAAAAATGACATTATCTTCGTTATTCCAAATTGAACACCATTAAATTACGCGTTCTTTTCGTACAACATCACTAATATGATACAACGTAGAAAACATCTCTTTGGAGTTTCTATTTCACCATGTGAAACATTAATTTAAACAACGTAATACTGCCTGTAAAGCCTGCTTACACACACATGATATAGCGAGGTAAAAAAATTACAATACCCAAAAATTTCGAACTCCTTCATTTTAGCCTCTATAAATTCCTATTTTACATCAGAGTGCTTGGTAGCTCAAGCTTTGCTTGAAATAGAATTCTAAATTGCATTGCATTTAATACTACTTGCATTCAAAATAATAGTGGCCGGCAAGCGCTTGATGTCAACAACATCAAATTGCCTAATTTTACATATTATAAGCAACATAAATAGGATTTAGACTATCTGATAAGAATCTATCTCTTAAATGCATTCTTTGCTTTTCACCGCGAGAGTTAATTGGAATAGTACCAGGATCGACTACCACAGCAACACCGACTACTACTTGGTGCTCATTTAATACAGCATTCGTTATTAGTGGGACCAAATCTAGAGCTACGCTTTCGTCAAACTTGGTCTCGACTACAACCACTAATAGATTAGTCCACGTGAATAAAGCGCTGTTCGTTCAAAAATAAATAAAATCAAAATAGGTCCATAATAACATTTGTAAATGCTAGACATCACTAATTGCTAATATCATCATGAATAATAATTATTTGGTTCTTACCAATCTCCAATAGCTGCATGACATCTAGATATCGTATTTTCAATATCGGAGGGATAATACCTCATATCACGCCAATATAAGGCTTCATCCATTGATCCCACCACGTGTATTGCTTCATGAATGGCTAAAATTGAATAGCACGATACCTCTTTAGTAATGTTCAGCAAACGCTGTATAATTATTTCGTTAGTAATATTCACTTGCGGTTATTATGATATCATGTGACGATAAATTTATGAATTAGTATTACAAACCTCCGTCAGCTTCTATGAGCTCTGTCTTGTGAATAAAACCCAAATAGCCGGTACGTGCCCACGTCAATTGTGTATCATCTCCGGCATTTAATTTGGCACGAAATCGACGATTATATGGTATTGGATTATCGCCATCTATATCAGCTTGACAAAAGTAGCCTTCAGAATTATGCTTTGAACTAACCCATATCTGCAACATAACATATATATACGCATAAAGTAAAATTGATGAATATTATATTAATGCCATATAAAGATAAACTATCATTCAACTTACTTCTCCTAGTTCAGATAGACCACAAGAAACGCCTGTTTCTGGGTTAACTATGCAAACTTTAACTCCAGGAAGAATCTAGATTAAGCGATACATGCATAAAATAATTACATTTTGGTGTTTCACAATGCTCTGAGATTATCAAATGTTACAGTCCTACATTTAATTTGACCATGAGATCAGTTCAAAGATCATAATCGAAATAGTTTAAATATCAATCAAACGTACCGTGCCGCTCTCGATAATACAGATACTATAGGGGCTACCCTTCTGAACAATTTTTATTCTGATGGTTCATATAATTCAAGAAATATAAATTGATGCTAGTATTATACGACGCACTTGCTAAGCAATTCAATTTGATTCTCGCTTACCTATCATTTCTTAAAGCTCGTAAATCTACATAAAGAGGCGACGGATCTGGACTGGATAAGCTCTATAATTAGTAGATGAAAATATTAATTTTAGAACGCATATAATATTAGTATACAGTTCTAATCGTATAAACCTGTGAGCATAAGGCTGGGTTGGTACGACACCCAAACGTCGTCTTAACTGCTCTATTTGATAATCCTAAGCTTGAAAATAAAGCAGTGAAGACTGAAATTAAAGAAGTACGAGGTCTTTCTTCCGCTACAACGACGCAGGAACGCAGCGAGGACAGGTTAATTCCTTTGCCCTACGAAACAAATTATTAAGAAAATATCGGTTAATTTATCAAGTAATCGAAAGAAAAGATCGGGTATCAGTAAGCAAGAATTTAAGCCTACCGAGAGGGTATTTATGGAATTAGAACATTCTTTAATGCATCCATCTAGTACCGCATAAGATACAAACGTATCTCGTACTTTGATGAGAAATAAAATATAGGAGTATTCATTAGCGATTAAGCTGTAATATCGTCATGATATCTTTTTGTAATTGCGTTAGTTACCTTTGTATTGACTTATGGCCATAAGCCATAGTGTAGGATTCAATTCAACGTCACTTGGAGATATCAATATAGTGTGATGGCCAGAATATATACTAGTAGATCAGCCAATAAAGCAAAGATGATTAATGGACAAAGCTATCTGGTAAAATGTGCTACCGAATCGTATGTGACAGACGTACCTACTAAGACACCACATTACTAAGCCGTAACCACAGTAAGGATCAACACAAATGGCTACCTGACGAGATGGATACAACTCACAAGCTATTTTATGTGAGTGACATATAGAGCCCGCAGCTTCATGTGACATCTACATAAAGTCAAAAATTAACACTGAATAAGTTTACGTGTCACTACAATATCAAATTTTTACGATACATATATTATAACATACTTTTATTCCCACCAATATCCCATTTGTTGTTACACCAAAATCTAAATAGGCGGTTGAATGAGATGATTGTGATTGATAGAATTCTTGCAAGCGGCCTTTTACGGGTGCATCAGTATCTACCATTGACGGCCATAATCTGTGCGGTACTACGGTTTCTGCATCCTAATTTACAAATTGAAGGAATGTACTCATAAATATCGATTCTTATAGTTATGTAAGTGAGGATAAGTAACTTATTAGTACCTTGGATCTTAGTATCTTGATAATATTATGATTAGATAAGATAACATCACTTTTACTAGTATCCACAACCATTTTTACAGTTGGAAGGGTAAATGCAACATTTTGAGGATGTGGTGGACGTATTGGAACAGGAATTAAACCTAAGGGCGATACACCATAGGTAACATCAACTATACAAAATCTGCTTGTAGGAGGTATTTAGAAATTTATGATCTTATGAAGCAACTAAACATACCGATATAGAAGCAAGCGAAGAAGGAGGCAATCAAATCAATTCCTAAAACAAACGGATATTTGAAAACACATTAATTTAGGACGGGAATGCTTTCACTTGGAAATTAGTTGATCAGGAAAAGCTAAAATACCAGGAGGATATATTAGTGCTGCATGTTGACCAGCTGTGAGCCCACTTTTTTCCAACAAGATTGCAATTTTCTCAGCCTTGCGATGAAGCTGTAGACAAGTTACACTTGCGATAGCGGTTCCCTAAATAGGTTAATTAACTAATTAACTTTGTAAAAAGTAGTGTATGCTATATTTATTATTTTTCGCGATCATGGGTATTACGGTCTCAATTTGTCATTAATGTCATGTGTAGAGTGCCATTTAAGATTATTAACTATTTACCTTTCCGGACAGTAAGGTAAATATGACATCATCTGGTGATTGTGCGGCTCGAACTCTTAAATATTCTGCTAGATAGATTGTCTATAAAATATAGTTATATCTTCATTTAGTACTAGATGACCATGTACCTGACATATTGAAAATTTTAATAAAGCTTTACTTCATTTTCTAGGATTTCAAGTGATCGCCCTTCGGAAATAATAGGCGATGTGATACCTCCTCGACCTAAGTAGCCAATAATCTTTAGTAAGACAATTATGCAATCAAGGTAGTAATTATATGTTATCAATAATTAAACTACTAAGAGAAATAGTTGATAATCTAGCTTATTGTAGAATCAAAAATTTAGCTTCACCTCTTGCTCTCTTATTAGCGATCGGCATATTGGGGATACAGCTAAAAATGTTTTAATAGAAATTAACGTATAAATGCAGTTACATTGATAAACACTATATATTTCGCACGATAGTTGATGCGTAAATAGCAATTATTAATGTATAATAGTAACCTATGAGGACACATAAGGACGCAGCATGGATGAAGCATTCCTTCAAAGAATCGCTGTTTCGTCTCATAAACGTCAACAAAACCATCTTTACTCTGGTATACATGCAAATGCAAAAGTTTATTGTTAGTCAATTATAAAATAACCCGAAAGTAGATTAATATACAATCTAGCGAATAATACGGTGTTAAGCATACAGTAGGTAACGTGTTAGCTGGAACCAAAAGAAAACCGTAAATATTGACCTAGAAAATGGATCATTAAAATTACTTGCATAATAATTCATAGCTCAAGATAGACGAAATCAAGAAAGACTTACGTCATGAATTTTGTCGACACATGGCATAACTCTACTCATCCATTGAAATCCCTAGTGGTAAATATACTAATTATTTTTCGGTCTAAAATGTTGCTAGTTTGTAGTATCAATGTCTAAAAACTACACATACATTTTTTAGCTTTATTTAGGACTATTAATCCTTGTAGTAATCTAACCTCGTCCTCCGTGGAGTCAGTCTTTTGTTCGGCTACAACAATAATTCTTTCATCATAGTAAACAGTAGTGGAGAAAACAGCAATTCTGTAATAATAAATAGCAAAAATTTTGGTAATAGCATTAAGGGTAAGGTCAATATTATTATCGTTTCTCACCTTCCAAGATGTACATAGCTAGAGGGAGAAACAGCTAGGATAGTAGCTATAACATCATCAGTGTTGTGACGTCTATTACTGACGGTCATTAACCCATTGCGATTTCCGCAAACAAATATCACATTGCTCTTCGTAATATCAACGTTCAATAGCAAGCACGATTAAGGATTCGAGTAATAATCTGATCTAAGTAAAAAACGATACAGATCAACTTACCGGTCCTAAAAACCCTAAAAGGCCTGAACGAACGTAAGTTTGTTGGGTAATAGCTTGATTCCTGTCGTTTAAGGGAGTTACCTGAAAGAAAAAGATTTTTTAGACACGATATAATTAATATCGTTTACGCATCAGCTATATATTACTATCGCACAGCTTTAAACTCCTACGCGTATACATATCCGTGCTTATTTTTATACACGTAGTACATACTTCAAATACGTGCTTTGATTTTCCTGGAAGTTTAAAGTAGCCATTGCCAGTAGTCCTACCGGATAAGCAGATTTCACCTATTTCATCGACGCGACATAAATTTGGCAATCCATCGATTTTTAAAACTGCAACGGAGCCTATACAGTTATAACCCATTATTGATAAATTTAAAATATTACATTATATGCTCAAAAAACAACGCAACAATACTTTATCACGTACCAGTTGGAATAACTGGGCCTAAATCCTGTAGAGTCAAAGACGTAAGGGAACCTGCGTTTTCCACACGCACTGCACCATCACTTAAAGCACTAAGAGACATAATTCCTCGGCCTGTCACTGCCGCTCGACTGAATGGTCTAATGTTAGTAAAGTATCGAATACATAGATTATTATTTAGGCAAAAATCAAGTACTCAAGAAAATGATGGTGTCCTCTTTTGCTACAATAATTTAGCAAAATCAGTAGCCGCTGTTTAAATTTGGATGGATCATTACCCTCTTATAGATACTGTTAATGTCTCTGTTGAATAGGCACATGTAGACAATGACTCGGCTCGTAAACCGCTATTTTCAAATTCATCAAGGAAAGCGTCACAGGCGGCTAAGGACCCTTCGTTTTAATCAATGTGTCATTAATATTTATGTGTTGAATACGATGAAAGTGTTGATGGCAAATATTAATTTTGCAGTACTAACAAGGATTTTGTCCATCCGCAACAAGAAGCATCCGTAAGTTACTAAGGTTAATTGACAAAGGTACTGTGTCTCTTTGCCTAGCGAGAACAGCTACTTGCAAAATTCTAGCAGATGTGATCGCATACTTTGCTAAAAATAAGGTGCATGTAATGTAATTAAAAGAGAACATCAACAAGTAATATTAACAATAGTATGCATAAGCAACAGTTACTGACCACCAAATTTAGAGCAGACTGATAACCACTCCAGTGGATGATGATACCCCATTGGTGATGTGTTTGGTATTTGAATAATATGCATTCCGTTCATGAGGGGCTAATAATGTAAGCGCATATTGTAACGTAAGTAATAATCTCTGAACACACGTGAATATTGTTAGCTCTCTACTTACCATAATAATGCTATGCCATAATCCAACTCCTCTTCGGTAATCAATTGTGCAGATAGTTGTCTCCACTTTATGAAATAGAAGTAAATAGTAAAAATTAAAAATTATTGTAATGCCTTCACCTAATTTAGTATTACTACTAACATCTAACGAATGCTACGACGCTATAAATTGTAAACTTTTTCATGGAATGAGATGGCAGGTAGGCTTTGAACAATAGTAATAACTAATGAACGTACCTTCTTTTGAAGATGTGGGCGATCGGTATGCGCATAGGCTATTAAGTACTCGAACATGGCTTAACATACAAGCTCTAGATACAATAGCTCCCATAACGGAACCATCTTTATCGACCGTATACTAATAAAATTCAGTAAATTCATTATATAAATTTAGTAAAACGTGTGCTCTAGATTTGCAAGATACTATCTTTAAATAATCCATACAACTTTTAAAAAGTATTTTTTTTAGATAAGACAATAAACTTTTGATTCATTTTAGCGTCTCAATATTTGAGAGGCAGAGCGCAAATTACAAACCTCAATATGTGATACAATATCCGGGGACTGTCTATCAATATTAGGTGGAATCCAATTTTTAGTCGGTTTTTGTAAATGATCTATACTTAGCCAATTCATGATCGGCCATCCTATATTTTTGTATAATATAAAGTTGATTGAATATAGGTAAACTATAAAATGATTGACAATACTATTTTGTATCCATGTTGTGAAATATATTTTATAATTTGAGAATAGTACGATCGTTACCTTTAAAGCTAATATTAACACTACTATCATCTTTGTCCCTCGGTAAAGATTTTAAACAAGATTCACTAGTGAGAACTACAGAAACTGAACACTGCCTCAATAAGAAACCTTTCTGGGCAATTCCGGGTTCCTGAATTATAAAACAAAAGTAAACAGAAAGAATAGTAGATGAATAAATATTGCAATTTAATTATATCTATCTTTTATTTATTGATACAACAGTACTGAAAATGCTCACAGAATTTAAAAATTTATTTATAGAACTGTAAATATCTACTTAATTCCTTAATAGAACCTATTTAGGGATAGTAATCGAATTAACGATTAATATTAAATCTACTACTTATTATCAGGGAATTTTAAATAATTTCCTAATTTATTCACTCACATTTTTACTATCAGGTGGCTCAATGGCAATTGGGACTAAATTAGCCAAAAGGCAGGCAAAGAATCCAACAGCGAAGCTATCTGCTTGATGAGAAGGAAACGCTAGCGCTACCTGTTATCAATGAGTATTCGTTTTGTTATATAATTCTGAAATGGTATAAATTATAAGCAAACAAATATAGACGAATCATACTCTATCTCCAGGATTTAAATCGTCGCCATTTCGGGTTTTAAATTTTGTAACAAGGTTATACGCAAGCTTGTGACATTTAGTGAATAACTTGCCTAGAAAATCGTATTTATCAGAAATCGAAAGTCAAAAACAATTTCTTTGCACTTTTTACAGTATATCTCTTTGTGTAATTACCGTAAGTCAGAGTATTGACCACTTTATCATTTTTGTCGAGTGTACTCATAAAAGGACATTTCGCTAGCACATTACCATAGTGATATAGTGCATCTTCGGGGCTATCGGGTTGGTTTGATTGAAGTTTCTGCATGTGATATTCAAATATTAGAAAATACTAGTATGTCAGATGAACTTTCAACACTACCTAAAAATTCTTGCATGGTTTAGATAATTGCCTCGTAGACTAAAATGATAAAATTTTAGAACCTTTAGACTTCCTCCATTGGCTGGCTTCATAAATTGGCCTTCTGGCTTGATGGCACTTGGGTTTACCGGCAATGGTTGAACTGAAACATAAGTATTAAGTATGCAATTAATATTGAGTAATTCATAAATATACTTGTATTCGGATTCCTTAAGCATTAATTGGCGTATTAGATTATCAATCTACTAAAACATCTTAAATCTATTTTAGTTGCCTTTTGCACCTTCCATATCAGTGTCTCCAAAATCAGCCAGTATCTCATTCTTTTTAGGTCTCTGTAGTAAATTGAATTTATAATCAACTATTAACGATGTAACAAGCAAGCATGTTATGTAAAAGCTTTTATACCTTTAACGTATCAACAAGTTTTTTGATCTTGGTTGACACGTTCATTCCTAGTCAATAAATAGGATAATTTCAGAGATACCTAACGAAGTAATTTTAAGTGGATAAATGACCATCATACCTGGACCTGGTTGAAAATTTGAGAGTTGAGAACTTTCTTTTTTCGCATTACTAGGAGGACCATTTAAGAGTAATTGATTTGGTCGCCGGCCTAAATGAATTTGTATATATAATACAAAAAGTAAATGCCTCAAATTCAAAACATATAGGTGGAATCCAAAATTATGTTCGTACATCTTACTAAATGATAAATAACTAAAGTATAAAATAGTCTTACTGTACCTCCATCTAATCTTCTTTCAGATTGTATAAATTCCATCGCTTCTTTTGGAACATTACTTAAAACAGATTGCATAGCTTCGGTTCTATGTTCTTAAGAGTAGCAAATTGTGTAATAAAAAAACGTTATGTTTAAGTGTTATACGTAGTAATCAAATGGACACTTTTTAAAAGCGACAAAATTTCGCCTCAAAAATGTGATTACTTTTACTAGAGTTTAATGGAATTGTTGGTTCTTTCTTCTGTTTGTAATGTTGTTTACGGTGACCTATAAAATTATAACGAAGTAGCTTAGTTGATAGGACGTTCCCAGTGATAACTATAGGGCCAGAATAGATATAATGAAAGTATTATTTAAACGTTAATACAGTATTATTCACCTCCGCTTTTGTATTCGTGGCTACTATTTGATGAATATATTTTTTCACTTTTTGATTGAGGTTTCGGTTCTACCTCAAGGCCATGATAAGATCTACGTTCAGCAGCAGCTGCTGCAACGATTGCTGCGGCTATTGATTTAAAGGAATGATGTTAGCTTAAAACAATTGGGTAGTATATATATATATGTATATTTATATTATTTAGATTATCAGTCAAAATCGAAGAGCATGTATGCAAATCAGAAACGGATATACATATTCTAAAATGATGATTTTTTAGGTTAAACGTCAGAGACATATTACCACTTAGGGGCGTATTATTAGGAGCAGAATGGGATGTTTTCAATTTGGCTGAAGCAGCAGAGTTTACATTGATTTTTAGAAGTAAATTTTAGTTAATTGCAGCAGCATCAATTTAGAGCAGCAATCTAAAGAGCAGCATTAAATTTTTATCATTTCAGCTCACATTGCGATTGAGTAGAATTTCTACTAGATTGCGTATGCCGATGATGATGATTTTTATTGCTTTGATGTCCAGCTAATAAAAATAACGCAATTAATTTGCTTTTTCACCAAGCTTTGGATATAGCATAATTCAGGTGTCTACAAGTTATTGTCCAACTGCGCAATATCGAAGCGCCAAGCTAGCGAAATATAAGACTGACTAGTTACTAATTAGGCTTACGTCCTAGTTCGGTACTGATTCTCTGTGATAATTTGGGATCCATCTTGGTTGCTCTAATCTGTTTGCTATCGTCGGGAGCTTTTTAATTTATAAAATATCAGAAGTTAGTATATGAAGTTTTATTCAGCCAAAATAAAGTTCCCGCTCGAGTTTAATGAAAAGCAACAGCGATTAGTACACACGATGTTCTCAGTTATAACATAAGGGAATTACTTACGTCCTATATCTGAAATACTTTTTGGAGGTGTTCCACTTATTTTCGAATGCCTGGCTTGAATACCGTCATCTAGAAAATAGTATTATATTAATTTAACTATGGCAGAAAATAGTTTACAAATCGTGAAGAAAGCGTATTGACATCTGCTTAACAGCTGTACTACTGTACTTGTAATTTTCTATAATACTTGCAGATTATAAAATGAGATCAGCATAAAGACATTGTTCCTTCTTTCATAGATAAGATTACGTAAATACGCACCTTGTCCCCGAGGGTATCCACTTGCAGGGGTACCTGGAGTAGTTGGGGTAGTTATTATTTTACTCGTAGCATCTCTACCAAATTCTGTTTCAATCTTGGCACCTGGAGGATACCTCGGTTTACTTGCAGCAAATCTACTATCGGCTGCGCTGCTATCGCCGTGACTATTTGGGTTTCTACTATAATTATCATTATCCTTAAGTTTATTTACGCGACTGCTTGGACGACCTGGTGTATCTACAGTTGGGTCTTTTCTATTAGCAGCGCTACTATGTCCTTGGGCTTTATCAAATGGCAAATCAGCTTTGCTAGGGCTAGCTAGCCGGCTTGAGACTGTAATAAATATTATATGATTGGAATGAATAATTTTAAAAAAATTAGTTGCGTGTTATAGGCGTAGCAAGGACTAGTTCATAACTGAGTTTACAGATCGCTACAGATAGGATTGTACATGTAGTATCGACTAATTTATTACCAGTTGATATATTATCTCGAATTTACCTTGTAATATGAACATATCATAAATATAGAGTGATTAGATAATCGCTAAGATGCATTTATGATTACGTAATGAAACTGTAGGATACTGTAGAGAGAAGATTTAATCTCTACAGTGTCTTAAAGTTTTATGCCCATAGTTCATGTAGACAATGTCTATTTTATGTTCTGATTTATTTATTAACCCTGCAGTATTTATATATCTGTAGTAGATTAATCAATCGCTACGATACCTTTATTAGTGCATAATAACAGTACAGTTATATTTATACTTACAATCATTATCAGTTGCCCTTCGTTGAAAAGGGGATAATATTTTCGCTTTTTTCTTTTCGTATCCTTTGGCTGTAATATATCCTGCAGATCGATTAATGCAGCATTAGTACGCATAGAAACGGATGATTTTCTGTGTAAACAATGAACAATCTTGTATTTATTTATCAGAAGGGCGATCATACACAAAACATTATTGAGAGTTTACGGAAAATCTTGTACTAGACCATATGTGTTAGATAGTTGAAGAGTAAGTATTGTCTGATGGACATTGTACATATCCGATAATAATACACATAGAATTCAATAACAATTAAGAAAAAAATAATTTCACAAGATATGCAATATGTCAACTAAAGCAAGACCATGATAGACAAGCCATGTTAATAATTCGTGACAAGATTGATTTTTCCTGATGATTATTCAGTGGGAAGGTCATAAATCTAGTAACTTTTACGCTCGTATAGGCTTTATATAATTCATTTCTTGATATGATGTACGAATATTATTTCAATACAATTTTCGGCTAGTTATGAATTTTACCGATACAATTGATCATCGAAGAAAAAATAGACTGTACTTCATGATTACGCTTCTTAGATTTGAATATTGCCTGAGGGTAATTTCGGGTGTCATAGGCATTGTCATTGGACACAATGTTTACAAATGGTTAATTCATATCGATTGAGAAGAATTATTCCTATCGACATAGAATGGGTTAGTTTAAAATCATCGCTATCATCTTGGTTTCTATTAGCAGTTTGGTGCTATTTAAATGTGTTACTGTATCGTCGATTACATCATATTACCTTTCTCATCGACAAGTTGATGATCACTACATCATTTAAGCAGACAGAAGAGAGAATGATTAGTTGTCCTCTTGGATTCAATCGAATGTGGGGAATTTTTTGTGGATTACGTTATCAATGCCTTGATATGGGAAAAAGTTGACGACATTTTATTTATTCGAGTCTTGTCTTTCATGTTAAGTGAAGCATGAAATATTTATGATGAAAAATATGGAGAAATAGCATTGTATACCACGGTGTTGCAAAGGCCGGAAGTAGGAAAATTGGCAATGCCTTTACATTTACTTTCTGATTATGTAGTTCTTATGGGCACTGTAAACTTTAGAGAGAAGGAATCCTTGTTACATTATTGTATATTACTCTCAGAAAACTTTCTAAAGGGTTAACAACATGTTGACAAAGGGTTTGGTTGTTGGCGCTAGGCGGGGGGCTATAGTAACTCCTCGGCCATGCACTGCGGGGAGAAAAATCTCCATATCCTTTGATACCTATCAATCCACTGAAAATGATGTTTATGGCTCCTTTGTACATTGAGTTTTATTATTTATCAAAACAAGTTAGCTGTAGAAAAAGTGAAATACATCCAAGTACACAGTAAAGGGAGATTAAGCAGTGGCGGATAGATAGCATGGTCCACCGTGATTTAATCAAACCGAGGTGAAATAATAAATTCGGTGGCGAATAAGCTCTCAGGAAACAGGAGTTTAATCCATCACGTAGAAAAATAAAATGAATCACATTAGTGATCGAAGTTTTCATCGATCTCATGCCATTTGTGTTTACAATAGATCAATCATTGCATTAAGATAAAAGCTAAGATAACGATGAAATCAATCGCTATCTAGTATATCTAGATTAGGTTTATTGTTGAGATTGAGATATCTATCGATCATTCTAATCTAACGTCTCCGAGATAGATAACGACGATAATTATACTGCATATATTAAAATTGTTGTTATTATTGCTAATCTATTTCATCACCGTGTAAGGCAGTCTTCAGTCGATATACAAGAGAGTGAAAAGACGTTGATCTCGTTATTAGACAAAGTGATTCAAAAAGAGTAAAAATAGAATACTC